TTTAATTAACCTAAGGGCTAAATTAGCTCATCTTAATTTTTTCAAGGCGCAATGAGTACTTCCCAAGCCAATAATAGCCCTCTTTTATTTTACAAAATCCGGAAGCTCATGTTTTTGTTCCTTTTATCATCATGTATGTGAGATCTGAACTAGTTAATTATTTAGCCTTTCATAAAAAATTTCAACTATTCAGAAAATTGATAGGTTTGATCTTTTTCTTGAACAAAACAAAATGGAAAAACATTCAAAAACGTTTCAAAAAGTGGTGAATTCTAGAGTAAAGAAAAGGAAATCAGCAAAAAGTAAAAAAGAAGGATATGTTAATAAACAAGAGATTTTGGAATTTTCACTATAAAAAAAATTAAAATACTCAAAATGTAATTAATAATATTTATTTTATAAATTTATTTTCAAAGGAGAGATAGAGACAAAAAATATATATATATTTACATTCATAAACAAGTAATGAGAATATTTTTAATTAATTTTTTTTTGTCATTTTAGTTTCTATCTCTCTCCTATAAAATAATAATTATTAATTATTCTAGAGTAAAATAAAATTTTTGGCCAGATTTCAATCTTCAACCAATTTAATAATTTTAAATAAGTTCATTAATAAGTTTTTACTAAGAGATTTTTGGAACGAAGAAAGTATGATTTTCCATCGTTAATTCATTATTTCCTTTATACTAAAAGGGTAAATATGACGTATTTATCAATTAATTGATGGACAGAAGATGTATTATGGGGGAGTAATAATGCTCTTATTATCAACAAAAAGTTAATTTTTTTTTTTAAGAAATGAACCTAGTCTAGTGTTTGAAATTATAAACAATCTATTTAATTTTAAAAAATTAATTAATTACTTTCTATATTTTTAAATCCACGTATAACTTAATCTTTTTAGTAGTTTATCAATTTATTTTGATTTAAAAAAAAAGAAAAAGAAAAAAACTAAAAAATATGAAAAGATTAATGAAAAAAATACATTGTTTGGAATAAAGTACTATTAAAGCAACCATGATCAATACTGATTAAAAAACTAATTAATTAATTTTTGAAATAAGATAAACTATTTTAATTTGTTTTGCAAAACTAAAAGGAATAATATATAATTTACTCCCATTTGGGTTTAATTAAGTTAATTAATATAAGGATTATATATGTTCTAAGACTCAAGACTTTAGATTTTTTATTTTTTGAAAAAAAGAGTAAAAAAATATAAATGTTATGAAATAATAAATATCCATTTCATATTTCTACCACTCATTTGATTTAATTCACCATTCAATATGATAAATTGAAATAGTAATACAATTTATTTAATTATTTATGCACTTTTTAATGGTTTATGGTCCATTTCAATTCTTTTCAATATTTTGAAGTCTATAAATAGGTTTGATTATTTATTAGTTTATGTAGATATGTTTTGTAGCAATTGAAAGAATTATTTGGAGTCGTTATCTCTTGTATTCACTTTATTTCATGATGAATTCATTTTTCTCGTCACCTTTCTCTTCAATTCTATTATTGTTATTATTTATTTTATAAAATGTTATCGAGCACAAATCTCTACTAATCGAGATAGTAGACCATGATGTTTATGTCTACCAAAAGACTCAATCATGTATTTCAATTATTGGATCATTTCTCTACACGAGTGCTCTATCAAAAAATTTAAATTATCTAGTTCATCAAGAGATATCTATCTAATTTATCACATACTTTAAATCTAATGACACGTAGAGTATACATTTGAAAAACTTAAATGATTTAATATATAGAATTTAATGATCTAATACATGTTGTTTGAAAAGTTTAAAATTTATTATTATGTTTATTCTTATTTCTTAATATTAATTATTATATCTTACGTTATATAATTTTGATATATCATATCAAATCTCACAAATTTTAATAAAAAAAAGTTTTTAAAAATATTTTTATTTGATTTCATGCTTGCTTATGGCTAAATAAAATAACGAGCTATTAGTTAAATCATGAATCTTACCCAACTCGGTATACTCTATTTACGAAGTGAATATGATAATTTATAATAATTATGTGCATGGACAACGACGTGATCGTGACCATAGATGTGGACATACCTATAGTCATAGTCAAAATAATTATTGTTATGATCATGATGATCATAATGATACACCTCATCGTCGAAGTGAATAAATTATATATAAAAAAAATAAGAAAATAATAAAAATAGATCAAGTTAGCATTCTAAAAATATATATTATGGATGTGGTATGAAAGAACATTAGTTGTGTACTCGTCGTACGCCAAAGCACCTCATTGAATTTTATTAAGCATCGTTGAAAAATAAAGTTAAATATAAAAACTAATTTTATATATCAAAATGATAGTAATTGAAATTACTAACTCGTTATCTTTTTTATTTATATATAAAATATTTTTATATTTGCTTATAATTTGTATTATATAGTGATAGTTATAAAATTATTTTGCTATTTTTTATTTTATGAAGAATATATATTTTTGTTTTGTGTTTGTTTAATTATTTATTTTGAGTTAATATTATATTTGATAGTATCAATCTTATAAAAAGTTTCAAAAAAGCGACTATATTACCTAAAGAGACAAATTTTGAAGGCTCTACAATAACTAATATATTATTACTTAAAAAGAAAAATTTTAAAGTTTCTAGAAGAGCAAATATATTATTATTTGAAGAGATAAATTTTAAAGGTTACGGAAGGACAAATATGTTATCACTTAAAATGACAATTTTATTATAAATGATACATCATTTTCTTTAAAATCTCATAGAAATTTGTTAATTTATATGTTGATAAGTTCAACTGTATGTAAGATATACAATTTTTTTATTTATTTTAGACAGTTTTCATCTGAAATTTTTAGTGAGTTTTTGTCAAGATGCGTGAAAAAACTATTTACTATTTAAAAATTTATTATTTATCATTATGTTAAAAAAAAATCGTCTCTATAATTTTTCAATGTCACAAGTTGCAATTTTTTTTTAAAAAAATTTCAATATCATTATAACACAGAGATGATGATGTATTTATTCAATGAAATTACTATCTTCTATTAAAAAAAGAAAGGAACTATTTTTCTCCAGAACTTAAGAAACCCATTCCTTCTGGTGCGACGTTAAATAATACGAATTTCGAAACATTACTCAATATTTGTGATTTAAAGCTTTATGTTATCGCTCGACCTTTCGGATTTCTTGCCACCTCACTATCACTTCATCCTCCTTCCTGTACACTTGCAGAGGACTTGCGCCATCGCAGCTACCACATTCAACCTTATTTATATCTAATGGAGGAATCATTCGAAGACAAAATACCGTGCAATTAGCAAACCACTTGTAGAGATCAAAATAAATGTATCAAAGTGAAACAAGACACTGTAGATATTTTTTTAAGAACAAAGGACAATATATTATTTTGTTGGACATGCATATATACAAGGATAAGTAAGTGTGTCAACATTAAAAGATATCGGCTCAGATTTTGCCACAACTTTGAAAAGCAACCAAACTATCGTATTTATATAATCTTTATCAAGGGAGCAACAACTCACTCGATTCTCACCACACTGAGAGTTTTTAAAGCCAATTCTCTACAGTGAAGACAGAAGAGCACATTTTCCTATGAAAAGAAGCTTACAGAAAATATCTCATAAAAAGGGACACAATGGCAGTATTGATAGCTCCCTTAAATTTTTTTGATAATTTATTGTATATAAAAATAGATTTAAAATAAAATAATATAGATCATAATTCAGAGAAATTTTAAAATACTTTATGAGTCTATTTTTGAAAAGAAAAATAGATAAATAAAAAAAAACAGCTAGACCCACTCAAAATAATAAGAATATTTTTATTTAAATTCAATTTTTTTTCTCTCAGTTTTTTTATCTACCTCTTTTATAGAATATGTATTAATAATTATTTCTAGAGAAATATAAATTTCTGTATTATTGTGTATAAGTTCTCGTGTCCTTTAAAAAAGTAAGAAAAATAGTTTGTTTCAAATGGTATTATTTCTATTTAAATTCAAATTTTATTTTTTATTTTTTCCTTTTATTTTTCTCTTTTATTTTTTTATTTTTTATCTATCTCTCTTATAGATATAGAATAAGTATTAAAAGTTATTCATAGAATAATATAAAATTTCTGGATTATTGTATATAAGTTCTCCTAAAAGTAAGCAAAATATATATTTTTTAAATGATAATGTTTTCTTTTCTATTTTCTTCCTTTTTTCTATCTATCTTCCTATTCTCTTATGGAATAGGTATTAATAATTATCCTAGAGTAATATAAAATTTCTAGATCATTGTGTATAAGTTTTTGTATTCCTTGACAAAAGTAAGAAAAATATTTTGTTTCATATGGTAATAAGATTGTTTTACCTTGCACCTTTCCACGCAAATTCATAGGCTTATAACTACCTCTTCGAAAAATTTTAAAATGTTATAGGAGTAATTAGTGACATATACAATAATTATTCTATAGATTAACATTATAGAGAAAGATGACATATAAAAAATAAAGAGAATTACATCTGAATTTATCAAAAATAATAAAAAGATTTCTCACTTTGCTTAATTTGGATCTAATTTAAGTAGAGAAATAACAGAGAGAAAATTTAAAAATAAAATTAAGTAAAAATAAAATTTTTTATTATCACTTTTGATGAATTCAAATATAATTTTTTTTATATATCTATTCTTCTTTTTAAAATAAGTTTTTAAAATAATTATGATACTTATCATTAATTACTTCGTATGTCACTAATTACTTTTTACATATATCAGCTAAGAAGATCCACTGCCTACCATTCGCCGGACCAAACCATGTCTCACTTTTCTTCTATCTCAGAAAAAGTTCCAAGTCCAAAGCATCATCAAAATCTGATCCAAATCTCCTAAAATCATACCCGTTAATTGGAAACTCGATCTATAGCCATCTTTGCCAGTAGAAATCGAGGCACACAATGGACATCAGATCTTATCCAAAACTCACCATCTGCCACTTTTGTTCTCCACCGTTTCTGAACGCTAGCCGTGTTCTTACAGGAAACCCAGCAAATGTCCAACACATGCTTAAAACCCAGTTTTACAGCTACGAGAAAGGTAGCAAAGCTCGGCGAACTCTCTGCGATTTTCTTGGAAACGGTATCTTTTGCATTGATGGGGATTCTTGGAAGTTTCAAAGACAAGTTCCCGGCCATGAATTCAATGCCAATTCACTGCGTAAATTCGTCGAGACCGTTGTGGAAACTGAACTCTCTCAACGCTTAATCCCGATTCTCTCCACTGCTGCTGCTAATAATACAGTTCTTGACTTGCAAGACGTACTTAAAAGATTCGCTTTTGACAGCATATGGAAGATCGCTTCCGGATATGATCCTGCATACTTGCTGCCTGATCTCCCCGAAGCATTGTTTGCCAAAACTTTTCGCTTCACTATTCCCCTATCTTTGGAAAATTAAAAGGGTATTCAATATTGGATCAGAGAAACGCCTCAAAGAAGCATCTTCTGAATCACGCGAGTTCGCCAAAATCATCATCAAAGAAAAGAAGCAAGAACTCAGCAACAAATCATCACTCAAATCTATCGATCTTTTATCACGTTTCTAGAGCTCTGGCCATTCTGATGAGGACTTTGTCACTGATATTGCCATCAGTTTTCTACTAGCAGGCCGAGACACGACCTCTGCTGCCTTAACATGGTATTTCTAGCTACTCTCTCAAAACCCACAAGTGGAAAAGGAAATACTAGAAGAAATAAAAGAGAAATCGAAGAGTCCAGTTTATGAAGAGGTCAAGGACATGAACTACACACATGCTTCTTTATGTGAGAGCATGAGGCTGTACCTCTTGTCCCAATAGATGGCAAGGTTGCAATGTCCGACGATGTTTTGCCCGACGAGACTGTGGTTAAGAAGGGAATGAGGGTGTATTACCATCCGGATGCAATGAGAAGGCTCGAGATGTTGTGGGGTTCGGATTGGGAAAAGTTCAGGCCAGAGAGATGGCTGGAGAGTGCTAGCCATGGAATTAATAACAATGGGAAGCGGAGTTTTGTAGGGAGGGACCCGTACACCGACCCTGTTTTTCAGGTTGGGCCAAGGATTTACTTAGGTAAGGATATGGCTTTCTTGCAAATGAAGAGGTTGGTTGCTGGGGTTTTGCGGAGGTTTAAGGTTTTTCCAGCGGCAGACGATGGCGTTGAGCCCGTGTTTGTTTCTTAAATGACGGCCAAGATGCAGGTGGTTTTCCGGTGAGATTCGCGGAGAGAGCTAATTAAATTATCTTGATTTTCAGTACTGTTAATCAAGTACAAGAAGAAGGATTTGTCAGCTTATGCCTCTTTAATTAATTAGTGATACGGTGGAGGCTATACATGTACGTTCAGCTCTTTGCTATTAACAACTAGCATGATTTCTATCATGTATTTTAGCGATTTTAATTAAATTGAACGACTCCTTTTAATATTAAAGATTTTTTATGATTGAGATTTCAATTCTGATTTCTAAACAGAAATACAGTGTATAAAATTTCTCCACACTTAAAATATCATTTGCATAAATCTGATATATTTATAATTATTTTGACTTCGCCATGATTGGAAATACAGTTTGCACAAATACATGTATTTGTAATTATTTTATGATTGCACAGATCGGTTGATGGTGTCGAATCTAGTGAAAGATCCAACTGTATTTTGATACGTTCTTTGATAGCTAGACAGGGTGTTAACAAACAAACAAAAAATAATTATTAATGTTCTAGAATTGTGTTAGATTGCTCCAACAATTATAGATCGTTAGATTTATGTTGACCGTAATACCAACCAAAAAAACACCACTTTGTCTTCACATATTATATTCTCAACCAAACTTTTTCCTTTTTTTTCTTTTTCTTTTCCCTCATAACAATAAGAGTAAATTATAAATTAATTCTTTTTTTTTTTTTTGGGAAACAGATTAGTTAGTCTGTTACGTTTTAATTTAATTAATAATTTAATTTTTTTTTATCATTTGTTGTTAAATAGTTATTTTTTCCCAAATTATTTTTCATTAGATATCTTTTTGTTACTATAATTTATGATTCTTTCACAGTTATTTTTTTATTTTTGGTTCAGGCTAGGTGGAATATCTAATTATATAACCCTATTTGACTTCACCCTCGGGTAGATATATTCCAAGAGTTCACACTCACTCTCTGAAACCTCATTCGACTTTTTTTTTATTGCTCAATCAAATACCCACTACTACACCATATTGATAACGCAGGAAAATTGAAGGTCATCTCTAGCCTCTAGGAAAGCTATAGTATACTGATTAAATGCTATTCGAGTAAATTAAAATTATTCCCTTTATTTTTTTCAAAATAAATTAAATAGTCACTTTAGTTTTAAAAACTGATTGATTAGTCCCTGTATTTTTAAATTACGTACACTTTAATCATTTTCATTCCTTTTCAATTTATTTGTATTTTTTATTTTAGGAAATAGCATATGCAATAAAAAATGGAAAAATGGAAAAATTAATGAGAAAAAAGACATTGTTTAAAATAAAATAATATTGAATGAATTATAGTCGATACTGGTTAAAAAATAATTACTTAATTTTTAAAATAAGAGAAACTATTTAATTTGTTTTACAAAACTAGATGAGCTAATATGTAATTCACTCTGATTTGGGTGCTTTGACAATGTATGGTTCATTTTTCAACGGGTTTAATTAAGCTAATTAATACAAGGATTGTTGTATTAAGAATTTAGATTTTTTTAAAATAAAGATGTATAAATAGTTAGTAAAAAATCTCAGAACTTCAAAATTACCTACAACACAATACATTAGTTTGAAAATTTTGAACAAAATTTACATCATCATTGTAGAAATTAAAACAAACAAACTAAAAGTTACTAAAGTAAATGAATCAAATCAATTTTTTAAAGGAGATAATGATTTAGAGAAAACTTTCATTCTTGGGTTTAAATATATTCAAAATTTATTAAATTTATCTAAATGTATGAAAACGATAGGAAAGATATGTCCTTCATATCACTTAAAAAGAAATTTAGTTCTGATTGATATGTAAACTGAATCAAAATTACCCTTATCTTGAAAGAGAGAGAGAGAGGAAAAAAACCTAGGTATCGTGGTTTTTATGGTAAGTTAATATGTAAGTTTTTGCCTCACGGCTAATGGCTATATCAAGACGGAAAAGAGTAAAAGAATTCACAATTTATCCTCAAGGTCCCTACCCCTGATCTGTCTCTAAGTTAAAGGGTATTAATCAGACGATCGTGGGCTATTTTTATATCCATTCTTGAAGAGAAAAAAAAATATTCATCTTAAAGAGTACAAAGGCCCAGGCCCTGTACCCAGAACTGTATTGTGGGCTATTTGTAGCTCCATTCTTGAAGAGACAAAAATAATATTCATCTTAGAGACTAGAAAGGCCTAGGCCGTGAACCCCGAACTGTATTGTGGGCTATTTGTAGATCCATTCTTGAATAGACAAAAATAATATTCATCTTATAGACCAGAGAGGCCCAGGCCCTGTATCTGGAATTGCATCTGAGCTAATGGTATTAATCTGACGTTCCACCAAATTACACGATATTACACGATAGCAAGAGAAGAAGAGAACTAGGAGCAATATATGTAGAATTTTATAGAATCTGAAACTTAAATTTTCAATATCTTAATTTTTGGTGAAATTTTTTTCACTAGAGTAAAACTATTAATTATTACTTATTAATATTTATCTCAAATTATAGTTGCTTATTGATGCTATATTAAATCTCTTAATCTAACTGTGATGGTCTTTGTGATATATTAATTCTCTTGTAACCTACTTACGACGGCATTTATGGTCAATTAATATGTAAGTTTTTACCTAACCGCTATCTCAACTCTTCAGCTATATATCGGCCTTCTTCTTAGCTTGCTGGTGTGTGTCACACTTACTCCAATAGGTAATTAAAAGGTTCAAGGTTGGTGAATTCAGAAGTTTTTATCTCAAACATACAATATCTCAGGTTGATGCTCCGGTAAAAAAAATAAAAATCAAAGTTTATATTTCTACTTCCTAATCTCAAATGTCTATTGTTTTGTTGTATGTTTTCTTTTTTATGTTTTTTGAGTAGTAGATTTAAGCATTTATATACTGAGATTATATATAATCAGGAATATAAGTACACATAATCATTTGTTATATCTTAATTATAAAGGATAATTTACTTTTAAAAACAATTACTACTTGTCTATTTTTTTTTTTTAACGTAAGTAGAATTTTGTTGTCTGCAATCACTGGTTAAACAGTCAAAAGATTAATATTGATAGATAATAGTTAATGGAATAGTTAATAAAATATAATTTTATTTATAGTTTTGTGTTCATATCAATTTTTTCTTTTATCTTTAGTTTGTTTGTAATACTTGTTCCTTTAGTATAATGGCTTCAAGTTTTCCAACACGGTGTACACGAAGCACGTTAGTGTGAAAAAGCGTTCTGATTGATTTTTTAAAATAATTATATCTGAAAATATATGGTTGACATTCTGATTTTCAACAATCGACAGGCAGCTTATATTAATTCAATAGTCAACCTTACGTGTAAGCAAAGACTTTCAAACATAGTGGCTGGCAATTCGGTAGCATTCTACAAGTCGACTATTTGGAAAACTTTCATTGTCAAGCAGACAAATGGATAGATGAAAACTCTCCACGCCTAGCTCCCGCTGTATATATAGTTCCATCTCCTCCCTTCATCCATCACAATTCACAACACAATAGAGAAAGGAAAGATGACAGACGTTTGCTCTGGTAAGCAATTGATTAAGCACCCATGATATATATGATTAAACACACCAGCACTTTTTGTTTAGAAATTAATTAGAAACAAAATTTATATTTCTCATTTATCATTTGACTCTGCACACACATTTTGGTGTTTTTATGTACGCTAGTGCATCATAACTTTGTCAATACATACATGATAATATTATATATGTCGTTATCCTTCTATCACAATTAAGGTATTATTTTATCAGTTTTGGGTGATACATATATATCTGTCAAGTAACGAAAAATACTTCAAAATCTCTGTTGATAGTTTAAACTTTTGCTGAACACGAAATAATATGTACATTAATTATTTATTAACCGGTCAGATATTCAGATTTCAAAATGTTAAAATAAAAATATTAATTCTATCATTAATTACTATATATATATATTATTTTTAATTTAATCATCCGTTTTGATATGTATGTAACAATATTTGTTTGCATATCTTAGATACGGGAAAGAGCTCATGGCCGGAGCTAGTGGGAATAAGCGGAGAAGTGGCGGTTCAAATCATCGTCAGAGAGAATCCCAAGGTCCGTTCTACCATTGTGAAGGAAGGAATGATGGTGACCATGGATTTCCGTTGCGATAGGGTCCGAGTTTGGGTTGATAAATATGGAATTGTGAAAGACATTCCTCAAATTGGTTAATCGGCAAATGTTAAACTGTATATTCTGATGTACTTGTAAGCTATAGGTTTATCATGAAGATTTGTACCAAATAACCACCATGTTAATTACATGTATGTGTGATCATGCTAATAAACAAATTACAATTCAATAAAATGGTTTGTTTGTTGTCAAAAAGTCTTATATTCTTTGAATAATTAACCTTTTATAAATATTTTATCAAACGGAGATGATTGAACTTTGGTGATTTATTATTATTGCCGTCGTGTTCGTGGTCGTGCCTGTTGCTGTTGTTGACAAGAAATTCTTGAAAATATTTTAGTTCTCATTTTACGCAATTTAATGTCAAGACAAAAATCCATACACTAGAGATATTGTTAAATACAATCGCTCCAAAAGAAGCTCATGGCAATTAAAAAATATGTTAGCGACCCCCTACGTTTGCGAAGAGTTTAAAAGAAATTAAACAGAAGAAATATGCAAACACATAAATCATATGATTAAAAATTACATATAATTAATAGGAATATACATACAGAAAAGTTATATATATTTATATCATTTCATGTGGTTATGTATTGCACCACATGACACATGCACATGTTTTCTTTTGTATTTAATGGACATAAGAACAATGGAGAAAACTATAAGGAGGAAAATAAGGGTTGCTTTCTCGTGATCTCATCCGGCAGGAACAAAAATCATGTCGGCAAAGAAAGAGGGAAAATGCAAATAATTAATGGATATATATATATAGACGGAATATCAAATTATTATTGTTATTATTTTACTAATTTTATTACATGAAAACAAAAATTTCCTATTACTTTGAACTGTATGAAAGTTTTGTTACCTAATATACGATGGCCATTCAAACCATCATGTATGGATAACAATAATTATTTTACAATTTTTGCTTACCTTTTATATATTGTACATAATTAATTATTTTGATTTATAATTTTTTTTTTTTGTAAAATATTAAACATTGTCCAGTATATGATCCTTTGCTTCAGAAATTACCAATCACTGGATAAAAAAATTACCATAAATTGAACAAGAGGAATTCCTACCATCCAACACGGTAGGAAATTGTGTTGTTTTACGGATTTCATTATATTAAAAAGAGTAGAACATGAAAATAAAAATCCTAATGGTTGCAAGTTTTTCTAGAGTACCTTCCTGGTAGAGTCTGCTAACTAATTTCCCCTCTTTCATAGAGTTAAGTTCGAGTTATCAAAACACAGGTAATTATTAAAACAAAAAAAAATAACTTTTTTATTTTCTTGGATCTCTCTTTAAAAAAAAAATCTTAGCTAAGTGCCAGTGATTTTTTTACTGGCGGCAGCCCTTCATATTCCTAGTTCTTTCTTTTTCTTTATTGTTTTTTTTTAATACGTTGAAAATTTAGAATTAGAATTTATATTTGATTTGCATACAAAGTTAATACTTTTTGTTATTGGGTTGTAGTGGACCTTTCTTGGTTTTTGAAAAAAATAAAATTGACGTTCTTCGACAATTTTGAATAATTGAAAATTTTTGTCAATAAAATCTCGTAATGCAGTTTATTTTTTCATGAATTTATAGTGATAATAAGTTTAACTGTGTGTATCATATGCAAAAATAAAAAAATAAAAATAAATCATTTTGAGTAGTCCTTATCTGAATTTTTCAGTGAGGTACACGAAAAAGACTACTTACTACTTAAAAAAGCATAATTGTTTAATTTTTTCAATGTAACAAATTGTAATTTCTTTTTTTAAGTTTTTGATATCATTATAAAACATAAATGATGATGTAGTTATTTGATGAAATTACTACCTTCTATTCAAAAAATACAAAGAATTATTATTGCCCGGAGTTTAAGAAACTCATGTTTTTTAGTATGAAAAATAATTCGAATTTCGAATCATTATTCAATATATGAGTTTCGAATCATTATTGTAAAAAAATTGTTTAATTTTTTTTAATGTAACAAGTTGTAATTTCTTTTTTAATTTTTTTTATGAAATTACTATCTTTTATTAAAAAAAAAAATACAAAGAACTATTATCACCAGAGTTTAAGAGACATTGTTTTTAGAGTAAAAAATAATGAGAATTTCGAATCATTACTCAATATTTGTGATTTAAAGCTTTATGTTATTGCTCAACCTCTAGGATTTCTTGCCACGTCACTATCACTTCATCTTTCTTCTTGTACACTTGCCGAGGATTTGAGCCATCGCAGCTAATACATTCAACCTGTTTTATATTTAATGGAGGAATCATTTAAAGACAAAATACCATGTAATTAGCCAACCACTTGTAGAGATCACGGGCATCGGTGGCGAAGGGATCATACCTTGTTCAGCGTCTCAATGCAAACACAACAAATCTGAACACGTCCGCAGCGACCAAAAATACAAAAAGCCAAAGAAAGAAAACCAAAAGAGAAGAAAATTTATTCAAAATAAATTAATCAAAGTCAAACAAAACACTGTGTAGAAATCTGTTTTTTTTTTTAAGAACAAAGACAATATATTATATTTCGTTGGACATGCTGATACAAGGATAAATCAATGTGTCAACATTCAGAGATATCACCTCAGATTTTGCTACTACAATTTTGAAGAGCAACCAAGCTATTGTCTTTATATGCAATCTTTATGAAGGGAGCAACAACTCACTCGATTCCTAGCACACTGAGACTCAGGGACAGAGCGAAGAGAGAGCAATGGCATCTCGGTCATGTCTAGGTAAGGCTAAGTAGATCAGGCACATATCCTTTCGTTTTCCCCCGAGTTAGAACTGTTATATAATTCGTGCTGGGTGTCTTTACCTTCACGTACATGCTATTGATTAATTTGATGGAAATTTTCAGGTAAAAGCTCGTGGCCAGAGCTGGCTAGGACAAATGGGGAGGCGGCAGCAGCTACCATTGAGAGAGAGAACAGAAATGTTGATGCAATCGTCTTGCGAGAAGGAACTCCAGTGACCCAGGATTTTAGGTGTGACAGGGTCTGGGTTTGGGTCGATGACCGTGGGGTTGTGACTCAAGCTCCTCAGATTGGCTAAGATATAGGGAAATCACGAAAGCTATAAAAAAATGGAGTAATCGGTAGTCATAATTATGAATAAAGTTTTCGTTTCCCTCAAAACGCTCATGTATTATATATGCTGTAATAAAATTGATATTTAGACCTGTTTGCAAAAATATGTTCTTTATTCTTCTGGGTTAATGGCTTAAGTAATGCTATATCATTCTTGAATAATATGTCGGGAATTTGGGATTAAGTTTAATTCCTATTCACCTATTTTCCCCTCAAGTGGTGCCTCTGCTAGCTTAATCTAACTTTCTCGAAACAGATATGGAGGAGCCAGAATGCTGCAACCGGAATTAGATTCCTAGTTGGCGATCAGCTTCTCCCAGTAGCCATAAGGAGGGGCTGTCTGGTATAATCACTAGGAAAAAACCTTGAATTTGCTCAACAGAAATTGGGTTGTTAAGACTTTTCATGCTTGGAGCGACTCGACGAGGGCGATTGTTTTCCTAACAGCCCATCCTTTTTTGAAAAAAAAAAAAAACACTGGAGCATCTGATTAAGGATCGTTGATGAATAGGGGAGAGAAATTGTTTTTGGGTTTGGGCCGTTGGTCCCTTTGCAAACAGAAAAAATGTTACTCAAAAAAAAAAAAAAACGCAAGTCCATATTTATTCACCCGCTTGCATTCATGTAAGCATAGTCTTAATAAAGCCCAAATCCAATACCCAACATTTACAATTCAAACTCAGAAAAAGAATTGGGCTAAAGGCCGAATAATATGGGCTAAGGTGATCTCACCTGATGGACAAATCCAGCGATTACATCAGTGCCAGTATTAGCCCACCCCACCAGCGGTACTGATCCAGTGATCCATGCAAGCATCACTCAGAATCACGGACACGTAGTCGGCGCTATAAATAGTACGAGGAGAGGAGAAAAGGTTTTGGTTAATGGGAGAAAATAATTTTTTTTTAAAAATATTAAGATGTCTCTCTTCTTTTTTTTTTTCATTTGACAGAAATAATAAATTTTAAAGGTACACCTCCTATATTGGTCTGGTTTATTCAAAATAAATTATTAAATTCTTCTAATGCTGGCTTTAAGATTCTAATATAAAAAATCATAGAAAAAGCAAATTTTTTCAATTACCATGTCAGTCTCATTAAAATTAAAATACTGAGATATGTCTTGAGTGGGAAAAAAAATAATTACACATATATGTAGGAGAATTTCATATATTTATTTGTTTTATAACATTATTGATAGTCTCGTTGAACAACAAAATATTATCGATTACTCGTAAAACTAAATTTGTTTATTTTTATTTCAACTATAATAGTTTCGAGTTGAAGGTTATTGATTATCGTGAAATTAAATCATTAAAAAGGATGTAAATATAAAAGTCTAGTCACATCAAAAATTGAAAAAACAAAAAACAAACTAAAAGTAAAAAGAAGGAAGAAAATGTAAGTTCCATGAGCAGGTAGAAATTTATTTACTTTCCTTTTCGAGAAAACAAGCTAAACAAAAACAATGTGATCACATTAGAAAGGGGGACCATGCATGCATGGACCGATCGACAAGGCGCCGAAGGCAAATATACTTGTTCATCACTAGGATTCAGAACATGCTGGAGACATTCTGTCGATGTTATGCATTAGTTTATTTATGGCATGCGCATTAGTTTATTTAGGAACTCAGAACCTATAATTTGGCTATGACTACGTGTCCGAGAAAGAATTTGCAAACATAACTAGATCTCCCGCTGACCCGAAAAGGTTAAACGATTCTTCAAGTTTTTTTTTTTGATATATATATTTTTTATATTTTTAATAGGGAAAGATTCTTCAAATGTAATAACTTCAAATATGTTTAGATCAATTAGATGTGTTAGAATTATTTAATTTAAAACTTTAAAATAAATGTGTTTAATTTAGATTTAGTGGATAATTTATAACAATAATTTATAATCTTAATACTTGTGCAATGTATGATGGGTACAAAACATTAATGCAGGATTCTAAATGTTTAGAGTGGTTTTTGTATAGATTTGTTTAGAAATAATTTTATATGATTCCCTAATATATCATTTTAAGTAAAAAATCATTTGACTTTGAAATTTATATAGATACATTATTATCTTGTACTTGATTATTTAATTTTAATTAAAAAAAATAGACGTGATGAGATTCGAATTCATAACCGTTTGATCGTTAAAATTCTAATATTATATTAAAAAATCATTTTAATTCAAAAACTTAAAGCTGTTAAATAAGATTTCAAAAAAATAATTGTATATTATTCTTTTAAAATAAATATAAATTTAAATTAATAAGTTTTGATATAAAAGTGTGTGCATGCACAACATAGATCAGGGTCGAGTGGGTTTGCATTATTATTATTATTTGGGTAATATAAGGGGTCTAAGAACCAAAAGAAACAATTAAGAGATTTCTACCGGCAATTTCTGTATTCTCCTATGCCCTTTTGTTGAGGTCATTAATATGCTCAATTTGTTTATTGAGACATGATCCTGGTATGTATCTCTTAATTTTGTTGTGATGCTATCGTATTGCAGCTGGTAACGGGTGCAAGAGCATTTTCTTACTTACTTTTTCCATCTATATGTATATATGGCATCGTTGAACTATATATGTGATCATATATGTTCATAAATTTTTGTGTGAACTGTAAAAAAATCTGACTTTTGTACTTAAGGAACTTATGGTTTTAAATCTGGCACTTAAGGAACTTATGGTTTGATTAACTGCTCGCACTTCGAGTTTTTCATGATTTTCACAACTCCTAAAACTTTTTATTTTTTTCTTAATCAAACCGTTAATCCTTTATTCCTCTACCGGTTGACCAAAATGATCACTAAAATACTCTCACATACATACACTACAGACGTAGATATGAAATATACTCAATGTCATGTACACATTTCAAGTTTATTCAATATTTATTCTTGATCATTTTATTTTTAATTCAATGAAAGACGACATAAAAATAAGAAAAATAAATTAATTATATCTATCATAAACACATAAGTAAGATTCATGTGTTAGGGATCGATATAAATTATATTCTAAAGCCATTATTATGATATCGGGTCTTGATTGATCAAGAGGTCCCGAGTTCAAGTCTTATCATCCTTAATTACTTAAGTATTAAGCACAAGACAATGTTGGGGCTTTCAATTGAGGAAGTGTGTTAAAAACTATTTCACTTGAGGAGATATGTTAAAGACTAATATAAATTATATTCTAAAGCCTCAGCTATCGACTTAAATTTTTAGTTGAGATGGTCTTTTAATGCCATGTATTATGCCCAATTAATATTGAAATATGATTTTTTGGAAACTATATATACCAACGGATATATGTTGCATTATTAATTATTTAGTGCTCATATTTTCTATTTTTGATTTTTTTTAAAGCATAGGATGTGGAAATCTTATTTTTCATAAGTAGATCCTTGTTCTCGGATCTATATTTCATGCCTTAAAAAAATTAAGTTAAAAGTAGATTGATTAAAATTAGTTTCGATTCATATTAATCTTGGTTTTATGTGATCACCTTCCATTTAATTTAAATGAAGTTGATTAAAAAAGTAAGTAAATATTAAATAAAATTTGAATAATAAATGTTGAATATAATACATTTTCAAAAAAAAAAAAAAAAGTACGTAAGAGTAGCGAAAGAAAGGATATAAAAGATTTAATTAAAAACATTAAGTTGTAGTAAAATAATGAAAAACTAAAAGTGCTAACAAATCAAACCAGAAGACCTTTAACTGACAATTTCAAAATCGTATATAGCCGCTTGAGTGGAAAAGCCAACAACCACATGCAGTAGTTTTTAGCAGTTTCCTGATCTTTTTTATTCAATTTTGTATGCCCGTAGTGCTCGATCTCCTCTTTTTTCTTTTTATCTTTTCGGTTTTATATTTAGATAATATTGTCAAAGAACCATCTTAATCTAAAAATTTAAGTTGTTAAGTCATGTTTCAAGATATAATTTATATTATTATCTAATATATATTTTTAAGTAAAATAATTTTAAGTTTAAAACTTATACATGTCTACGTTAGTGAGAATTGAGCTCATGATCGTTTAGTTATTAAAGTTCGATACTATATCAAAAAATATTTTAATCCAAAAATTTAAATTCTTAAGTGAAACTTCAAGATATAATTTATATTATTTTTTAACAAATATTACATTATCTAATATGTGTATTAAGAATATTTCTTAACATAGTGAGAAACGATACCAATGAAAGATTCAACTCTTGGAATAAAGGTACCCATTATTACGTGATTTGATATATGTTTATATCAATCAAAGATTGAACTCTTGGAATAAAGGTCCCCCATTATTACGTGTGTGTGTGTCCAGTCTTAAAAAAAAAAAAAAAAAAAAAGAGTTTCTCACAAGAAATAAAAATAAAAGAACTCATTGTACAATGTCAACTTGTCAAGTACATATTATGTTTTTTTTTCAACAAAAAAATAAAAAACCTTCATTTTTTGGTTGTTGGATAAAAATCCTTGAGCAAAAACGGATCATGCTTTCAAGTTTCTTAAGTTTAAACGGACATGTTTCAATAAATGCTCCGAAGCTATCATTTGTTTTCTCCTTGTCTCTGTGTGCAGAAGATCTGTTTAACATGCTCACGTGTTAAGAAAGCTAATTATTCCATATTGGACAAAGATAAGCTATGGTGTAAGCTTAAATTGTTCGGCAAAATTCCACAAATGGGCTATGCCAATTCTATTACAAATTTCATGGATCAGCATTATTTTGTTTTATTTTCTCTGCTTAGCTATGTATCCTTCTGTTTGTTTGTTTGTTTGTTTTTTTTTCAGCTTTTGGTGTTTTATATTTTTATCCATGATTATATATAAAAACACGAATTCTTTAAAAGTTTTGATTAACTATTACACTCTCAATACAATACTAAAATCATAATATAGTACGATATAAGTAAACTCAATCTCATCTTTACTTAAGAAAATGATAAATGATGGGAAAAAAATTATTAATTTCTACAAAATAGGTTATTTTTATGTCTTTAATTTTTACTTAAGTCCATTTAAAATTATTCTATATCGTCAAAAATTAAAAAAAAATGATTTAATTATATTATCTAAATTTATATTAAATTATTTGAAAATAAAACATGTTTATGTAATAAAAATTCAAATTTATTGATTTATAAATAACTATGAACAATTTATTATAAATTAGAAAAATATATTATAAATAAGTTGAATAATACAGGTGCATGCCAAAAACTAATTTTTTTCCCTTCAAATAAAGAATGAAAATGGTCGGACTCAAACGGCAAATCACTTAGTTAACTAAAAAGGCTATGAAACAACGTCAAAGGTCCATTCAACCCAAATCTTTAACTTGTTAATTAAGACCCAAAAATAGTTTTGATTTTTTTCCACACAAATATATTAAAACTCTTTCATTATGGAATAAAATTCTATAAAAAATTGTTTATTGGCGTTAGTATTAAAAATTTGCAGGAGCAATATTATGTATACTTTTAATTACACCACTAGTCCGGACAAGGTACAAATTTTGTAATTTGTTTTAGATTCTCAAGATATCTCAGGTTCATATAATTAAATTAATTCATCACTAATACGCTATTCAATCGAACGTACAAAATAAATATAATTATTTAAAAATTTTTTGTACATATATAAAGACTCGAAATTCAAGATTTTAGTAGTTGCAAGTTATAATACTAACTAATATAGTGTATTTTCAATTACTTGTTTCCTTTAAGATAAAATAGCTTGCCTATCCATCGTTTTTTATTCAATTTCAACTCTGTACAAGTGAGTGGGTAGTTCAAAACTTTGCCACTTAGAACATCCTTTTTGGTTAATAAAATTCTTAATGATGATGCGAGTTAATATTACGATTAAACACTTTATTATTGTCTTTTATCTCTTACCTTGATATATCTAATAACGTACCTTAGCATTCTTGTCTATCGATATGTGAATAGAGGCATGTAACTTAATTATAAGTTAGTTAAATTTTGACATAAATATATATATAAGTTAACTTAATTAATAATCGTATTTTAACTTTCACTTAATTTAAAAATATTTAAATTAATTAAAATCACTTTATATACATATATTGAAATATTTTCACATCAGTTTTCTCTTCAACTGAAATTAAATTCATTGCTTTTTAGGCTAAACCAACGATCAATGCTAAAACATCTTTAAGTTTTGATCGATCACTGTATTTTTATTTAAACCAAATGAATCTAAGTCTATACCCCTAAGAAATAATTATACCTAATTATATATCGGCAGTGGAAATAGAACCTTGATTTTAACCAAATCAAAACTATTTTTTACACCTAGATTACATTCCTAGTAGTTAAAATCACTTTTTGATATTAAAATGAAAAAACACAATTGACATAACTTTTAGAACTTGGAAACTTCGTTAGATGCGTCTCTCCTTCCCTAGTGGAGCGGCTTTATTTCAATTCCACCTGCATATAAGATGCAGTCCCATAGGAGTTCATTGCAATACTCCTGACCTGATTAAGGTTATTGGTGAAACAGTTCCAAGAGAAAAGAAACCCTTATCCCTCTTGTGCTCATAATCTTCAATATATCCCTCTTAATTCGTTCTTAAATATGCAAATCATGAAAACGAGCAGAAACTTAATATTCTGCAAGATTACTGTGATAATTGTACTTATCTTGTTGGCTCCTGCAACCAAAACTGCCGTAGCTTCTAGGTTCTTACAAGAAGAGAAACCAAGAACTGATGGCAGGGGTGATGCAGTTGTAGTTCCCCTTGAAAGGAGTCCAGTCCCTCCATCTGCTGGTTCAACATGCACTAACATAAACAATGGGATCTACCGCGGTGGTCATTGCCCTTAATCAAAGGTAAAAATTGCCTATATAAAATTTGCATGCTCTGGTGCAAGTACTGCCGCCTGATATATTGTGATATAGAACTCAGTCACCACATGTGAAATTTGTCCTTAATTACAAAATATTAACTAAGGAATAAGACTGAGATGTAATTTATGTCTTCTTGGTTTTTTTTTTTTTTTTTTTTTAATGAATAACGAGTGATCATTTCTCGTTGTTTGGATCCGATGTAATCAAGTAACCATATATGAACATATATCATCCCTGTGTCTTTAAATTGAAATCAAGGTTCTTCTTTTCTCAGACTACTGCACTCTGATCCCTCACTTTTAGTTTCTATATGTGAACATAATCTTTTTTTTTTTGTTTTTTTTGAATGTTCTCTATTTTAGTTTCTAATCGTAGTATAAGGCTGATTTTGAGATATACAGAATTCAGACAAAAAAGAATCATCAGTACTATCCCTTGATCATGGCGAGAGAACTGTGCATATATATCAGGGATGCATGTATGTCTGTCTCTCATAACCAGATGCTAATCTATTCAAATCAAACCATTTGAATTTAAGTTTAAAAAATGATCTATCTCTGGGATAATACTTATGACTGGAATCAAATTTAATTTAGTGTTAGTGCTGTTCGTATCTACATCTTAGGGATTGGCCGGCGACAAATTAACAGTACCTACCTCTCTCCCTATCCTTCTCTCTATATGTATGTATGTATGCATGCCTATGCTTCGTGTTTCCTTCTCTTTTGATTTAATGGGAAACCCTAACGAGCGTTATTTTGGGTGCAAGCTTTATAGTGGAGCTACCAACTACCAACATTTCTATAGTGATCTCCCTTCTGTACGGAAAGCAGATTAAGAGACTGGAAATTAGGGAAACTTGAGGATACCTTCTCTTATGATTCTGGTACAGATCTTAGGGTTTTATTTAAAAATTCAATTCGAATCCATAGTCCCTTAGATAATGGTACGTAAAAGAATTCATATTTAATCTACTGCCGTCCTTTCTACTTTCAGAAAGCCTTTTTATCAGATTCCAATTAAGCCCAGTGGTTAGAGTGTTTCTTTTTTTTAAAAAAAATAACTATTGCATAGTATATAAGACGGGAACAATCCATTAACGAATTTCAGTTCTATCGATCATATATCTAATATTTGATTCTATTAGATGACCTTCAGGCCGATTCAAACTGTGCTTTCAATTAACTGTGTGTATTAGATAAGGAGATGACTTGATTATTTCTCCTCGAGAACCTAGCTAGGTAGAAATTAACTAGACTGATTCTTGTGAATGTCCTTTTGATTCTAATGCTACTGAATCTGGAATTTGGCTGTGGTGGTCATGATATTCAGGGCGAACCTTCACTTTTTGTTTTTGGTTACAACTTCGAATTTTAAAAACATGGTTAGAGACTTCATTGTGGAAATCTCGCTTGTTTTCCACAACTAGCAAAGCATGTTCCATTATAATATATGATCATATCAAGCGCAGATATTTGGCGCACGTTAACTTACGTATGGAATTTGATAACGCCGCCTATTTCTTTCCTTAATTATTAGATGTGTAATAATAAGAATATGTCTTGGTCAACCCTTCGTTAATTAGATTTTAATTACGAGTCCATGATTATTACTGTGTTTCTGGATATCTTCAGTAATAAAGCATTTAAACATCGTCCTTTTTCTCTTGTAACATAGCATCTATTTCCTCCAACCTGCATATGGATGTATGTGGAGCCAGGGTAAGTAGAACTTTCGAATGTTTATCAAATTAAGCAAAAGGATGTTAATAAAATAGGACCTAGATGGGTCTGAATCGAGATTATTGAGCAGCTAGCAACTTAGTCGCTCTTTTTTCCTTAGTTACTTGAAGGACGATATATAAAGCATTGATACGACCATCATTTTCTTTGTCGCTACTCAATGTTTGTAAGACTTTTAAAATATAAGTTGAAATTTTTTTATTTGGTAATGTGAGTTAAATTAACTTTTTAAAGTCATCATCTGGTATATTATATATCGCATAATGGCTAAAAAAGAAGAAGCTAAATTGACGTATCCATTCAAGAACAAACAAAAGTTGCACCAAAAAGACAGTTTTTATGAGTTCAAATAATTTATGTGAAAAGAAAATGCCAAAAAAAGTACTTAATTTTAAGCAAATAGTTATATTGGTTTAGGAGCTTTGTCTTGGATTAAAATTCAAAAAACTTTACCAAGCAATCGAGATGCTTCATGGCAAAAAGTTTACTTATTTGGGATATAAGTTTAAAATTATATCAGTTCGAAAAAATATTTAAAATTTTACTTCGTTTCAATCGGTACATAATTTTAATTAATTATCTAAAAGCTTGTAGCTCAATGATAATAGTTTCTTGTAAAAGATTACAAGTTCAAATCTTAAAAATATTAGATGTATGTTGGATATTTAAGTTAAAAAAAAAAAAAACTCTAGTTAATCAACGATTTGATAAGATATGATAAGATATGATACAATGATTTTATTTATTTATTATTATGTTTATGAATACGATAGAGTGATATTGTTGGTTTCCGGGATCTTTTCTTTTTCCTTTTATTTTGGGTAAAAGAAAGTTTGCTGGTCCTTTGGAAATCTCTGTACCTCTATCCTTGAAAGAGAAGCTGGGAGTAAATATATAAAGCTTTAGGACCTCAACGCACCAATGGTCCTTTTTAGCCAGGTTCCACTAAAAATTACCAGTGCTTGAAGAACAGAAGATTGTTGGGATTGGCTAAAATAATTAAAGAGCTTAAATGGTCCCAGAAGATCAACGACAAGGGATAAACACTTCTTTCAAATCCAGAAATTAAAGTGAGGATGCGTGGCAAACATGTCTAAAGTGCATTGCGTTCCATATAATTAAGTGGGGTTTGTCTAACTGCAGCTGTTCAAAGTTTTTTTTATCTTTGTAACCTATGCTTTACAGTAAAGAGAATAGAATGTACAACACGGTTTGCTATAGATGATTGAGACTCGACCGTGCCGTCTAGAAATTTTATCCTTCCATATGAAATAACGGCAAGAGCACCATGAAATTCTTAATTGCACTAAAACAGGAGACTTCTTCTGCAACTTCTGGGTTTGCCCAATCCAGTCCCAACTACGAATCTGCCTGCAAATATTGCATTTGAAAAGTACTTCATTTCAGACTTCCTTAACAGATTGATATTCAAAGAACATATGGTTCCTGGTTTCATTAGCTTGTCCACAAAGAACAATGGTTTCGACAATCATTTTGTTCTTCTTAATCTGTTTTCAGAATTTACCCGCATCTCTCATCTATGTTGAAGCTAAATATACTTTGGGGTACATAATCTCTCCGCCAACACCCAAATGCGCAAGCAAAAACGTAAGGAAATCATGTCCTCCTTACTAGTACGTTCGAAATATATCTGTGCGCAAATGCAGATGGTAGGCATCTCCAGCTTAATTAATTTCATGGCATGGGCAGGCCATTTGCAGAGGGTAATGATTAATTAATTGTAGTAGCATAATCACTAGAAAGTCTAGCATATCTTTCGAAAATCATATGGGGTCCACCCCTTATGATGATCACTATTTTATGCCCTACGCATGCCCTTCCCAATTGGGATGGCTGATTTGCAATTTTTAGCAGCTTCGAGGAATCATCACAGATTTTGGCAAATGTATCTATCAAACTTTTTTCTGGAGCTTTTAGTAATGGAGCTATCAATTAAGAGCTAGCTCAAAAGCAAGCATGCAGCTAATTATAACTATCCTGATTATATCTTGCTGAGAATATTAGAGTCTTGATTTGCTTATTAAGCTATAATTATATGCATTATCATGATCAATGTACTTGCCATTACACCATGTTTCCACATACTGTATAGTTTAATATTTTCTTGCTATATATATTGCCTAGCTAACCATCCTCATCCTTTGGAAGTTAATGCATTTATATCCTACACACCAGCTAATTTCCGGGAAAAAAGTCTTGTAGCAAATCTAGTTAATTGGGGAACCTATAGGCAGTCCGTAACGTTGATTGCTTTGATTGTGCGTTAATTATAATTAATAGTGACTTTATCCTAAAGAGTGAAAGCTTTTTACATCATGCACACACTACTTATTGTCTACATATATGGTAGGCTTTTTAATTATAATCTCACCCAAGCTAGTCAATATAATATCCTCGCATGAAAGTAACTTGAATCAGTAATGAATGGCTGGAATCTAACTTCGTTTTGACCAGTAAAATAAGAGTAATCAGTAATGCTAATTTTACATAATTCATTTTTGGATCAAATGATTGCTGAGTTTCTCTCTCTCTCTCTCTCTCTCTCTAGGATTTTAAGTGTTTTTTTAGTTTTTTTTTTTTAAAAAAAAAAACGAATGGTAGTATTTTTTTTTTCAATCCTTTTCTTTTAATAATCCCATGTTGAGACTTCATGCCTTTAGATTTTACATTTTTTTTTTTAATTCAAAGGAGAGGACATTTTTTATTTTGTAACGTCTGGTTTTTTTACCATCTCGAGTTCTTTTCTTTAGAGTTTATGGTATTTTAGTTTTTTCTTGCTCCAATAGAGTTTTTAGTAGAGGTTCATTCTATTGATCTGGATAGATTAGAGTTGATTTGATAAACAACAATTCTTGACAAGAGAGAAAAGCGTCTACGAGGCAACAAAGTTACCAGTCACCACTATTTTCTCTTATAGCATGTAATTATTTTGCTCTATTTTTTTCTTTGAGTGCCCTCCTTTTTTTTTTTTTTTTTTTCAGATGCCATTTGAGACTATAAAACCACTTTGTATTACTGGTTTATCAATGAAATTAAACTTGGCAACAAAAAAAAAAAAAAAACTATACATATAAAAGTTGCTCCTAAAAGACAGTTTTTATGAGTTCAAAAGAAAATGCAAAAAAAAGTATTTAATTTTAGACAAATAGTTATGCTTGTTTAGTTTAGATGTTTAAATGTCCCCAGAAGATCAACGCCAAAGGATAAACACTTCATTCAAATCCAGAAAAGTAAGGATGCGTGGCAAACATATCTAAAGTGCACCGGGTTCCAGATAATTAAGCTTAAAGGTTACTGTATATGTATCAAATCTTAAAGAATGGTTTTATATGACTCTCATAGAAAGGTTACTGTATATGCATCAAATCTCATAGAATGGTTCCATATAATTAAGCTAGAAGCACCACTAGATGTTGTAAAGGCTTGACAAAGAGAGGGGGAATATTTTATCTTCCATCGATTATGATAATTTTAAACAGAGAATTTTAATATATATCTATCTTACAGCTAGCTAGACAAGTCTTTTTCAAAGTTAGTTTAGCTCTACAAATTGCAGTTATTTCTTGACCATGTCGAAGTGCATATGGGAATTGTTTAAGGTACCTGTTCCATTATTTTTTGTCTGAGGTAACTTTTCCTTAATTTTGTTATGAGGGAAGATGCCAAACTATAGTTCATGAATTTCTATGAATAAGACAAAATAATCAATAAAATAAACAAAGAAATCAAGCATTTTATAATAGAATGGATTTATTTTTTCTAAGTTTCCAAAATTCATTGGTGATTAAGGTTGGATGCATGATCAGTTGCTTTTGATGTATGAAAAGGCAACCCCCTTTCCTTAAAGCAATAAAATGGAGCTTGATTTAACATGGTTGTTTATTCTATGTGAGGATAAAATCTCTTTATTTCCATCAATACATCGAGTGGTGGAGGTGGAGAGATGAATATTTGCTATGATTTACTAAGTTTTAAAGTTAGCCGTGCCTTTTTATGTTATATAATTCAAAAGTAAAACATATTCATCGTTAATTATGAATAAAAAAAAAATTAACTGAAACTTTTTGACGGCAGGAAAGTAGGCACTGATCTTTCATTTTTTTTTTTAATAAATGAAAAATGCATGAAAGGGACGGCTTTAGTTGTGTCATAAGTCATTTAGAAACATCATCATCAATTACAAAAGGTCTTGTTTCTTGTCTTTTCTCGGTAATCACCAGATGATTAAGGTCGAATATTTTAGATTTATTGTGTAAATCATAGATGACACAAGTTTTACATAATATTTATATAACTAGATTATAGACATTTTATTTAACCTATCTTTTATACAGGAGTTTAATTAACTTTAAACCTTTAATTGTCCCTTATAATTTTATTCAAAATAAAATATATAATAACATATAGTATCAATTTAAAATAATACATAATATATGGCCAATATTAAAAGATATTTCTTGCATATCGTTGTGTAATTGAAGCGCCAACCGCATGTTTTTGGTAAAAGGATTGCCTGAGAAATTCTTAAACTCGAATTGATTGTGATAATAACTGATGGGTCCTAGTTTTACATGAAAAAGTACCTAATAATCTTTTTGGTTGTCTTAAAAAACTGTTTGATTTTAATTTCTTTTCTATTTCTATTTTTCTTGAAAACGAGATGTAAAATTTTGTTTGTTTTTGAATTTTTTGTGTTCAAGAAAATAATGATCAGTGACAACTTTTGAAAAGCAAAAAAAGGTTTTCAAAATTGAATTTTACTTTAGCCTATGATTTGAGAATCATGTCGAATTTAAGATATTAGCAAATGAGTGTGGTTCATATCCTATCCCAGTTAGATTGAAGTCAAACCTAAAACTTTTGAGATTGAGATAAAATTAGGATTGATATCGAGTCTAAAATTTCTAGAACTTAAGTCTATCCTGTCAGAATATCAAGTCAAGATTGGAAGGATAATGGATTCAAAATTCAAAATTACACTAATCTGATCTAAAAATTAAATATATAATTTAAATTTTGAAATCAAATCATGACTCTCAAGAGTCGAGATATTATTGAAATCGAACGTTTAAAAATTAAGTATAAACTAGTAAAGAGATAGTATGTCCCTACTAAATTCACTTAACATAAGCTTGACCCGGTTATGTAGTTGAGACTAAACACATTTTCTAAAAATAAAACTGAAAAAGAAACAACCCAAACAAATTTTCAACTTTCAGAAGACGAATGAAAAACCAACGCTAAAAGCCAACAAGCCCAGCAATGACAACCCTCCCCATAAAACAGGTACAATATAAACAAACAAGGCCTCAGGCCTGGATGTCTAAACAAGAACCCAACAAAGCATCAGATAGAAACCCCGACACACACACAAAAGAAGAAGCAAGAGTGCAACCAGCCCAGCTGCCCTTTATGGCTGCACTCTCATACCTGCACCACCTGCTGCTGCCGTTGCCGAATTGATAACTGAACTTCCAAATCTATCCTCTATTTCTGCTGCTATTTGCAAGGCTGGTTTTCGAAAACTAGCCAGCAGTTTGTAAAATTGTGACTAAATATTTTAAGGCGTAATCTTTTCGTTTTTTTCCTTTTGTTCTTGTGTTTTTTCTCTCATTTGTTCACCGATCCTCCTGTATGGTTTTAACGGGTGGAAAAATATGAGGAACTGGTGCCCGATAAGCATAACAGATCTGAGCTTATTTTATGTTGGGCTAGTCTATAAATGGGCTTTGGGTTTCTTCTACAGACTCTAATATAAAAGGGCTTTGGGCCCTTCCTTCTAAACTCCTTGCCCTTTCAGCCTTCTTGAAGTACTGCCGACTGATACGAAAACATTCAGAAGTGCACAACAGACATTGTATTCGATGACAGCAACTCCTGTCTTTTGATTAAATGAAAATGCCTTTGCGAATGCGTAGTCTCGAGCAAGCCGGAAAACCCCGCTACCTCCAACAACACTGGCATTTCTCTCACATCATCAAAGATGGCATTCCGCCCAAGAATATTTAAGGAACTGCCACTGTAGATACCATCCACGAAAGCAAAATTCATCACCATAAGCAAGACAGCATTATGTTAAGAAGCAAAAGCATAAATTCCTTGTGCTCTTCCTACAAGCTTCGAAATTGGTTCTGGCCCTTCTCTCATTAGGTCATCTGCCATAAAAGTGCTGCCAAGGAAGTTGACAGCTTCTGTCATGTTTAGAGGCTGAGCAATTGCAGTAGATGTTTGGTCTTTTCCACTAGGAACGTCATAGAAGTAGAAGTGCAGGATGGTCTTCTTCTCTATGCCTTTCATGTTTTTTTTTTTAAATTTAAATTTAATCATCCGTTTTAATATATACATGTAACAATATTTGTTTTCTTATGGTTCTGTATTGCACCACATGACACATGCACATGTTTTCTTTTGTATTTAATGGACATAAGAACAATGGAGAAAACTATAAGGAGGAAAATAAGGGTTGCTTTCTCGTGATCTCATCCGGCAGGAACAAAAATCATGTCGGCAAAGAAAGAGGGAAAATACAAATAATTAATGGATATATATGTATATAGACGGAATATCAAATTATTATTATTATTATTTTACTAATTTTATTACATGAAAACAAAAATTTCCTATTACTTTGAACTGTATGAAAGTTTTGTTACCTAATATATGATGGCCATTCAAACCATCATGTATGGATAACAATAATTATTTTACAATTTTTGCTTACCTTTTATATATTGTACATAATTAATTATTTTGATTTCTACATTTTTTTTTTTTTTTGTAAAATATTAAATATTGTCCAATAAATGACCCTTTGCCTTAGAAATTACCATGTACTGGATAAAAAAAAATACGATAAATTGAACAAGAGGAATTCCTGCCATTCAACACAGTAGGGAATTGTGTTGTTTTACGGATTTCATTATATTAAAAAGAGTAGAACGTGAAATAAAAATCCTAATGGTTGCAAGTTTTTCTTGAGTACCTTCCCGGTAGAGTGTACTAATTAATTTCCCCTCTTTCATAGTGTTAAGTTCGAGTTATCAAAACACGGGTGATTATTAAAACACTGATCGTCTTTTTTCTTTTTCTTGGATCTCTCTTTAAAAAAAAAATCTTAGCTAATGCTGGTGATTTTTTTACTGGCGGCAGCCTTTCATATTCTTAGTTCTAATTTTTTTTTTTACTTTTTTTTAATACGTTGACAATTTAGATTTAGAATTTAAATTTGATTTGCATATGAAGTTAATATTTCTTGTATTGGGTTGTAGTGGACCTTTCTTGCTTTTTGAAAAAAAAAATTGACGTTCTTCGACAATTAATTTTGAATAATTGAAAATTTTTGTCAATAAAACCTTGAAATGCAGTTTATTTTTTCATTAATTTATAGTGATAATAAGTTTAATTTGGTGTACCATATGCCAAAAAAAGTTTTATTAATTTTGTGTAGTCCTCATCTGAAAGTTTCAGTGAGCTACATAAAAAAGACTATTACTACTTGAAAAAGCATAGTTTAATTTTTTCAATGTAAGAAGTTGTAATTTCTTTTTTAATTTTTTTTTAGTATGAAAAATAATATGAATTTCGAATCATTACTCAATATATGAGTTTCTAATCATTATTGTAAAAAAAAATGGTTTACTTTTTTAATGTAATAAGTTGTAATTTCTTTTTATTTTATTTTTTTTAGTTTTTGATATCATTATAACACTAAAATGATGATGTAGTTATTTGGTGAAATAACTATATATCTTCCATTAAAAAAATATAACAAATAATATCACCAGAGTTTCAGAAACTCATTTTTTTTTAGAGTAAAAAATAATGCGAATTTCGAATCATTACTCAATATTTGTGATTTAAACTTTATGTTATTTTGCTCAACCGCTAGGATTTCTTGCCACGTCAGTACATCACTATCACTTCATCTTTCTTCTTGTACACTAGCCAAGGATTTGGGCCATCGCAGCTAATACATTCAACCTTATTTATATTTAATGGAGGAATCATTTGAAGACAAAATACCAAGTAATTAGCCAACCACTTGCAGAGATCACGGGCATCGGTGGCTAAGGGATCATACCTTGTTGAGCGTCTCAATGCAAACACAACAAATCTGAACACGTCCGCAACGACCAAAAATACAAAAAGCCAAAGAAAGAAAACCAAAAGAAAAGAAAATTTATTCAAAATAAATGAATCAAAGTCAAACAAAACACTGTGTAGATATCTTTTTTTTTTTTAAGAACAAAGACAATATATTATCACAGATACAAGGATAAATCAATGTGTCAACATTCAGAGATATCACCTCAGATTTTGCTACTACAATTTTGAAGAGCAACCAAGCTATTGTATTTATATAGAATCTCTATGAAGGGAGCAACAACTCACTCGATTCCCAACACACTGAGACTCGGGTACAGAGCGAAGAGAGAGCAATGGCATCTGGGTCATGTCTAGGTAAGGCTAAGTAGATAATGCACATGCCCTTTCGTTTTCTCCTGAGTTAGAACTATGATATAATTCGTGCTGGGTGTATTTAATTACCTTTCACATGACATAGCTAGGATCGATTAATTTGATGAAAGTTTTCAGGTAAAAGCTCGTGGCCAGAGCTGGCTAGGACAAATGGGGAGGCGGCAGCAGCTACCATTGAGAGAGAGAACAGAAATGTTGATGCAATTGTCTTGCGAGAAGGAACTCCAGTGACCCAGGATTTTAGGTGTGACAGGGTCTGGGTTTGGGTCGATGACCGTGGGGTTGTGACTCAAGCTCCTCAGATTGGCTAAGATATAGGGAAATCACGAAAGCTATAAAAAAATGGAGTAATCGGTAGTCATAATTATGAATAAAGTTTTCATTTCCTTCAAAACGCTCATGTATTATATATGCTGTAATAAAATTGATATTTAGACCTGTTTGGATAAATATGTTCATTATTCTTCTGGGTTAATGGCTTAAGTAATGCTATATCATTCTTGAATAATATGTCGGGAATTTGGGATTAGGTTCTTGTTCACCTATATAGTTTTTCCCCTTAAGTTGTGCTTGCACTGCTAGCTTAATCTACCTTTCTCGAAACAGAAATGGAGGAGTCAGAATGATGCAACTGGAATTTGATTCCCAGTTGGCGATCAGATTCTATCAAGTAGCCCTAAGCAGGAGGGGCTGTCTGGTATAATCACCAACAAAAAACTTGAATTTGCTCAACAGAAATTAGTTGTCAAAACTTTTGCGACTCGACGAGGGCGATTGCTTTCCCAGAAGCCCCTCCTTTTTCGGAAAAAAAAAAAAAAAAAACAACTGGAACATCTTATTAAGGATTGTAGATGAATAGAGGGGAGAGATTGTTTTTGAGTAAATTATAAATTAGTCTCTCTCTCTAGACAAACAAATGAATTAATTAGTACTTTTGATTTCAAAAACTAATTACTTGTTTGTGTTTTGATGATGATTAATTTAATATTTTTTTATTTTAAAAAGTATTTTTTTCTTGTTAATCTTTTCATACTTCTACTTATATTTTATTTTTTAAAATAAAAAATTAAAATATATTAAAAAAAACTAAATAATTTGTTTTAAGAGGGACTAATTTATATTTACTCATTGTTTTTGTGTTTGGGCCGCTGGTCCCACTGTCAAAAAAAAAAAAAAAAAAGAAAAGGCAAGTTCATATTCATTCACCCGGTTGGATGCATCTAAGAAAAGTCCATTTGTCTAATAGAGCCCAAATCCAAGGCTCGATATTTTCCTAAGCACTGGAGAATTAAGTGTTTGGAATAGGGCTAAAGGCCGAATAACATGGGCTGAGGTGATCTCATCTGATGGACCAATCCAGTGATTACATTAGTGTCAATATTAGCCCACCCCACCCGCGGTGCTGATCCATGCAGCATCACTCAGAATCACGCACATGTAGTAGGCGCTATAAATTGTACGAGGAGGGGAGAAAAGGTCGGTCCTGAGTGAAAAAAACAATTACACATATATTTATGAGAATTTCATATATTTATTTTTTTTATAACATTATTAATAGTCCTGTTGAGTTAAAAGATTTTGATTATCATGAAATCAAATTTGTTTATTTTTATTTTAACTACAATCGTTTCAAGTTGATGACGTGCTTGTTTAAAGTTTATTGAAAAGAATGTAAACCTTAAGTTCTAGTCATATCAAAAATTAAAAACAAAAACAAAAAGAAGGAAGAAAATGTAAGTTTCCACGAGGTAGAAGCTTATTTACAATCCTTTTTGAGAAAGCAAGTTAAAAAAAGAAAAAGTGTTCGCATTAGGAAGGGAAGGGGGACCGTGGACCGACAATGCGCCGAAGGCAACTATACTTGTTCATCAGAAGGATTCGGAACATTTTGGAGACATTTTGATCATGTTTTGCATTAGTTTATCTAGGAACTCACAACCTATAATTTGGATATGACTACGAGTCCGAGAAAGAATTTGCAAATAAGTATAATCTAGATCTACAGCTGACCAGAAAAGTTTAAAAGATTCTTCAAATTATCTATATATATATAATAGGAAGAGATTCTTCGAGTGTAATAACTTCAAAGATGTTTGGATTAATTAATTGTGATAGACTTGTTGAATTTGAAACTTAAAATAGATGTGTTTAATTTAGATAACATTGGATAATTTATAACATTAATTTATACTGTTTATATATGTGGAATGTATGGTCAGTACAAAATATTAATTCACGATTGTAAATTAATTTCTAGAGTGGTGTTTGTATTGATTTGTCTAAAAATAATTTTATATTATTCTATAATATATCATTTCTAGTAAATATAATTTTAATTTGAAACTTATACAGATACAAATAAAGAATTAAAATGTTCGGACTCAATCATCAAATCACTTAGGTAATTAAAAAGGCTATGAAACAACGTCAAAGGACCATTCAACCTAAGTCTTTAACCTGTTAATTAAGACCCAAAAGTGGTTTTGGATTTTTTTTCCCACACAAATATATTAAAACTCTTTGATTATAGAATAGAACTCTATAAACAATTTATTGGTGTTAGTATGAAAAATTTGCAGGGGGCAATATTATGTATATTTTTTATTAAACGACATAGTCAGGGCAAGGTACAAATTTTGTACTTTCTTTAAGGAAATTGAAGATTTTAGTAGATGCAAGTTATAATACTAACTATATTTTCAATGACTTGTTTCCGCTTAGATAAAATAGCTTGACTATCTGTTAAGACAAAAGATAAAAAATATATAAACTTAAAAATGAATTATTCACCACGAATTTTAAGTTTTTTTTTTGATAAAAATCAATCTTAACCATTTAATTTTGTACAGTATAAGAACTTCATAATGGCCTTACAACCTAATAAAAATTTTAGAACTCAAACCGTTTGACAGATTATAAAAAATAGACTGCAAATGAAAGAGAGTATTAGAGAATATATATCATATTAAATAGTGTAACAATAGATGAACAATATTTGAAGTTGAAAATGAGCTACATATCATAAGATTTAATTTTTTTTTTAATGAAATTTAATTTCAAATATCTAACTCTATATCATTCATCGTTATTTATTCAATTCTAATTATGTACAAGTGAGTAATTACTTAAAAACTTTGTCACTTAGAACATCATTTTTTATTAATTATATCTGTCTATTGATATGTGAATAGAGGCAAGTAACTTATAAGCTAATTAAGTTTTTACATACATAAATATATGTAAGTTAATCAATAATTGCATTTAACTTGCACTTAATTCAAATATATGTAAGTTAATTAAAATCACTTTTTGATATTAAAATGAAAACAACACAATTAGCATAGACTTTTAGAACTAGGAAATTTCGTTAGATGCTTCTCTCCTTCCCTAGTGGAGCGGCTTTAGTTTCTATTCCACTGCCTATAAAGATGCAGTCTCGTAGGAGTTATCCATTGCAATAACCCTGACCTAATTAAGGTTATTGGTGAAACAGTTACAAGAGAAAAGAAACCCTTATCCCTCTTGTGCACATAATCTTCAATATATCCCTCTTATTTCGTTCATAACTACGCAAATCATGAAAACGAGCCGAAACTTAGTACTCTGCAAGATAACTGTGATAATTGTACTTATCTCGTTGGTTCCTGCAACCAAACCAGCTGTAGCTTCTAGGTTCTTCCAAGAAGAGAAACCAAGAACTGATGGCAGGGGTGATGCGGTTGTAGTTTCCCTTGAAAGGAGTCCAGTCCCTCCATCTGCTGGTTCAACATGCACTCACATGAACAATGGGAACGACCGCGGTGTTCATTGCCCTTAATCAAAGGTAAAAATTGCCTGTCTAAAATTTGCATGCTCTGGTGCAAGTACTGCCACCTGATATATTGTGATATAGAACTCAGTCACCAAATATGAAATTTGTCCTTAATTACAAAATATTAACTAAGGAATAAGACTGAGATGTAATTTATGTCTTCTTGGTTTTTTTTTGTAATGAATAACGAGTTATCATTTCTCGTTGTTTGGATCCGATGTAATCAAGTAAACATATATGAACATATATCATCCATGTGTGTTTAAATTGAAATCAAGGTTCTTCTTTTCTCAGACTACTGCACTCTGATCCCTCACTTTTAGTTTCCATATGAGAACATAATCTTTTTTCTTTTTTTTTGAATGTTCTCTCTTTTAATTTCTAATTGTAGTATAAGGCTGATTTTGAGATATACAGAATTCAGACTAAAAAGAATCATCAGTACTATCCCTTGATCATGGCGAGAGAACTGTGCATAATATATCAGGGATGCATGTATGTCTGTCTCTCATAACCAGATGCTAATCTATTCAAATCAAACCATTTGAATTTAAGTTTAAAAAATGATCTATCTCTGGGATAATACTTATGACTGGAATCAAATTTAATTTAGTGTTAGTACTATTCGTATCTACGTCCTTAGGGATTGGCCGGCGACAAATTAACAGTACCTACCTCTCTCCCTATCCTTCTCTCTATATGTATGTATGCATGCCCATGCTTCGTGTTTCCTTCTCTTTTGATTTAACGGGAAACCCTAACGAGCGTTATTTTGGGTGCAAGCTTTATAGTGGAGCTACCAAGTACCAACATTTCTATAGCGATCTCCCTTCTGTACGGAAAGCAGATTAAGAGACTGGAAATTAGGGAAACTTTTGGATACCTTCTCTTATGATTCTGGTACATGATCTTAGGGTTTTATTTAAAAATTCAATTAGAATCCATATTCCATTAGATAATGGTAAAAGAATTCATGTTTAATCTCTCCATCCTTTCTACTTTCAGAAAGCCTTTTTATCATATTCCAATTAAGCCCAGTGATTAAAGTGTTTTTTCTTTCTTTCTTTTTTTCAAATAATTATTGTATATTATATAAGACGGGAACTATCCATTAACGAATTTCAGTTCTACCGATCATATATCTAATATTTGATTCTGGTAGATGATCTTCAGGCCGATTCAAACTGTGCTTTCAATTAACTGTGTGTATTAGATAAGGAGATGAGTTGATTATTTCTCCTCAAGAACCAAGCTAGGTAGAAATTAACTAGACTGATTCCTGTGAATGTCCGTTTGATTCTAATACTACTGAATCTGGAATTTGGGTGTGGTGGTCATCATATGGTTACAACTTCGAATTTTAAAAACATGGGTAGAGACTTCATTGCGGAAATCTCGCTTGTTTTCCACAACTAGCAAAGCATGGTCCATTATAATATATGTTCAAGTGCAGATTCTTTGCGCTCGTTAACTTACGTATGGAATTTGATAACGCTGCCTATTTCTTTCCTTAATCATTACATGTATAATGATAAGAGTATGTCTTGGTCAATCCTTCGTTAATTAGATTTTAATTACGAGTCAATGATTACTGTGTTTCTGGAGATCTTCAGTAATAAAGCGTTTAAACATCGTTCTTTTATTCTTGTAACATTCCATCTATTTGCTCCAACCTGCATGTGGATGTATGTGGAGCCAGGGCATGTAGGCACTTTCGAATGTTTATCAAATTAAGCAAAGGATGTTACTAAAATAGGACCTAGATGGGTCTGAATCGAGATTATTGACCAGCTAGCAATTTAGCCGCTCTTTCTTCCTTACTTACTTGACGGACGATAAACAAAAGTTGCTCCTAAAAGACAGTTTTTATGAGTTCAAAAAATTTATGTGAAAAGAAAATGGCAAAAAAAGTAATTAATTTTAAGCGAATAGTTTTATTTATTTAGGAGCTTTGTCTTGAATTAAAATTCAAAAAACTTTACCAAGCAATTGAAATGCTTCATGGCAAAAAGTGTACTTATTTGGGATATAAGCTTAAAATTATATTATTTGGAGAAAATATTTAAAATTTTACTTTGTTTCGATAGGTACACAACTTCAGTTAATTATTAAAAAGTTTATAACTTAATTATAATAATGTTTTATAAAAAATGATGGGTTTAGATACTAATAGATTAATTCTATTAAGAGTTTTAGATGTGACAATTTAACCTTAAAATAATAAAAAAATCCAGCTAATCAACGATTTGATAAGATCTGATATAATGATTATTTATTTATTTATTATTATTATTATGAATGTGATACAGTGATCTTGTTAGTTTCCGGGTCCTTTTCTTTATCTTTTTATGTTGGGTAAAAGACACAGTTTGCTGGTCCTTTGGAAATCTCTGCATGTACCTCAATCCTTGAAAGAGAAGCTGGGAGTAAATATATAAAGCTTTAGGACGTTAACGCACCAATGGTCCTGTTCCACTAAAAATTACCAGTGCTTGAAGTGACAGAAGATTGTTGGGATTTGCTAAGATAAAGAGCTTAAATGGTCCCAGAAGATCAACGATAAGGGATAAACACTTCTTTCAAATCCAGAAATTAAAGTGAGGATGCGTGGCAAACATGTCTAAAGTGCATTGGGTTCCATATAATTAAGTGGGTTTTGTCTAACTGCAGCTATTCAAAGCTTTTTTATCTTTGTAACCTATGCTTTACAGTAAAGAGAATAGAATGTACAATAGGATTTGCTATAGAGGATTGAGACTCGACCGTGCCGTCTAGAATTTTTATCCTTCCATATGAAATAAAGGCAAGAACACCATGAAATTCTTAATTGCACTAAAACAGGAGACTTCTTCTGCAACTTTTGATTTTGCCCAATCCAATCCCAACTACTAATCTGCCTGCAAATATTGCATTTGAAAAGTACTTCATTTCAGACTTCCTTAACAAATTGACATTCAAAGAACGTATGGTTCCTAGTTTCATTAGCTTGTCCACAAAGAACAATGGTTTCGACAATCATTTCGTTCTTGTTAATCTGTTTCAGATTATATCGACATCTCTCATCTATGTTGAAGCTAATTATACTTTGGTGTACATAATCTCTCTGCCAACACCCAAATGCAAGAGCAGAAAACGTAAAGAAATCCTTCTTACTAGTACTTTCGACATATATCTGTCCGCAAATGCAGTTGGTAGGTATCCTCCAGCTTAATTAATTTCATGGCATGGCCCGGCCATTTGCATGGGCTAGTGATCAATTAACTGTAGTTAGCATAATCACTAGAAAGTCTAGACTATGCTTTCGACAATCATATGGGTTCCACTAGCCTCCTTATAGCTTGTTGGATTGTGTGAAATGCAAAATCTTGTAGGTCAAGGGTTCAAAGGCTGCTCTTGGTGTCTCCAGAGAAACGAAAAATCATATGGGGTCCCACTCCTTATCATGATCACTATTTTATGCCCTACGCATGCCCTTCCCAATTGGGATGGCTGATTTGCAATTTTTAGCAGCTTCGAGGAATCATCACAGATTTTGGCTAATGCATCTATCAAACTTTTTTCAGGAGCTTTTAGTAATGGGGCTATCAAGAGCTAGCTCCAAAGCAAGCATGCAGCTAATTATATACTGCTCATTACTATCCTAGTTACATCTTTTTGACAATATTAGAGTCTTGATTTGCTTATTAAGCTATAATTATATGCATTATATATCCTGATCAATGTACCTGCCATTACACATGTTTCCACATACTGTATAGTTTAGTATTTTCTTTCTATATATTGCCTAGCTAACCATCCTCATCCTTTGGAAGTTAATGCGTTTATATCCTACACCCCAGCTAATATCCGGGAAAATAGTCGTGTAGCAAATCTAGTTAATTGGTGAACCTATAGGCAGTCCTTTAGGTTGATTGCTTCGATTGTGCCTTAATTATAATTAATAGTAACTTTATCCTAAGAGTGAAAGCGTTTTCATCATGCACACACTACTTATTGTCTACATATATGGTAGGTTTTTTTATTATAATCTCACCAAAGCTAGTCAATTTATTATCCTCGCATGGAATTAAGTAACTTGAATCGGTACTGTATGCTGGAATCAACTTTGTTTGACCAGTAAAATAAGAGTAATCAGTAATGCTAATTTTACGTAATTCGTTTTCGATCAAATGATTGCTGAGTTTTTTCTTTCTCTCACATTGGGATTTTAAGAGTTTTTTGAGGTTTTTCCTAGACGATGGTAGTCTCTCTTTTCTTTTCTTTTTCCCCAATACTTCTCTTTCAATAATCTCGGGTTGAGACTTTTCTTATCATCTGGAGTCCTTTCCTTTAGAGTTTATGGTTTTTTTAATTTTTTCTTGCTCCAATAGAGTTTTTAATAGAGGTTCATTCTACTGATCTGAATAGATTAAACTTGATTTGATAAACAACAATGCTAAACAAGAGAAAAAAACGTCCACCAGGTAACAAATCTACCGATCACCACTAGGTCTGAGATTAATATGTGGCTCTTTTCTCTTATACCATGTAATTGTTTTGCTCTATTTTTTTTTCTTTCAGTGCAATTCTCTCTTCTTTTTTTTTTTTTTTTTTTTTGGGATGCCATTTTTTACTATAAAACCACTTTTTATTTCTGGTTTTTCAGTGAAATTTCTTATATTTGGCAAAAAAAAAAAAAAAACTGCTAAATTAGGGATAGTTAATTAAAGCGAGTCAAATAACAATTTAATTATTTATAACACTATATAAATTGATTGATTAATTTTGAAAAACTACAGAGACTAGGTTATGATGAAATGAAAATAATTTACTGCCAACGTTAAGGAAAAAAGTTATTGCCATATATATTTATATATGGGACAGTGGCAAAAAAAAAAAAAAAAAAAAAAAAAAGAAAAGAAAAAACACTCAAATTGACATATAAATACAAAAGTTGCTCCTAAAAGACAGTTTTTTACGAGTTCAAAAGAAAATGCCAAAAAAAATACTTATTTTTAAGCAAACAGTTAAACTTGCTTAGGAGTTTTGTCTTGAATTAAAATTCAAAAAACTTTGCCAGTTGTATCAGAAGTGTTTTCTTGCTATCATTTCATCGATGAGAGAAAAAATGACTTAAGCAAAAAGTGTACTTATTTAGGAAATAAGCTTGAAATTATATTACTTCAAGAAATAAATAAAAAATTTACCTTATTTCGATCGGGACACAACTACGATCAATTAACGGTATGGTAAAATATGATATAATAATTCTATTTTTTTTAATGAATATGATACGATGGCCTTGTTAGTTTTTTGGAATAATTTTATAATACATAAGAAGTAACTAGTGATATGTACGAGTAGTTACTCTATAGATCCACTTTGAAGAGAGAGATAGATACAAAAAAAAGAGAGAAAATAAAAGAGAGAGAAAATAAAAAAATTTAAGCGGACGTGGAAATTTTCTTATCACTTTTAGTGGATATAGATATAATTTCACTATTTTTTTTATGTCTATCTCTTTTCTCAAAATGAGCTAATGGAGTAACTATTATACATGAAACTAATTACTACTTTTGTATTATAAAATTTGTCAGTTTCCTATTACTTTTCTTTTTCTTTTTATTTTTGGCTAAAGAACAGGGAGTAAATATATAAATCTTTAGAACCTTGGAAACTTAACTAACCAATGGTCCTTTCTGGGGTCCACCAAAAAAAACTAGTGCTTGAAGTGACAGAAGATTGTTAGGATTGGTTAATTTAGATAAAGAGCTTAAGTGGCCCCAGAAGATCCACGCCAAGGGATAAACAGTTCATTCAAATCCAGAAAAGTAAGGATGCGTGGCAAACATGTCTAAAGTGCTCTGGGTTCCATATAAATAAGCTTGAAAGTATCCCTGTCTAAGTGTCCAAAATTCACTGGTGATTAAGGTTGGATCAGTTGCGTTTGATGTATGAAAAGGCAACCCCCTTTCCTTAAACCAATAAAACGGAGCTTGATTTAACTGGCTGTTTATTCTATGTGAGGATAAAATCTCTTTATTTCCCTTAATAAATGGAGTGGGGGAGGTGGAGAGATGAATGCTTGCTATGATTTACTAAGTTTTAATCTTAGCCGCGCCTTTTTATGTTATATAATTCAAAAGTAAAACATATTCATTATTAATTATGAAAAAAAAATTAACTATGAAACTTTTTGACGGCAGGAGGAAAGTGGGCACTGATCTTTCATTTTTTTATAAATGAAAATGCATGAAAAAGACGGCTTTAGTTGTGTCATAAGTCATAACATCTTCATCAATTACAAAAGGTTTTGTTTCTTGTCTTTTCTCGATAATCACCAGATGATTAAGGTCAAATTAATTCTGTTGCCACAGTAAATAACCAAAGTGAATGTTGCTTACAGTACGAAGGATCAAAGATGTAAAGGAGGGGAGAGAGGTGACGTATATCAAAAGTGATTAAACAGTTATTTAGCCAGAATTTGGGTCATCAAGGAAAAAAATATATCTTCTAGTTTATCTAAATATTTTAGATTTATTGTGTAAATCATAAATGACACAAGTTTTACATAATATTTATATAACTAGATTATAAACATTTTATTTAACCTATCTTTTATACTGGAGTTTAATTAACTTTAAACCTTTACTTGTCCCTTGTAATTCTATTCAAAATAAAATATATAATTAATAACATATAGCATTAATTTAAATTAATACATAATATATGGCTAATATTAAAAGATATTTCTTGCGTATCATTGTGTAATTGAAGCGTCAACCGCATGTTTGTGGTAAAAAGATCGCCTGAGAAATTCTTAAACTCGAATTGATCGTGATAATGATTGATGGTCCTAGTTTTACATGGAAAAAGCACCTAATAATCTTTCTGGTTGTCTTAAAAAACTATTTGCTTTTAATTTCGTTTTCTCTTTCTGTTTTTGTTGAAAACGAGACGTAAAATTTTTTTTTATTTTTTGATTTTTTGTGTTCAAGAAAATAAAAATCAGTGACAACTTTTGAAAAGCAAAAAAGTTTTTCAAAATTGAATTTTACTTTATTAGCCTACTATTTGAGAATCATGTCGAACTCAATATATTAGAAAGTGAGTGTGGTTCATATTCTATCCGGTTGGATTGAAGTCACACCTGGAATAATCTCGTCTAAGGATTAAATATAAAGTTTAAAAATTTAAAATTAAATCATGACTCTTAAGAGTCGAGATAGTATTAAAATTCATCGTTTAAAAATTAAGCATAAATTAATAAAGATATAATGTGTCGTCACTAAATTTAGTTAACGTAAGCGTCATTAAATTTAGTTAACATAATCTTAAACCGATTATCTAGTTGAGACTAAACACATTTTCTGAAAATAAAACTGGATAAAAAAAAAAACAACCCAAACAAATCTTCAACTTTTTAGAAAACCAATAAAAAACCAATGCTAAAAGCTTGGAGAAAAAGAACAACCGTTACATAAGCCAACTAGCCCGGCAATGACAACCCTCTCCATAAAACAGGTACAATATAAACAACCATGGCCTCAGGCCTGATGTCTAAACAAGAACCCAACAAAGCATCAGATACAAACCCAGAAACACACACCCACAAAAAAAGCAAGAGTACAACCAGCCCAGCTGCCCTTAATGGTTGCGCTCTCGTACCTGCACCACCTGCTGCTGCCCGTTGCCGAACTTCCAAATCCGTCCTCTATTTCTGCTGCTATTTGCAAGGCGGGTCTTCGAAAACTAGCCCACAATTTGTAAAATTGTGACTAAATATTTTAAGGCGTAATCTTTTCGTTTTTTTCCTTTTGTTCTTGTGTTTTTTCTCTCATTTGTTCACTGATCCTCCTGTATGGCTTTAACGGGTGAAAAAATATGAGGAACTGATGCCCGATAAGCATAACAGATCTGAGCTCATTTTATGTTGGGCTAGTCTATAAATGGTCTTTGGATTTCTTTGATATACTCTAAATATAAAAGGGCCTTGGGCCCTTCCTTCTGAACTCCCTGCTCTTTCAGCCTTCTTGGCGAAAGGTTGCTCTGGAAAAAAAAATGAAATAAAAAGACTAGCGGTAGGATTAGCGATTAACCGGCCTAGCAGTAGGATCAGCGATTAACCGGGTTAACTATTTCATAGTCCTTCGTTTACTAAAACATGTCTAATCAAGTCCTTGTATCAATATAAGGTTGATCGAGTCCCAATTTCAGCAAACTACTTAACATTATCCCACCATTAGTGATGTTTTTAACAAATAACAAAATCAAGCCAATAACGCGCTACGTATCCTTTGACTTCACAGTCGGTTTTTTTTTTTTTTTTTTTTTTTTTCTGATTTGTTTGTTTTGGCAGTATTATGAACCTATTTTAGATTAGAAAATAAGAAAATTTATAACATTTATATGATATAAAATTAAATATTAAATATTAAATATTTTATTAATTGGTTCAATAAGATTACAATTCCATTATAATTTTTTCAAAATAAAAAACTGATAGAATCTTAACAATCATTGCTCGCTCTTTCAATAACGAAAAAATTAGAAATAAAATTCAAACTCAATGATACAAAATTCTAGAATATAACAAACAAATTTAATAACTACAAAAGTTTTGCCACCATCATTTATACAAACACACGTCAAAGGTTTACAATTACAATTAAAATCATGGCATGAAATTCAAAATTGAAGTCAACTTTAGTTTCAAAATACTTCACCATCATTAAAACTTAATAGCACTTACTTTCGAATATATCCCAATCTAAGAACAAAAGAAAAGTCTTACTATCTCTTTATTGTTCAAGTTTAAAGAAACTGATTTTTTCTCAATTTGTTACTTGTGTACCTGATTTTTAATAATTTCAAAATTAATTTTAAAATCTTAAGAAAATAAAATAACCAATAAAATTATAGTCAACAAAAAAAAACGTCGTATTATTAGCGCAATTATCATCCTCCATAATGATGTTACTAATGGTGGAAAGACATCAAGCAAATTGCTAATATAGATGGACTCAATCAACAGTTGTATTGATAGAAGGACTTGATTAAACATGTTTTAGTAGTACAGTGACGACAAGAATTGTTAACCCGCGATTCACCTAACAGCGCGTAATACGAACATGTGGCAAAATATAAAAAATGCAAAATTTACCCACGGGTAACACGAGCACCACAGCCTGTTATGACCCCATTTGAAATTATGAAAATAAAAATAAAAAAATAAAAAAAAGACAACCCTAGATCATTGATATCATCAGATCTAATCTTGAATCTGAAAAACCTTGAAAATTTTCAGACAGGTGAAACTGAAGAATCTTTCCAAGCTGAAAAAATCCGACAATACCAACCGACATACATAGTTGAGTTTCCTTCTCTACTTTTAGACAAGTATTTGCAGACTGTCTATAAGTAGACAACTTATACAAATAAGGTAGAGATCTCATCTTCTTTGTAAGCTTTATTCAGTTTGTTGCATTTGTGTGCTCTTGTCACTAACAGACATTTTTCTTCATCTGAAACTTGTTGTTCTGTTGAGTGTGTGTGATTTTTGAAGTCTGCTTAGAATCCAAGCCTTATATTTTTATTTTTTATTTGTTTTTTTTTTTTTTTTACCTTTTTACTGGGATTCATGAATCAGGGGTAGTTGAATATTAGAATGAGAAAATTCAGTGTTTGTGTAGGATACAGTTTTTGAGAAATCTGAGGTTGGTTTGAGAGCGAGACAATTATGGATGAGAAATTTTGGGTGAATGATGAAAAGGGTATGGTGGAATCACTGTTGGGTGTTGAGGCCTGTGAATTCTTGATCACATCAGCGTCTAAAAACTTACTGAATGATTTAGTTTCGCCGCCTGTTAATTCGGGGGTGCAGCAGGGTCTTGTCCAGCTTGCTGAAGGTTTCAATTGGAATTATGCGATTTTGTGGTATGCTTCTGGCTTGAAATCTGGTGGGCCTATATTGGTCTGGGGTGATGGGATTTGCCCGGACCCTAAGGGCAGAGGGGTTGGAAATGGCAGCTCTAGCGGGGATGGCAAATCGGAGGGAGCTGAGAAGAGAAAAGAGGTGAGGAAGCGTGTGCTTCAAAAGCTGCATGTGTGCTTTAATGGATCAGGTGATAATAATTTTGCAGCCCGTTTGGATGAGGTTTCGGATGTGGAGATGTTTTACCTAGCCTCAATGTATTTTACTTTTCGGTGTGATTCAGCACATGGCCCTGGAGAGGCATACCAGTCTGGTAGATCAATTTGGGCATCGACCATGGCTAGCTGTTTGGATCATTATCAACTGAGATCAGTTTTAGCAAGATCGGCTGGGTTTCAAACGGTGGTGTTTTTACCTGTTAAGTCTGGAGTTCTGGAGTTTGGTTCGGTCAAATCAATTCCTGAAGAGCATGATTTTGTGGAGAAGGCAAGAAGTATCTTTGGGGCATCCAGTACAGCACAGGCAAAGGCAGTTCCAAAAATTTTTGGCCGCGAACTGAGTCTGGGTAGCTCAAAATCACGATCGATCAGCATTAACTTTTCCCCAAAGGTTGAAGATGAACTGATTTTCACTTCAGAACCTTATGCAATGCAAGCAATGAATACAAATCAAGTTTATGGAAGTACTTCTAATGGGCGTTCTAGTGACAAGAGTGAAGCAAAACTGTTTCCACATCTGAACCAAACAATTGTGGGTTTCAATGCTGAAACATTGGTAGGTGGTTTGGAGCAGCCAAAGGATGACTTGTCCCCTCAAGGTGATGAGAGGAAACCAAGGAAGAGAGGAAGAAAGCCTGCCAATGGAAGAGAAGAGCCACTGAATCATGTGGAAGCAGAGCGACAGAGGAGGGAAAAGCTCAATCAGAGATTTTATGCATTAAGAGCTGTGGTCCCCAATATCTCTAAAATGGACAAGGCCTCTCTGCTTGGAGATGCCATTACCTTTATCACTGATCTCCAGAAGAAGATTAGGGTTTTAGAAACTGAAAAGGGGATGGTAAACAATAATCAAATGCAGTTGCCAGTGCCAGAGATTGATTTTCAGCCTAGACAGGATGATGCAGTTGTGAGGGCAAGCTGCCCTTTGGATTCTCACCCTGTTTCTACCGTCTTAGAAACATTCAGAGAACATCAAATTACAGCTCAAGACTGTAATGTGTCCATGGAGAGTGATAAGATTGTTCACACATTCTCTATCCGGACTCAAAGTGGTGCTGCTGAGCAGTTGAAGGAGAAACTGGGGGCTGCACTTTCTAAATGATCTCTCTGTTTGTTTTTATTTGTGCCATCAGACTATCTCATGTATCTCATAGTCCTCTTCGAAAATTAGATTTTGTACTATGAAATGAGCTTCTATAGTCAAGGTGAAGATAGAGTAGTCACTGTTTAACTTTGTAACAAGGGGGAACTGCTAAAATATCCCTCAGGCAAGCTCCAGTTGGGAATTTGGACATGATTATATAGCAAGACAGTATGAATTATCCTCTTGCGTTGGGTCTGTATATTTTCTTCTTTCAATGTTTCTCTCCTACGTATCAAGAGGATTTCGAAGACCCACCCTAGACATCAAGTTAAATGGTTACTGATATTGTCTAAGATGAAAATGTGCTTATATAACTGCATCAAAATTAAATACATTTCGTTTATTCTGAATAGATAAGGATTTGGTTGTAGGATCGAACCTCTAATTTACTTCGTTTTTACGAGGAACAACAAGATGACAAGAAACTTATAGCTGTGTTTTTCTGGTTAAAAAGCTAAAGAGATGATGGTGTGGATCTTCATCAGTAATCCGTGTCCCTGCATGTTGGTCTATAAATCTTTCTTTTGTTTCACGTGCGGCTAGATTTTCTTATGGATAATTTTGTTCAATTTTTATGCATCGAAACAGAAACAAAATCCCTAACAATGTAAGATATTCATTAGTTCAGCTAAGAGTGTTAGTTAGAGAAAAAATATCATGATATTCAAATTGACATATCGTTCCTCAGATTATTTTAGCCAACTTTTCGTGCACAAAGTCCGAAACTATAATATATTAATTTTTGTTTCTTTTTATTTATTTATATTGTTATTTTTTAAAAATTGTATATCAATTAAAGGATTCAGTAAATTATTTAATATTTATATTTATTTAAAAAAAATACGTGATGTGTTAATTTTCTTTACTTGTAGTATTTATGAATTTTTGTTTTATCAATGAAAGAATTCACATTTTTAATTTGTTAAAAGAATCTTAAACAATTAAATGGTTTTCGTACTAACAACTTAACATGTTGTTTACAACGAAATAATTTAAAATGTTTAATCTCATAATATACAACAACAATCACAATGCATTCCACGTAACACAAAAATCATAACGAACATCAAATAAACTACACCAAGTGCATACAATATCAATTGGTTTAGTTAAAGAGAAGTATTTTTAACTAAAAATAATAGTATTCAAAATAAGTGAATTATAAATTAGTATTTCTATTTTTGAAAAACAAATTGATCAGTCCTTTTTTATTTTGAAAACTATTTTTTAATCATTTGATTAGTATTAATCATGTCTAATTTAATATTGCTTTACTTCAAAAAAATATCTTATTTTTTAATTTCATCAATTTTTCCATAATAGCTATTTATTTTTTTTTCAATTTTTCTTATTTTTTTTAAAAAATTAGAAAATAATATAAAATGAATAAAAAAATTAAATAATTAGTTTTTAAAACAAAAGGGACTAATTAATTTTTTCTTAAAACTAGAAGGACTAATTTATAATTTACTCTATTCAAAACCAAATAAACTACACTACTTTCATAAGATATCAATTAGTTTAGTTAAAGAGAAGTATTCTTAATTAAAAAAACATAGTATTCAAAATGAGTAAATTATAAATTAGTCTTTTAATTTTTGAAAAACAAATTAATTAGTTATTTTTATTTTAAAAATTAATTATTTAATCATTTGACTAGTATTGACCATATTTAATTTAATATTACGTTACTTTTAAAAAAATCATTTTTTCTATCAATCTTTCCATAATAGCTGTTTTTTTTCTAATTTTTTTTAAAAAAACAAATTAGAAAAGATCATAAAATAGACAAAAAAAAAATCAAACAATTAGTTCTTAAAATAGAAAGGACTAGTTAATTTTTTTTCTCAAAAGTAGAAGGACTAATTTATAATTTACTATGTTCAAAACCACGGTCTGCAGTCGTGTAGTTTCTGGTTCTCCAATTTGAATTCAATCCAACAACTTATGGTTCTCCAATTTGGAATTCAATGATAAAGAAAAAAGGGAACCTATTGCCTTTTTCCCACGCTAAAGCTAATTTAGAGCCGAGTCCTTGCGCTTAACTTAATTATAATACAGCAAATCTTGGACCTAATTTCGGCGATGTCGCTCATAGCATATAATTTTATTATGATTTTGAATACCTTAATTGTTGACCTTGGTAATGAACAATTTTTTTTACAAATATATAACAAAAACCTTTCCTCGGTTTTGATATGACTGTCAGTTTAGGGTCTAAGCTATGGAACGGATGTTGATCAATTCTACCATTAATTTCAACCTTCAAACCCATGGCTAAGTCAAACTCAGAAATATTAGTAAGCCCACGTCGGTCAAAACAATGTTAATCTTGTAGCAACGGCAAAAAAATGTTGGGAGTCCCTCATTATATATATATACACGAGTACATCCTCATTGTTGCACCACGGTATCAAAAGCTGATCTCCCTCCATCTGAAAAAAAAAAAAACACACGATCTTCTGCTTAAGCAGCATTTAGGTGAATTGAGGGGAAAAAAAGCTTCAAGAACAACGTTCTGTTCATTTTCTAAGAGATGGGTTTCTGTCACAGGAAAAATATATTCATCATTTTTTTGATTTTATCGATTCTTTCAGCTTCTCTGCAACTTGGTGCAATGAGGCCATTAGGGAACCAATGGCTAAAGCAAGATGGGTTATTGTTCCATTCCCTCCCAAAAGGTCCGGTGACGCCATCCGGTCCCAATCCATGCACTTACATACCGAGAGGAGGCTCGGGGAATTGCAAATTTGCTGGGATGAATATAGCCGGGAATGTTGCACGTTCAACTTCTGCATTTTCCAAACGTTCAGTGGCTTCTTCCATTGCTCAAAACAATCGTCAACAACATTGAAGTTCTTAATTAATGTTCCTTCCTTTTAATCACAAAACAATGGAGATGATTAGGCATAATAAGCCTTATAGCCTCCTTCTCCCTTCTTTCAAGATTATATGTTTAATTTGTTTTTTTATTTGCTTGGAGCAACCATTTCCAGTAGAGTTTGGTTGTGATGTAAAAATAATGTATAACTGATATTACAAAAAGGAAAGAATAAAATTATTGACTCATTTTTTAAACTTACGTAAATAAATTTATTTTTCTTCAATTTGGAAGCTTTCTTTCCTTTTTTTTCCCCCGGCATGTTTCCATTAGGTGCTTCCTGAAATGATCCTTTTCACTACAAATATTTCATATTAAAAAAATTCTTTTGCTGGCTATACGAGTAAATGTGAATAAATATTTGACCTATATCAAACCAAAATTAAAATGTTAGAATTAGTTGTTTTTTTTAGGTTCAACAATAAAAATATTTTCGGATCAATTTTTATGCACTTTTTGACTAATCCCTTATTGGACGTGGTTAAAAAGAACTCTTTAATACACGATATTAGATATTTTAAGAATAAATATTTAAGATTATTGGTCACAATTATTAAATTCTGAATGTTGTCTATAAATTGAAGTTTTTTTTATCACTAAACTACTATTTTGTGGTTAGAATTAGTATCCTTGAACGACCTCAGTTAATACATGCTTGCATGCTACGAAAAGACTAATACAGTATTTAATTACACGAAGGCATAGAAAAATTCGAAGGGAAGAAAACAAAATTGGGCATGGATGCTCACGGGAATGACTAAATGCAATACCGATCGATACTATTTCAAGTTTAGTCAATTTCAAAATTGAATTCGAACCAAAATCTTGGACATTGTCGCAAACCAAACTTCGATTCAGTCCATTTTCACGTCATCCCTATCTGTCTTTTCCTTTTTGAGAATCCCCATCTATTTATCATGTAGCCTTAAGTAAAACATAAGTAGCGAACCGTAGAATTATCAAATGATTGACTGAGAATGCAAAAAAAAAAAAAAAAAAAGATGAAAATTATCACATACATTTTTATACAAATTTGTATTATTCCTTTCTATGTTATTGACATCGTTTTATATAAACATCTTGATCACGTCAATAAATGAAAAATAATGTTTTTAAGTATATATATATTATTGAGATACACAAATGAGTTGAAATTTCAAATTTAACGATCATGGATGATGATACGTAGTAGAATATTATGCTCGTTTAGCTCGTAAGTTTATATAAATACACACTCATATAATAAATTAAGCTCGTAAATTCAAAATAAATTCCTTTTCTATACACCTGTATCATGTAAACGACGTGTTTTTGTTTTTTTTTTTAGGCAATAAATTGTATTTGGTAAAAGGGATAAGGGTGGATGGATGGATGGATGATGGGGAAAGATGAGAGGTGAAGAAATATTGTTTTTTTCAATTTGACAAGAAGGATAAGGATCTGAAGAAAACGGATTGAAAGATTCATTAATTTCGACGATCCAAAGTGACAAACCAACCCTCAGAGATATGTTCGATGTTCCCCTATTCAAGTCTATTGTTTTATTTCTTATTTTAAAAATTCAAGATTTTTTTTTCTTTTTCTTTTCATTAGGAGATCCAAGGGCCTCATCAGCTATGTGATCGGGGGAGTCTTTGGCATCCTTATATCCCATCCTTCTCCTTCCCTTCCAGGATTTAAATGAACATGAGATCTTATCTGCTGCATTGTGTCATGTACGGAAACTAAAACATCAAATTCTATATCCATTACGTAAATCCTTACCATTGAGTATTTATACTCAATAGCAACGTACTTGCATGATTCGTCAATGAAGGATATAACTCAACTGATAATTAATTACACGGGTTTTTGACCCTTGACTAAATAAACGTAAAAGATTAGAAAATATAACTCTTCAAATGTAAAGACCTGTGATGTCCACTTGTCACGTGCATAAGCAAATCTAGATGTGCTTCAGCACTCGGGAATTCACATAAGCCACGAGAGAAGGACGCCATTATTAGTTCACAATTTTTTTCAAACGAACACCGAATGTACTCAACTAAAACGTTAAAACTTCATATGCAGAAAATTCATCATACCCAAAAACGATAAGTATTTCAAATGGGCATGTTATTTCCAGGACTCCAAAGTTTTTAGGCTATCTATTCCTTTACAAAAGCTCAACAATACTGTTGCTTTTATACAAACTACATATTTATGTAAGAAAACATTGTACTTAAAATCCATTTATAATTATTACAGCAATCTGTACATTGGCCTCACCATGTGCTATGAGCGAAGGACAAGGTTCAGGTAACACAATTATTACAGAAATTGGGTAGCTGTAACTATGATAATCACAGGATGTAATTGTCTAAAGCTGAATGGTGCACATAACTGCAGTTTTGAAATCCAAAGGGTGATAGAATGGTGGTTTTGTAACAAGTGATCTCCATGTCTTCTTCTTAGGATGGTAGATTTGGACGTAAAGTGTTCCTCCCCTCTTTTGCTGCCGTGACCTTCGATTTTCCACTAAATCACCTCCTTGCAGAAGAGTCATTACATGTAGCTCCCCGTCCAACACAACAAAACCAAACGAGGAGTTGAAAGGAGCTTTTCGAGGTACACTGGACTCTTTCTGCCAAGAGTTTGAAGCCATTTCATATCTGCAATGTGAAGAACAAGTGAATTAGCATCACCAATGGAGCATCCAAAAAAAAAAAAAATATCGTTTTGTAACCCACACAAAGATAACAACAATAACCAAGCCACAATCTCAAACTAGTTCAAGTTGGCTAAATGGATCCTTTAGTTCCATTCTATGCGATCTTATAACACAACACACACAAAGATAATACTTGAAAATTATCAGGTAGTTTAGTGGCTGCAGAAAGCACTCTATGAGGTCCTTACAGTTGGATCTTGATTATTAATAGCAAGTGTGTTCAGAGGATAGGCATGAGCATGTGAACATAAGGAAACAAGCTAAAGAATACGTTATTAAAAGGCAGAAAATCTGATTGAAAATTGCATATTGAGACGACAATGAATGGGAACTTGACCAAAATGCAGTTACCATCCCGTAAATGCATGCACCGCCTGTATTTCTGCTTGTCAGTGACCATGTTTAACACACCACTGTATACTTTATTACCCAATAAGACACAAGCCCTCAAATGAACTACTGTTGGAGACATAAAAATCACAACCCATATTTGTTTACTAGAACTTTCTTTACACTTGTACTTATCAAAAACAAAAGTATCTTACTACGAAGTCAATCATATTAATAAGGTAATCTCAACCTATCAAGAACTTCAGATTAAGCATTACAATCAAATCAAATTTCAATGGCACAATAATAGAAGAGTAAATCAAAATAAAGATCTGTACTTTTCAATGAATATGATCGTATCACATTTGGAAACGCCTGAAAATAGATGCTGCAGTTGTTCTAATCATTCCATTATAAACTCTTACTAGCTTCGACAGGATAAATTAGTAATACAATAAACAAGTCAAACTCCTAAGATAGAAACTATTAGATCAATAATACATATACACAAATATGTCTAAAAAATTACAAATATGTACACGTGTACGTACACAATAGTCCATGCACATACGCCAAAAAAAAAAAAAAAAAACCCACCCTCCATGCCAAGAAAAATAGAAAGAAATAGCTACTAAGATTAACCACATTATGTAACTTAACAGAGGGCAAAGGTACAGTGGAAACACTAGCCAAATCATTAAATGGTAAGTTGAGTGTGCACAGATCAACATTTATAGCCAAATGCAACACACATCAATCTGCATCATCTCCTATATGAAAGATAGAAACTACCTTAAACAGAAGATGCTGATAAACACCTCAACTCACCTCCTATGCATAATATTTTACATTTCAAAGATTTCAATGCACATGAGTTTTAGCTACAAATTTTGACACCAGAGCACACATTTCTCTCACATTACCAAAAGGGAAAAGGGAAATTTATTCTTTTCCAAAGGAAAGAAAAGAACGAATGTGCCATTCAACGACCATCTGAATCATGCATAAGGCTGTCTAATGATAGAAAGTGGAGGGACACCGGGATATACCTAAGTGTACTTGGGAAACATAAGGAATGGTTTTCAAATTAGTTTCAAGGGGCTATTATGAATTGCAAAGCTGCTTCAGTGGGACAATATTTCAGTATGGGTAATGGCTTAACAGCCTGTTTTAAATTTTTAAGTAAATTCTACCAAACACTATCGCTGGCCACTTAAAAAAACACAAAATAAAAGAACCAAAAAAAAAGACTAGAATGCTCATGATAGACCACCATTTACAGAACCATATGTAATAGTCCCTGCATTACCTAGCTAATTATCCCCAAGTTAATCAGCGACCGACACCTATTATAATCTTACAATATTAATCCCAACCGCAATTGCTAATAAAAGACTCCAAAAGCGAAAGCATATCAAAGACCCCTAGAAAAAAAAAAAAAAATACATACTCTTGTTTGCATGTGATGTGTCATTAATTCATGAAGATTCTTGATTGATCGAACTAGTATTCATTCTTGTTTTATGCAATCCATTATGGAAATACGAGGGTTATCCAGTTGCATTTTTTATAAGATCTCTTGACAGCTAAAGTGACTCAAACGCACAAGATAGAATACAATGATGATGATGGAAAGTAAGAACACAAGAAAAAACACATGTTTACAGTATGATATTGATTTAATGCTAGCATATTTGGCAATCTAATAACCGCATGGAAAACTTATGCAGTTTTGTCCGCCACCACCAAGTGGCCAGTTGGCCTCAGAGACACGATACGTGGAAATCTAGAAGTATCCCATGCACGAGCAGCAATGAACCATAAGGCCCATAAACCACTAAAAAGATTTCCAGGTCAGTTGGAATTACAAAGCTGCTCAAGTGATCAATCTCTCCCCAAAAAGCGAATTCATATAATGATCAGTAACGCAAGTCGGCAATTGTACTTACAAAGCTTTTCAGCTTGTTCACAGGTTTGGAAAACCGTTTTCCCTTAACTTGTGAGGTCCCATGGCTCATACGTTGCCGCAATAGTTTACATGTCTACTTATGCAATCTACTTCATTAAACATGCTTCTCTAGTTCATTAAATGAAAGCAAATGGCTGCTACTTCTATACAGCACAACAGAATCTAACAGAGACAAATCAAATAACACCTAAAAGCAGCACCACATAGCAGAAACCCTAGCTAGAAATACCAATGACTTAGCTAATTAATTCAATCAAATAGTTAGCAACTCTTACTTCAAAGACAGAATAAACACTAACAATACAAATAGCTTCACCACAATAACAGGACTAAGATTATAATGACTCGCCTGAAAATCACATTCTCATCAAGCATAAAAACAGCAGGGCGACCCTGATCCTCTCCCAAGCTCTCAGCCTCCTCCTCAACAGCAACAATCTTCCCGAGCCTCCCTCTACCCGCAACACCCCACATATCCCCAACTTCCCTCCACTTCCCACATCCATTCTTCTTCACATCCATCACAACAGCATCCTTATAATACTCATCCACAGGAACAATCCCTGAAATCGTCCTCGAATCTCCATAACCTCCCATCACCCGAAACTCCTTTTCCTCCCCATTCCCACTCAAAAACCCCGCACACCCTGCCCTGTATCTCGGCAACCCATCTAATGCCACCCACTCATCTTTCCCAACATCATACCTCTCCACCGAGCTTATCCTACTCCCCGCCGCACCAAACCACGTATGCCTCGACCCTCCTCCAGCCACAATTATTTGCCCAAAATCAGGAACCGCCACACAGGCAAAAGAACCGCGCGGTGACAACATTGGACAGAGTTTCTCCCACGAGAAATCAGCAAAATTAAACCGAAAAACGGACGATGTTGGCGAAGGACGGTCCATGGGGTACGAACGGGTGTCGAAGAGGGACCCACCAAGAACATAGAGATTAGGGCCCATCGAAATGGAAGTGAAATTACAGAGTCCATAGACGTGAGGGTTACAAGGCATGGGTGGAAGTGGACGCCAAGCGAGGTTTTGCGGGTCGAATAGGTAAGGCGAAGAGATGAATGGATCCTGCGGGAAGATTACTAAGAGGTGATTAGAGCGGCGGAGATGATAGCGTAGTGAAAATAGGGTTTTGGTTGAGGAGAGAAAGGCGTGCCATGATTTGCAAGTCGGTTTGAGGCGGGAATGGTACGAGTACGGGATCGTTGAGAGAATTTGTGATGCGATGTCGTTTGGAAGACCTGGGATTAGGGTTTGGATTTCATTAATTTGAAGCTGTGATAACGATGAAGAAGCAGATGGAGCCATTTCCTTCTGCTTTTTCCTTCTTCTTGTTGTTGTTGTTTTTTTTTTTTTCAGTTTCAATTTTTATGAAATCAAAACATCAATCCCTCTTTTCAAGATCTGGAGATGATAAACTTGAAGAGTGGTTTCGAATTCTCCACGAAGGAAGGGTGGTGGAGTGGTTATGGCTGCCTGCTAGCAGGAGCAGCAGTAACAGTTTTTAAGCTTGCCGGGCAAGAGGCTTTTATGGCGATGAATTTTTTTTATTTAAGGAAAGTGCAGCGGTTGTTGCCTTTTGAGGATTTGACATTTCTTGTTTTTTCGACACGTGGAATAAGGGTTGGTTTTGATGCTTGCTATGGAGAGAAGATATGGTGATGACTGGATTGTGTGTTTGGATTTGGTTTGGTTGGTTTTGATCCGGAGTGGATGAATGCAGGAGATTATATCTAACGGACGTTTGGATTAGTTAAGGTTTTTGTGATTGGAGTGGTTGTTAATCCTAATCTTTGTCCGAATTTCTTCCTCAAATCCAAGGAGGCACTAGAAAGTTTAAAGTACTAGTTATCAAAAACAACGAAAGTTTAAAGTGCCATTTGGAAAAAGTTCCAAGTACAAGGGAACAACAAAAACACCTTAAATTTCTTCTCTCGTTCACTATGTTAGTTGCCCCTTGTCAATTTGGACGATCAATGTTGCCCAACAAATAGACGTATTGAATCAATGCCATCTCTCATGGTATTCTTAAAAAAGCGTAGAGATGCTGTATCGTTATCAACACACTCTAATAAATACAGACATTATATATTGGTAAGGAATATAAAATTATTTTTAAAATTTCATTAAATATTAAAATTTTTAGGTTGAAATAATTTTTTGACATGATATCAAAGTTATTGATGATCAAATATTCTCAAATTTGAATCTCACTATTAGGAATGGCACATCCTCGCTTTTGAAAATTTTGCTCCATTTGTGCCTTGTGACTTATACGAGATAATATTTCTCATATCATCCATGCTCCAAATGAGGATAGGGATTCCTGCGGAGTACCGATGCCCCATTTAATTTTTTATTCCTTTCTTGTCTTGCCTCGTTATATTATCGAATTTTAAACTATAGCAAAAAAATGATAATTTATATAAAAAATAAACCCTAAGAGTCGGTAGTCGGAGATTTTATATAGAATATGATTTTAATTTTAAGAATGAAGCAAGGCAAACGAGGTGAGCAAATATCATTCTCGATCTATTCCCGTTCAAAATAAATACGAAGCGGGACGCTTGTCTCGTTCCTTAATTAACCCAAGGAATTCTCGAGTTGACCAAGGCGGAGCAAGGCAAATTGCCGTTATTACTCATCACTCTCACTTTCTCTTTTAATTAAAATTAAATAATTAAACATAAAGTAGTGATGTATTTGTATAAGTTTCAAATTAAAAAAAGTTTTCTTTTAAAAAAATATGTTGGAAAGTAATATAAAATTATTTCTAAAACCTCACCTAACAATTTAAATTTAAATTTTTAGATTGAGGTAATTCTTTGATATCGTATTCAAGAGTAAAATAATAATGATAATGATAATTTAGTTGTTGGAAAGCAATTCTTTGATTGAGGTAATTCTTTGATATCGTATTATTTCTAAAATATGTTGGAAAGCAATTGTTAATTATTTAATAGATTTTTATATCAATTTAATTGTTAATTTAGTTTTTGTTTTTTATCAATTTATTTAACATGAATTTTTCATTAGTGATTTGACTAATGACATTGAATTAATCACATAATCAAACGACACATGTCATTTAATTGTCGACTTTGTTGGTTTTTTTATTACTTAAAAGCATTTATAAAAATTATTAAATAAAAAAATTGAAAAAAAAAACTAAACTGACGAAATAAGTTTTTCAAAAAACACAGTTTTTTTTTTTTAATAATCTATGTAGATTCTTTAAGTGATTTGTTTGGGGGATGGGATCAGCGATCAAAAGACACGTTTTGTCTGACCGTGCTATTAACCCAACGTTGTTCGTTAAATTATTAACAACATGCTTACGTTAAACAAACTGATCTAGTACAGTGATCCAATTAATACTTAATTTCGTACAAGGATGTTAGCTAAACAATTACTTATAATACACAAACGGTACAAATCATTTACTCGAAAAAAATAAACAGGTATTAATACATGCATTTAAGAGAGTGAAAAAAAAAAATTCGTAGTTTTATAATAACCACTCATTTACCCATACACTGTGTAAAGATCACATTTTATAAATTTTTTACAATAAAAAAAATTAATATGAAAAAGAAAATACACAACTCCACTGTTACTTATAATCTTACGATGAGTTTTTTTTAACATGAACTCTAAGAGTACATGTTAGTTGAAATGAATTAGAATGATTTAATTTATATGCTAACAATATTACATTGTGAAATATGATATTACTCAATCATATAAATAAATAAATCAATTGCTGCGTGTTACAAAAACCCTTCTAAAATTAGAGAAACGTATTTAAAATATTTTTTTCTTATCATAGAAAGAATAATTTTTTTTTCTTATTGTATGCAGTGAAACACTAGATGGTTATTTGTGCTATATATGTTGCGAGTCAAATTGAATTAGTAAAATTAATTTAATAAATTATTACTCTATGATAGCAAGCGTTATATCTTGAATGTAGTAAAATTTATTGAATCGAAGAAAACAAAAATCATCTAATTGTGTAAATTTTTAATCAATTTTTTGTATATTAGTTATTCTTATTAATGTTTTCATATTTTTTGTTGTTAAAAAATAAAATTTGTTCTTTGTTGTTCATTAATTTTTAAACAAAAACCTATAATAATGTAAATTTTAAAAAAACCATCCTAATATTTGTTTTCATAAGATTGCATCAAATAAAAAAACAACAATCAGAATAAAAAATTTGTATAAAAATTAATAAATAAATCTTCTTTATGTTTTTGGAAATATATACATTTGATTTATTTATATTTATTTATTATTTAATAAATAGTATTGGTATAAAAAATATGCATTTGAATTATTAGACGATTCTTCTAAAATATTATCTTAATTAATTTATTTTAAAGAAATTAATTTTAGAATATTTGAAAAAAATTGAACACAAAGTATTGGTGTCGGGTGTGAGAATGTGTAGCATAAATTACAAAATTATTTTTTAAAAAAAAACTTGTAATAAATATATTGGAGTTAACAAAGTGTAATAAAAATAACTACAAAATTTATTTCTATAAAATTTTATTGTATACATAATAAGAAAATAAATCACGTGAATTCTATTATTTAAATGATGATTTATTTTAAAAAACTAATTTAGAATTCCATACGTAGAAAAAAATAATCATATTTATTAATAAAAAATAAAAATAAATAAAAAAAACAATTTGATGAGAATTTTCATAATGCAAGTTGAAGAGATAAGTTTTAAACGGTAAAAATAATATTATTTGATATATATTTATATATTAATTCTAAAATTAAAATAAAAACCATTATATATGTTTCATAATTTTTAGTATGTGTAAAAATAAAATAAAAAATAACAATATTTTTTTTTATAATTTTCGCATGCAATTCAACAACAAGAACAACAATAAACCTAAATTGCTATATATATATATATATATATATATATATATATATATATATATATATATATATATATATATATATAAACCCTACACACGGGCATGAAGAAGCAGGCCTAGGGTGCAAGCCTGCACGCCTGGGTTGCAGGAGCAAGCCGGCACAAGACTGCGCTCCTGGGCCAGGAGAGGAAGGCTTTGGTGGTCCTTAAAAAAAACCTGCAACTTATAGCGAATCGAAATTCATCAGAAATCTCACATGAAAAATTGGGATTACATTTGCAAAGACCCAGAACCCATTTTCAACATTTTTTTTTCCTAAAACACCCATAAATAATTGAAATAAGATCATTAAACTTGTTTAGAATCGTACAAACCATTTCAATGCAAATTAAAAGGAAACAAAAATAAAAAATCACATCGAAAATAATTTTTTTTTTAGCTCCATTTTACTCTATCTAACGATTCTATAACTTGAAAAAAAAAATCACAAATGCACTTTACTCGCTAAGACACACAATCTAGATGCAAGATCTGGCAAAGAAACTGTTGAAATCTAGCCAAGCCAAGCCAATCGTTTCTCTGTCCTTCATTCTCTGTTTTTGTTTTCCATCCAAGAATCATAAATATGTTTTGAAAATATGAATGATCGTAAATATTACATGAAAACACGAGGGACTAAACAAAAGATGTTAAATTTGCATATCAATGACAAAGAATATTAAAAAATAACGAAAAAACTAATGGAAAAAAATAACGAAATTGCCGACTATGAACAGTAGTGTAAAAGCAGTTTTTACCCTCTATTTAGATAGGGTAGAAAGTGGGGGAGAGAAAAGAAAATAAGGAGGAAAGAAAAGGTATCTTCCGTTTGGCTTGCGGAAGAAATGCGGGGAAAGAAAAAAAATATTAAACAAAGCTAAAAGAGGTGGGACCCATTTTCCTCTCAAAATTGGGAGGAAATGGGGAGAAAAACGAAAGGAAACCGATTTGTTTTATTTTTTTCAGTTTCGCCCTTGCCTAGTGTTCCCTTCTCTTTCTCTTCGCTGTCCATCTCGTCTCTCGCAAACCCACTCTCTCTCTCTCGCCGAAGCCGTTACCGACGAGCATGTATTGCCATCTGTTGAGGACCCATAAATAAATCCAAAAACACCCATAATATTTATGATATCATTAGAGTAACCATTTTCTATTTCTTCATAATCAATTCAAAAAAATTGCCATCTCGTTGAAAGATATTTGCCAAGGGGACAAGGCAAGCATGTAATGCGATTCGTTGCTAATTTCAAAAGATCAATAGATAATACAAAGATTGCTAATAATCCTTTTACATACGAAGGACGTGTCGTCGGAAGAGGAGGTCGCTGTACCTAGGCTAAACGATGATGGATCCGATCCGGATAGCATGGATCGATCTTTTTGGAGCCGAATAAGCATTTCGGGTCGAGCTTTTTGATGAATTTCATGATGAAATTTGAAGAATTGAGAGAGACCCGGATGGAGAAAATGGAGTGTGGTGATCGCCATTGAGGCGAGCTTCCACGAAGCTTCCCTCGAAGCGATGCTTCGTATATATTTCTCTTTTTTCGGCGTAATGGGTGCATGTGATATGTGTTTGTGAATTATGATTGTAAAGCTTTATAATATATGTGTTTGTGATGAGGTGTAAGTCCGAAAATATTAATTAGGTAGTTATGATTGTGGAAGATTTTTGTACGACTTGTTTATTATAAAAGAAAGTTTATTTTTATGTGGAAAAAGGATCCTGTGATACATAAATTAGTTTTGTACTTATACTACATGTTTTTTAAGATTAAATAGATTTTCTTAAATAAAAATGCAATCGCTCGTCAAAATAATTCAATAATTTTATTTGCAAAAACAAGGAAGATTTAAAACACTCCCAAATCGGCTTCACAACAACCCAAAAAAACCCCCAAAATACCCTCAAAAAAGATAATAATACACGTTATGCATATTTAAATTAATTTTATGTTGATAATTAATCTAAATTGGCTATTTGATTAATTAATTAATTAACGAGTTATCGATTATTCTATGGAGATGATTCATTATCTTTCTTATCATTTCGGATATATGCTACATGATAGATTTTTATTTTATTATCATTTGTGTTATTTTCATGAAAAAAATATTCATACAAATTTATTATAAGTATTTAAATATAGAAATATAATCATAAGGGTATTATCGTAAATATACCATAGTATATTTTCTTTCCTTCCTCTTTTTACAATTATCCAAACAAGGGAAATGTATTTTCTTTCATTTCCTTTCCACTCTTATCCAAACAACAAGTGGAAAATAATTTTCTTTCCTCTCTTTTTCTTTTCTTTCATTTTTTTCCTCTCTTTTTTCCTCTCAAGAGGAATTATCCAAACATAGGGTAAAAGTAGAGATCCAAGTTTCACAATAAGAGGAAAGTAGACTCATGCTTCTTTTTAAGTGGTCCTACTAGCAAAGTCTCTATACGGGCCAATTTCCACATGGGCCAATGAAGTGATAATCTAAGTAACTCAATCAGGTTCGAGAAAATCAAGAAAATAGTAAAGAAATCCACTAAAATTCCACGTCGCAAAACTTAACTTTCTCTCTGGCTCGGGCTATACATTACAACACATCGTGTCTGAATGGGCTGGGCTGAGATCCTGATGAGTGGGCTTTTGGTGGCGCTTCCTTATTAAAGACGGATTTAGTTTCAAATACAACGGTAAGTTTTCCTTTTTGGTTCCCGTATTAATTCCGGATTTTTTTTTTTTAAAAAAAACAGAGAATATAGTATTTTTACTCGTTTCTCCGTCAAAAGCGATTCAAGAGACAGACCGCAAAAATGGAGAAAATGAAGGTTTCCGTGACAGCTCCACAAACCATACCACGTGCAAACGACACCAAAGAATCCCTTGCACGGATAATTTCTGACGGTACCTGCTTCATTGGGGACAAAATTGGAACTGCAAGATTTCTGTGTCACATTCAGAGATTTCAATGGTTATTCAACGAAGAATTAATTAATCAGACGAAAACAAGGAAGTTAGAATGGTACGAAGCCTTTGATTAATTTCGTTTCTTATGTTGATATGTTTTGAGATTGTAGTTTAGGTTTTAGATTACAAGATTTATTGGAATTAAAATTTTTTGTAAGGTATGTGATCTCAATTAATTAATTGCGTAAATTATATGCGCACGTTATTAAGTATTTAGGACTTTAATTAAAGCTTTACGACGCTGTATTCAACTGTTGCAGGGAATGGCAGTGAATGTGGAAATTGGTTCTCATGTTTGGGTTGAAGATCCTGAATTAGCTTGGATAGATGGAATTGTTCTTAATATTAAACCAGACGAAGTTGATGTTCAAACTAGTGATGGCAAGATAGTAAGTAATTTTTTTCTTCGTCATTAAATTTAATTTCTTTCCATCTTATGGACTTGCAAAAATATGGTTCTTTGGTTGAATGATTTATTATGAAGATTATTTGTTGATTTTATTCTCATGATGAGCAGGTTGCTGTAAGTTTGTCGAGGATATATCCGAATGATGTGGAAGCTCCTTCCGGTGGAGTTGATGACATGGCTAGGCTGCAATATTTACATGAGGCGGCAGTACTCCACAATTTGGCAACTAGATATGAAATCAATGAAATCTACGTAAGATTATTTTCTCTTTAAGTTGTGTTTGATTGATGTTCATTATAGTAAGAGACGAATTACTTACTTTATTTAAGTTTGGCTCTATTATAATATTTTGATGTCACTGCAGACTTATAGTGGAGACATTCTCGTCGCTGTCAATCCATTTCAAGGGCTCTCACATTTATATGATGTTAACATGATGGAAAGATATAAAGGAACCTCGATTGGAGAACTAAGCCCTCATGTCTTTGAAATTGCTGATGCTGCATATCGGTGAGCATGCATTTGTGTTTCAGTTTGTATTTGTTGCTTGACAGATTATGGGGATCATGTACCAACACATGAAACAGGGAAATGATCAATGAGGGTAGAAGCAATTCGATTCTGGTCAGCGGTGAAAGTGGAGCTGGTAAGACTGAAACAACTAAAATGCTCATGCGCTACCTTGCATATCTGGGTGGCCATTCAGGTGCTGAAGGGCGGACTGTTGAACAACAAGTTCTAGAAGTAAGTGGGATGAAATATCTCTGGTTCATATTAGCCAATGCTTTGAAATTTTAGAGGGCATATGCTTTATACAAGTAAAAGGGACAACTAATTCTTCATGGAAGTGTATTAGGCATGAAGTTTCTTAGACATACAGATGATGTGTAACTGAAAGCAACACAAAGCACGCACAGTAGTTGTAACTCGATGACATATTAAATATGACCTATTACAAGCATGAACATACTGCTTCTGCACCCCCTAGTCCTGTTCTTTTCAAAAGTTGCAATAACCACCAGTAGATTTGACTAAATCTAGATTTAAATGCTGTCTTTTTTTTAACGATTATCATAATGATGAACACGGGTAGATCTTGTTAGAGAAAATATTTCACCAAAGGCATATGACTAAAACTTTATCCAAGAATACCAAAATATGGTACTGAACAAATAATAAATATAGAACAGAAATTCATTTTTCTGTAGAAACATATCATGAATAATCTTAAAGAAGTGGGCAGCACACCAATCATGCAGATGCTGTGGCATATTCTATTACTGCTTCAAGAAAATGGATAGTTTCCCAGAATAGGACCTGAGGCACCACATATGATGCAAAACTAGCCAAGCATCCTACAAGCTATCACCCAAAATTTAGTCCTGTTTGGTATTCAGCTCTAACTGTTTATTAAGGTGGAGATCATGAACTGTTGTTGGTCAGATTCTTTTACTTCAGATAGCTAGGATATACTTTGTTCAGTAATGCATCTTCTTGGTCATGATTGGATCACCTAGGTATGTGCAGCATAGTTTAAAATTTAAAATTCAGTGTTTTGGTAGACACATGCTGCTGTATGTAAGCCATCCTGGTCTGACCTAGAAGCAGGTGACAGAGCAGGTTATCAAGGACAATATCTTTGACTTATTGGCAGCTTTAGCATGTTAGATTAGGACACTATGGGTGTTTTGTTGATCAGAACGTGTTGATTGTTTCAATCCTTTATAACGTTGACCTTTACATAAGCACATGTGGAGAATTCCAGAACTAAATGTCTGACGGAAATATATCAACTTCCAATATTAAAGGTCTATATCGGAGTTTCTGGGCTTATTTGCTTTTTTATTTCATATTATAATGGGACCTTAAAGTTTATTACCTTTTTCATTTGTAAAAACTGAAGCTGAAATGAATGCTACTTGGTTGCATCTTTTTTTCATATAAGCTATGTTCTTTGAATTTTTAACTTAGACAAATGTGAAGTCTTTATACTAACTAGTACCATGCAGTCAAATCCAGTTCTTGAAGCATTTGGCAACGCAAAGACTGTTAAAAATAACAATTCTAGGTGAGAAATATCGTGCCTGCATTTGCTTTTCTTTTGTTTTGTATTTTGCACTTTACTTAACCAGAAAATATTTTGTTTGGCACTAGTTTCTAGTTGCATTTTCATGTATATAGTAGCAGATCCCTTTAAAGGTCATTTTGCTAAGTTATGTTATTTGTGTCCTAAAAGGATGGAAATATTTAAAGAACGTGTTTGCATCTACAAGCACCTAAGGTTTTACAAACTGCAACCTCATATACTTGCGGGCTTGCTAATTAACTTGGGAAATAGTTACTAGAAAACATCAATCTATTTATATTCAGATTATACCTCCTCTTTTTTCTCACAAGTAATTTTTCTAGCTGTTAAGAGGGAATGGATCATTGTGAATATGCTTCACTCATTTGTGTAGTTGGCAGCCTCAAACTACTGATGTCATCTTGACTATTTTGACTCAGCCGTTTTGGGAAATTTGTTGAGATCCAGTTTGATAAGCATGGAAGAATATCAGGAGCAGCTATCAGGACTTATCTTCTAGAGAGGTCTCGTGTTTGCCAAGTTTCTGATCCAGAGCGCAACTATCACTGTTTTTACCTTTTATGTGCAGCACCACAAGAGGTAGATATCTTACCCAGTTATTCTGTTTTCCTTATATGTAGTCAATCAAGTATTTAACCATCATTCTAGCTAATAGACTTTGGGTCTCGTCAGGAGATTGAGAAGTATAAGCTGGGAAATCCTAAGTCTTTTCACTATCTTAATCAATCCAACTGCTATGAGCTGGTTGGTGTTGGTGATGCCCAAGAGTATATTGCCACTAGGAGAGCCATGGATGTTGTTGGAATAAATGAGAGAGAGCAGGTCTGGCCTCTGCTGTTGATCCTACTATGTGTGTTCTTTCGTTCTTTGTACCTTGAGGTTGATGATATTCATTTAGTGATATAATTATCTTCAAATGTTTTATGTATCAATATTTGGCTTTTTATGCTTTTAAAATTTATCAGCTAGGAAAGTGTTAAACTTGTTTATATAATGGAGTCTCTCTCTGTCTCTGTCAGGATGCTATTTTCAGAGTTGTGGCTGCAATTCTTCATCTTGGTAATATCAATTTTACGAAGGATGAAGACATTGATTCAGCTGTGGTAAAAGATGAGCAATCCCTATTTCATATTCAAATGACAGCTGAGCTTCTCATGTGAGACTAGAGCTTCATAGATATATGGTTAGATTTCATTTCGTTTTCATATGCTGATGCTAGTATAAACTGATCTTGTTTCAGGTGCGATCTTCATTCATTGGAAGATGCACTGTGTAAGCGTGTAATGATAACCCCGGAAGAAATCATCAAGAAAAGTCTTGATCCTCTTGCTGCAGCAGTCAGCAGGGATGGTTTAGCCAAGACAATATATTCTCGCTTGTTTGACTGGTACGAGGGTACTTACTGGATCATTGTTTCAGGCTTAGTTTATGTTCCTCTAAGGATGCACCTATATCTATTCTGTCAGGTTGGTAGATAAAATTAATGTCTCCATTGGGCAAGATCCTAACTCCAAATGCCTGATTGGGGTCCTTGACATTTATGGTTTTGAAAGCTTCAAAGCTAACAGGTAATGCTTGATTATACGCACAAATAATGATCCTACTTGCATACCAAAATATGAATACGCATATACATGCATGCATGCACGTGCATACATGTATAGATATATAGGCAGTTGGATATGAAAATGCATTTTTATCAAGGAAAGGGACCATGGTATGCCACTATTTTGATCAGTGACTTGCGTTACATTATACAGTCATTCAAGATTTGGGGTCCTGAATCACAACTTTCTAGGTGGAGAATCTCATATCATATTTTGTCATTGCCACTAACAGTCATAGGGTGCCTTGAGTTCCTACCCTGCTACAACCAAGGAACTTGGGAGCCCTTAAGCTTTTGACTAGTCATATGTTTAACTATACAGCCGACATTTGATATCATATTACCTCCTTTTGAACTAAATGTTTATTGTAACTTGAATTAATTCACCATTGTTCGGCAGTTTTGAACAGTTTTGCATAAATTATACAAATGAAAAGCTGCAACAACACTTCAACCAGGTATGAGGTTAGTCATATTTGATTAATTTTTAGTACTTCATGTTTCTCATCCTATAATCTGAAAGCCATGGTGCCATTCAGCATGTATTCAAGATGGAGCAAGAGGAATATGCAAAAGAGGAAATTGATTGGAGCTATGTAGAATTTGTTGATAATCAAGATGTTCTGGATCTTATTGAGAAGGTTCCACACTCTCAATTCTCCCTCTATTTGGTTTTTATTATAGTCTTATATATTCTTACATGGTCCTCTTTATACTTCCCTGGTAGTTATAAAGTACAGTCTAGAGGTAAGTGATACAGGGCTTACACGATCGCTGCATGCATGATTTCCCTATTAGCAGGAGTAGAAGTCACTGAGTGGAACTTGATTATGTTAATGAGGGTTGCCCTACAGAGAAGTGCACTTAAACAATATTTAGGTCCTAGGATGTGGCAATGTTTTGGTTGGAAACATCGCACACTCTTCTCATGAGGAATTTTTGAGCCTGTTGTTTCTGAATTTATCCTTGTACTCTTCACTGTTTGTACGCTCCATATATTTTAGCTTCATATTATAAATCATCAAAAGAGATAAAGGGAATGGTATTTATAAAAGAAAACATAAAAAATATCCCTTGCAGCTTCTCTGTTAGTGATTCAACTTTTGGTAGATGATCTGGTGAATGAGATTTCATGCATATATCTCTAATTAGTGCTTTTGCAGAAACCGGGCGGGATAATTGCTCTCCTTGATGAAGCATGGTATGTTAATATCTCTTTGTCCTAAGCCTGCGATATTTATCAAAGGAATTTGTCCTCTTGCAATTATTATGATCTTATCCCATTAAATGTTCTTTCTTTGCAGGATCCTCTAGTTTTTGTTACTGACCTGTTTATGTGGTGAACATTTTTGGCTTTCAGTATGTTTCCGAAATCAACTCATGAGACATTTGCACAAAAGCTTTACCAAACATTCAAAGATCATAAGCGGTTCCTCAAGCCAAAATTGACTCGCTCAGATTTTACCATTGTTCACTATGCTGGAGAGGTGAGCTGCTGTTCCTATATTATTCTCTACGATTTCTTGACTTGCAATTTAAATTAGCCATTATTATTTCATGCACTTATTTTTCAGGTTCAATATCAGTCTGATCAATTTTTAGACAAAAACAAAGACTATGTGGTTCCCGAACATCAAGATTTGTTGAGTGCCTCAAAATGCTCTTTTATAGCAGGACTCTTTCCTCCATTTTCAGAGGAGTCAGCCAAATCATCCAAGTTCTCATCCATTGGTTCCCGTTTTAAGGTATCTTCTTTGCTATCTTCTCTTTTGGAATCATGGTGGAAATCTGCCTAAAGCTTCATTTATTTGCTCGCATTGTCATATATCATTAACAATCATAACACTTAGAAACTAGATACTGATGTTCTGACCTACTTGATGCAGATCCAACTACAACAATTGATGGATATACTAAATTCCACAGAGCCCCACTACATTAGATGTGTGAAACCAAATAATTTATTACAACCTGCCACATTTGACAATATCCATGTCATTCAACAACTACGTTCTGGTGTAAGTAAAATGTGGAATTATGTTGAACTGTCCATTACTAGTTTAGTTGTTTGTGTTTCAGGAAATAGTTATTTGTGTAGGGAGTTCTAGAGGTAATTAGAATCAAATGTGCCGGTTACCCTGCTCATAGGACCTTCTCTGAATTCCTAATTCGATTTGGTATTCTTGCACCAGAGATTTTGAAAGGGAAGTAAGTATTTCCTTATGTTCCAAATGGAATAAAAATAATTCTTATATTTTCTGTGCTTGGTAAACTTCAAGTTTTTGGGTTCATCACCCGAGATCATTTGGTTTATAACAGTTATGAAGAAAAGGTGGCATGCAAATGGATTCTGGAAAAGATGGAGATGAAAGGATATCTGGTAATGCTAGAACTAGTTTCACAATTTATACAACTTCTTGTTATCTCAGTCCTAGAAGTTACAATTATAATATTTTTGATGCAAGTGCTTCGGATATGCATATCTGTATTTACCCACATCTATCCTGCCATAAATGAGAACTTTGATTTGTTGTTGATGTATGGTTAAGATTGATACAATTATGCATTACTGTGACTGCTCTTATCATCTTGATTCTTGCTATGCTAGAAATTATTAATTATTTTAGGATGGATAAATGGATTTGCAGATGGGGAAAACAAAGTTATTTCTAAAAGCTGAACAGATGGCCGAGTTAGATGCAAAAAAAGCAAGATTACTTCGTAACTCAGCAGCAGTTATCCAAAGGCAGATTAGAACTTGCACTACTCGTAAAGGTTACATCGTATTGCGGAAGTCTTCTATTCGTATACAATCTCATTGGAGAGGTGAGTCCATTAGCAACCACATGAAGCTGGTTTTTTGGATGTTGACACATACCTGAAATTTCTTGGCTGACAGTGTTTCTGACAGAATCTGGTCGGAAGTTATTTTATGTTAACTTGGTCATGACTTGATTCTCTTATTTCCTGCATGTTGCTTTTTCCTATCTGGAGATTTGATTGGCTAGTCTTAATAGTTTTTATATATAATTTCACATCAATCTTATTTTCATGACTTCTAGGAAGACTGGCTCGCCAGTTATATAAGCACATGCGAAAGGAGGCAGCTGCAGTCAAAATTCAAAGGAATTTGCGTAGACAAATGGCCAGGAGAGCGTACACTGATATTAGAATTTCAGCGCTTATGGTGCAAACAGGTTTACGTGTGATGGCTGCACGTAAGGAGTACAGATTTAGAAAGCAAACCAAAGCAGCGATTGCTATTCAGGTTATTTACCTAGCTGATTCGTTGTTCCTTGACAAGGGCAGACCTAGTTGTTCGACATGTTCTACTAGAATGATAATTACTTAAAATAAGTATTTGCAGACTTGTTGGCGCTGTTATAGAGCCGTGTCATACTATAAGAAGCTGAAGAAACCATCGGTTACTTCACAAAGCAGATGGAGGGGAAGAACAGTCAAGAGAAATGTTTCAAACTCAGAGGCCGCAACTATTATTCAGGTTATGACCTACCTGTTTCTTTGCTTCTTAATAAAGGGTTGACCTGGTTGTTTGTGATGCTTTGCCGGAATGGTAGTTATCTAAAAATAAGTATTTGCAGGCTTACTGGCATGGTTATAGTGCTGTGTCATACTATAAGAAGCTGAAGAAAGCATCAGCTATTTCTCAGTTAAGATGGAGGGGAAGAACTTCTGGGAAGGAGCTTTCGAACATAAAGATGGTAGGTATCAACATATGATAAATCTTTAGTAACTAGTTCTTGTTTTGATTTGTTAGAGAATAACATAAAATCATATTTTGTATCCTCACCCAACAGCTTAAACTTTTGGATAGAGATGGTCTTGATGACCAAACGGTTGCAAGTTCGAATCTCAAATCTCCATTTTTCTTCTAATTAGTTGAGCACAAGGTAGTGTGGGCCTGTGCAAGTTGAAAGCTTTCACTTGAGGAGGCATGTTAGAAAATAATATAAATTATATCTTGGGGGTGCAGCTAACAGATTAAACTTTTGGTTGAGATGATACTTTGATATGATTAACCTGTTTTCCTGACTGTTGATGTACTGGAAACTATCACTTGTAATCACAAACTTTAATATTTTTTTCTTTTAGTACTTATAGAAACACCTAGAAGCACTATCCGTATCTTTGATTGTGGCTATAGGAGCACCTACTGTCCATAGATTAGCTCAAATCAAAAGCTATCCCGAGTCTGGATCATGGCCTTCCATTTAACTCCTGCTTCCAAAGTTGAAGCAAGCTCCATGTTAGAAGCCCCTAAACTTCTCTAAAGCTATAAAGAACTTACAAAACAGCTCTTGGAACCTTTCCTTGCATGAATCAACATCCAGCACAACGATTCCTTTTTTATTTGGAAGTCCTACATTAGCATGAGATCATCTGATGGACGAGACGATGGTGGTGTGCTTCTAGGTATCTTGGGTTGGCTGGTGGGCTCCCTTCCAATGTCATATTTTGGTCTCATTAAGGATCTTCCATGGAGCAGCAGCAATATTGGACTAATTTTGAGAATTGACAAATGGTTGGCTGGTTGGATAAATATATATATATCTAAAGGTGGGAAGTTGACGTCGTTGCCTCTTGGAAGTTTTTAATGAACACACACATAAAGTACATATTGTTTTGGTCACTACTTTAACAGTAATAGAAGCTCAGGCCGTATATCATATAAGTAAGAATAAGTAGATTACATAACCACTTGGGAATTGAAAGGCATGCAAAATACATTATGTTTAACAGATGATTAAAGTAATTGTTTCAAAAATTTGATACCTTTCTATGAATTCAGCTTCTCCATTTTCTTTCCTCAGTTGTGTGTGCTAATATCTACTTTCCGTTTTCTTCAGGCAGCAAGAGAAACGATTTCAGACCAAGAAGAAGATTATAAACATGAAAAACAATTGGAGGAACTCACATGTTTGCAGTCAGAAAAACAATTGAGGGTAAGATATGAGTGCCACATAAATCAGCGTTTTATTTTTTGGGAAAGATGGGCTTTTTAGGGGGCTGTATTGACTGAAATCTTGACCGCTTGATACAATTATTGGCAATGGTTGAAAATGATGATGGTGATAATCCTTGCTTACCAACACATCTGATGAAAATGACAATAGCCCTGATGAGTTTCAGGAACGTGCCTTCTTATTTAATGGCATTTTATTTGTGTGGCATGTTTATGATGTTCAAATTCATATATTCAGATGAACTTGGAAGACTCAGAAGCACAAGAAATAAATGTGTCACGATTTTCTCTACAAACTTCGCAAAACAAAGTCAACGAAACAAATTCATTGCTTATGGAGGAAAGCTATGCTGCATTGAGAACAAATGCAGCCCATCCAGCTGTAATTGAGACCTCAACTCTAGTCCCAGATACTGAAGTGCAAAAATTGAAGGTGATGATATCCAATTCTGAGTTCAGATATCTGCCAATTTTCAATTTCACTCAGTTTTAGGGTATGCTAAATTTAATACTTCCTCTGTCCCAATTTGTTTGTCCCCTCTGGCTTTTCACAAAGATTAAAAAAAAAAAAACACAACAAATATGATGCCAAATCATCAAATTTGCTCAAACTTTCGATACTGTCCTTTTGTTTGTACCTTTTGACTTTTCACAAAAATTTAAAAACACAATAAATATGGTTTTAACATGAGATGTAATGGAAAAACTAAACACTACACAGTTTGTCTAGACAAACATTTTGAGACAGAAAAAAATAGAAATATGGACAAAAAAACTGGGAAGGAGGAAGCAATTAATAGTTGGGCCAAATAAAAGGTGATTAACACAACCTAGAAGCGTCTATTTCAGAAGTTTCGCCCAAATCAGGAACAAGATTAATCGTTAAGTAAATATACAACACCATAAACACAACTAGCAAGATGCTCTCAATGTAACAACCCATGGGGAGGGAAATGACAGTTAAAAATATTCAACATTCAGGGAGAAGAACTGAGAAATTTGGTTCTAAGTTGACTTGTAACCAATGCAAAAAGATTATGGATTTATAGGGAATCTCTTTTTGAAATTATTTTTTGTCTAATCATGGAATGGCTTAAATTATCTTCTTTATTCCCTCTGTAGCATCCATGAAGTTCGTGAAAATAAGGTTAACAGAATGTCGATTTTCATTCAGAACTTTTATCCTTAAATTTCCCCCTATCCTTATCCTTTCAGGGTGTTGCTGGTTAACAAGCAGCATCGTCCTTTTCATTTTCGCTAGCCATTGTCTTTTTACTTAGTATAGCGAAGAAATCAAAGTGAGAAAATAATTTATGACTATTGAGAAAATGAGTATAAATATTAACCGTTTAATGGAGTATATATGAGTAAGTTTTTTCAGAATGCTTCCTACAGTGAGACCATCATACCATCATATTGGGAGCAAATTTTGCTAATTGTCAATATCTCTGTGTCCTCGTTGGCTTACTTTTCAACTAGAATTTCTAATTCACACTGGTAAAGGGAACTGTGGTTTTTGGTTTCTAAATCTTTTAGTTGGATTCTAATAAATATAGGCCTTTCTTTTATGTTGGACAGGTCTTATTGTTGTCAGAAAAACGAAGAGCTGATAATTTTGAAAGGGCATATGCAGAAGTTTGTGAATTAAGTGAAAAAAGACGCAAAAAATTAGAAGAAACTGAAAAAAGAGTGTATCAACTTCAGAGCTCACTGAACAAGTAAGGATTGTGCGATAAACTTAAAGAGCAATATAGCCACAGGATTCCTTAATTCAGATTTTATTTTGTATGTAAATCATACAGTTCAACATACTGCATCATTGATAAGTAATGTATGAAATAAGGTGCATTAAATCAATATGACGATATGAAATGCTTCTCACTTTGTTGGATATCTGCACTGTCACATCTACTTTATTCATGACAATTTATAAACTAATCATTAGCGTGACTAATACTTGACCTGATTTAGCGTGTCTCAGGATGTTATATTCCATGTCCGATCAATTTGCAGAGCTGAAAACAATCTTGTACACTTCATCAAACTCAAATTCAACTTCTGCGCCCCTTGCGACGGATGTTCAGATGGATGTTGCTTCTGATAACTCTGATGCCTCATCCAGTGACTCTGATTTCACTTTTCCAGCTCCTGCCCTTACCTCGGTTGACTTCTCTTCCCCAGATCCTAATGCTTTCCAGCTGATAGTTCAGGATCTTTCAACAACAGAAATTCCAGGTCAGGTTTCCTGATTAAAGTTGTGTCTGCACATTCTCATTAAAATGAGAAGCTGATTTCATTAAAATTCTCTCTTTCACGTAACAACTCATGATTCAGATTCATTCCCTACTGTTTCATTTTCCCTTGCTTCATGCATGAAGATCGTTTACGTTTCTTTTTCTTGACAATTGCTCATTGCAGGTTCTGAGAACCGGAACAGTGATAAGGATGGTGCATTTGATGACTACTTCTGATGGAACTTCCTGTTGTTTTCCTTCTTGCTTAGATACACATGCCAGTTGACTTAGATGTTATTAGCCACACGTGCCCGATAGAGCAGGCTCCTCCACTTGAACTTATACATACAGAATCATACATAGCTAGTGTTATTCAGGATTTGAACAGTAATTACTAAGGTTAAAAGGCCAAAAAGTTACTTCTAGAGAATTGTAAATTCATTGTTAGTAGACTAACATCCAGGATGATTTACCTTTTCTCTTAACAAGGGCTGAAAGTGAAAAATGCAGGTCTCAACTTGCAGTTTACTTTTTCTTTCACTTTGTATCCTTTTATTTGTTGTTCAACTATGTAAAAGTGCAAGGGGATCTGCTTTCTGCTTCATCAAACTCAAGGTATTCTTGAAGAAAGAAGCAACATCAGAACAAGGATTTTCTCATTGCAGATGCTGCGGAGCACCAAAGTAGCAGCTTGTGTGCCGATTCCATTGAGTGCAACGGTTGGTTTTGAGATAGTCTTAAAGAAAAAGGATTTCCAAGTATTATGCTTACGTTAATTATTTGATACTACCTTTCCTATATGTCATCAAGTGGCAGTTCTGTTTGAGTCTTGGAAGGTCTCGGCTATTTGCTACTTAATGCACGAACTCTGTCGTTGAAGTGGCAAGTTGCTATTTTCTGGTAGCGCTTAATGCTCATATCTGGTTTTGTACATAATTTTTTAACTTGGAAATTCTATAGCATCTTCGAAGGAAATTAGCACAACTTGTAATTATATTTTAGGCATAGTTTAATTGCTCCTAATTTATCTCTAAATATAAGGTTATTCTCCAATATAAACTTCTTTTAGCATTTTATTTTTATTTTATTTTTATTTTTTTAGTAGTAAAATAAAATAAAAATTTGATTAAATTTCTGTTTGTTAATTTTTTTTAACCTATTTTTGCTATTAGGAACTCGTTAGTTAATACGAAACACTTGCATTTAATGGTAGCAAATGTGTAATTTTTCACAGGCATGATTTTCTATATTATTTTTTCAGGAAAGTTTTGATTTTTTTCTTTTCAAGTTTTTCTATTTTTTATATAAAATTTATTTATTTCCTTTTTTTTTCTTGGCTTTTTAAAATAACATAAAAATTTATCTATAAAAAAATTAAAAATTTTGAAAATAAAAATACCAGCATAAATAAGTAAAGAATTAAAAAACATTTTTAATCGATTTTTTTTCAGTGTAAATAAAAATTTTGAAAAATTTTTTTTTAAAAAAAAATTCCCATTGGTAAATGAATTTTAACTTTTCATTAATGTTTGGAATTTTCAATCATTTTTTTCCTGAAATTTGAACCAATAAAAATTTGACATATATCTTTCCTTCTTTGTAAAATTCAAAATTAGAACAGAATTGGATGGATCATAGACGGAGAGGCTAACGCTATCCTACGTATCCCAAACCGTAAGCCAAATTGAAACTACAGGACTGTTTTTGTCAAAAATGATACCAGGATGACCTCTAGTATCATTAAACCAAAGATACGCTAATATATATATCGACAAACCTTTCGTTCCCTTTGTCTTGAAAAGTTAGTAGTAGACAAACAAACAAATTTATTAATGTTGCAAGAACCATCCACTAGATCTGCCCTGGATTTGGCAAAAAAGAACAATACTGCCAAACTCAGTTTTCTATTTACATTTGTTTAAGTAATTTCCAAATATAGCAGCACACATTTGCAGGTGAGTACACTTGCATTGATAGGATGTTCAGTTTCTGGCTTAAAATTACTTTTACAGCTTTAATATGAAGCAACCGCACTTCTCACTTCATTGAGCTTTCTCTTACACCTTCTGCACCAGATAAACTAAGTGTAATTGTTGTTTGATCTTTTTAGGTTGGATTGAACCAGAAGTCTATATCTAGCCATGGACAAGAAATATCCGCAGAGAAGCAGCACCGTTAAAGACAAAAGTGAGTGGAACAACGTGATCTTTGAAGGAGAACATTCAAGTGGGTTTTCATTGCCTCAAAGAAACTACACATGCAGCTTTTGCAAGAGAGAATTCAGCTCTGCTCAAGCACTTGGGGGCCATATGAACGTTCACAGGAGAGACAGAGCCAAGCTGAGACAGCTACCTTCTTGGTTTTTTGAATGTCCAAAACCTACTTCTAATTCTAACCCTAAAACTTTACTTTCTCCCTCATCTAAGTTCTTACCATATCCTGATCTCACTCATGATCATTCCTTGCTGTCTCTATCCCTCGCTTCTTTCTCTTCACCTTCTTACCCAGAAAAGAGATCTATAGTTGAATGTCGTCAAAGTATAGATTTAACAAAGAACAAGGGCAGCATGGGAGATCATGGGTTTGGACAAGAATGTGATCAGCTTGAAGCTGTTATGAGGAGAAGTGAGATTATTGGCTTGGACTTGGAAATGGGGTGTGAAGATCCCAAGGAGGTTTTGGATTTGGAGCTTCGACTTGGCTGTTTTTAGTACAAAAATGAGCACTAAAGTTAAGTTCACTCTAGTAGCTAGAACTTCGAATTTGTTTAATTCTCACCGGCCTCTTGCACCTTCTTATCTATCATGATCTGAATGAAATATTCTGAGACGCAGTCTAATTGAAAGGGAGATGGTCTTTTGCAAGGATTTCTTCCACAATATTTTGATATAGAATATATCTGAGTACCCTTTAGGGTCTTGTCTGCTGTAAGTTATATATAATCTTTGTCGTCTACGTAGTTCCATGCACTAATTAATATTGCAATGCTGTTTAGGTATGGTACTGTTAATATTCAGCTTAGGATTAATTTAATGAATTAATTGTCTGTTTCTAATTCTAAACTCATGATTAGTTTGGGGTAGCGTAGTCCTTATTAACTGTAACATAGATGAAGATGAAGTTGTTAAAAAACATGTCTCATTTGTTTACATATAATTCGTAATTAAGATGAGGAAGATTTTAGGAATTAACGCATAACCCTTTTTTTGGGCCTTAAGAGCTCATTTTCCTGCTTAACCAAGGCCCACACAAGAACTCTTTAGAAAATAATTTGTGTTAGCAATACAGAGTGCTGAAGTAGCTAGGTGAGCCTCACACAATTCTTAATTTGGTCGAAATTTGGTAAACAGGGACTAATGATGATCTTTATTGAGAATAACTTATTATTGAGAGCAACATTAAATTAAGACTAATTAATTAGTTTTAATTTATTTTTATTTTGATTTAGGTTCTGAATTTATTTTTTGATCAACAACATCATCCTACCTTTCAGATTTTTATCAATTCGTTAAAAATGGCCACATGTGCTGTCACAAAATTTATTGATAAAATGACAGGTGTCTTAAGAAAAAAAAGACTCTTTATCATGTAATTTATTCCCTCTCTTAAAAAAAAAAAAGATTTGTGAAAAAAAAAACACAATCTTTTTAATTTTTTTCCTTGAAATTGACAGAAAATAAATAATAAAATGAAAAGAACATAAGATCGAGCAGTACAAAAATAAGTATTTCTAGCGACAAGTTATTCGTCACAATAAACCTAGATTTTCGTCTATAGATCCTCTGGCGTCGAAAGTCCAGGCGACCGACTCCGTCTCTATGTATCCGTCATCATAGCTTCTGGCAATCACTTTCTAATTTTGGTCTTCATAGATAAATGGGCTGTAGTGACAAAATTCGTCACTAAAGACCTTGACAGTCAATACTAATACAACCAAATTTATCTCCAAAAGCTATCTCTATAGATGAATTTCTTCTTCACAGTTAAAAGTGGAAAATATATTTGCATATTTTTTTTATTAGCAAATATAGTCCAAAATTGATTAAATTATTTTTTACATACACTACAAAAAAATTTATTTAGCAACGATTTAAATTCATTACTAATAAATAAACGATATCCCACTATTTTTTTGCAATGATATATTCTTAGATAATGTAAGTAAAATTTCATAAATTGCTGAAAATTTGCATTTACAATTAATTGCATCAAATTGAATTAAGTCTAAAACTATATAACATCAATAAAAAAATCAAACTAATACAGACACGCAAAGTTCTACGAGCAAATAATGTTCATGAGTACGTAAAACACCTATAATCACAAAGGTTTGAAAATAGCAATGCCATAGAAATATAGTGAATGGCGACAACATGAATGCATGCAGTGCAACATTCCCACCCTTCGAGAGAATAGCGCGCGCCATGCAATTAAGCTCAATGGTGAATTGCATGAATCTATTGTTGCCATTCTAAAATTGCATTATTGCCCAGGAAAATCCTGCTCTTATGATGTCTCTTGAGCTTACAGTTCACTTTCTCCTCTTCCCACATGAGTCCTTGAATGTGATCTTGCACATTAAATACTGGAACTACAATATCATTATTCACAAACAATAAGTATTAAAAAATGAAAAAAGGAGGAGGAAAACAAAATCCCAAAACCTTAAAGTAATAATGAGATTGACATTTACAAGGAAAGGGGATCAATTTCAGAATTTAGGTCAGACAGAAAATCCTATACTGTTTCTTCCAACTAGGAAATGTTTCAACACTTGTTCATCAGTGTACATAATTTAAGTTCAACATGTTCACGTGAAATCAGTAAAACTAAATTGCAGTTTCATTTAATAAAACTTTACACATGGAAAGAGAGGGAGATCATGACAAGAGACAGGCAGAAAAGGGAAGAAGTTGGACATAAAAAAGTACAGATCTTAACAAATACCCACTTCTACCCCCAGCACTCTCGTCACGCCATACATCTGGTACAAGCTGTTGAGTCTAGGGCAGAGACCCCCCAAGTGACGATGCAAGCATGGAATTCATTTGATTCAAAATAGACCTGAGAAATATTCAAGAAACGTACGTGTAAATGGAGAACCACAATTTCAACATTCAGCATTTTAATTACACCTAGGAGCAATAAAAACATACCGTTTGACGGGTCCAGCACGACAAAATGTGAGCCATAAGCTGGACACTGTTTCTCGTCACGCCATACATGGTACAAGTTTACACTAATTTTAGGAATGGAAGGAGTGGAGGAGGAGGAGGATGAGTTGGGAGAGTAGACAGCAGACAAAACTATAAGGAAGAAAAAACGATGCCCAGAAAGACACTGGTGCAGATCGCGATGAAGAGAGGCTTGGAATTAGCAATCGCCTGGTATGCATTCTTCCGGTGGATGTGGATGTGGATGTAGATGCTCCTCCGCCTCCCACCATTTCTTCGTCTCCTGATTATTATTCTTCTTGTTAATTCTTTTACTCTTGCAAATTCAAATTAATTTGGATTATTTCCTTCATCACACCATTCCTTGTTTGTTTCTCTCTTACGGGATTGGATTTTGATCGATAGATAAAAATGAATTTATGATTCGAAAATCAAAATCAAGTAAGGAGCAGCCAACCAACCCTAGAAGCTGGATTGGACTTTGTTCAGAAGATGGAACAAAGCACGTGACTAGAATTTTAGGACACACAGGTCATATGATTAATAGTCACGTGACTCCTAATGGAGCCAACGTTAATGGATGGACGGAAATTTGAATGGAAGGATGACATTGCTAACAAAAAATAAATTTATAATGTAAATGAATAAAAATAAGTATGGTTTTATTTTTTGTCAACGGAAAGTTCAGAATAGTTTTTAATCAATTATCCTCAAATCAAACCTCTAAAATTTCCTTTGCAGTAGCACATGGGGATATCCATTGTCTTTGTCAAATCGTTCATAAAGTTATATTGTGTTACTCTCTTCAGAAACATTGTGTTTACCAACATCTGACCCTTCGCAGGTTTCCACCATTGTCTGTGCCAGTGACATGATAACCTTTCCTTAACAGGAAAAACACAGTTTGCTAGCTCTGTGCATACCTAAAGGAAATGAATTAATTCCATCAATCTCTTTGTAGATACATAGTAAAGTGATGGGACTCGGTGAAAAGGAAGTAGTGATCATTAAATTCAATTATTCAAAGGATGAAAAGGTTTGAACTTTGAGGTGGTAGTATGGAACAAGAGGAGGGTAAGAAAAATTGACATGGTCGCGTAGAGCAGAACCTGCCAAAGTGCATATTTTAGTGAAAAAGAACAGAGAATGGCACGAAGGAAGATAAGCGGCGCACGTCGTCACCATCCTCGAGCATTCAAGCTTTCTTCAATTCTTCCCCACCTTTTTCACCTAACAAAAGTCTTACTATTCAGCAAGGCCTTCATCTATGATTGAGTAACTATAAAAATTTCTCTGCTTGTATAAAATGAATTAAATAGACCCTTTAGTTTAAAAAACTAATTATTAATTTATTTGGTTCATTTCCCGTTCTTTTTTAATTTACTTTGTTTTTGTTTTTAAAGAATAGAACAAAGTAAATAATGTGAACTAATTAGTTAATTTTTGAAACTAAAAAGACCAGTTAATTTATTTTACAAAATTAGAAGAACTAATTTATAATTTACTCGTCATGTGGGCCTAATGTTTAAAGCTAATTAATTAAATTAACATAAAAGAAACGAAGGAAAAAAACTTGTCGGACCTAGGCGAAGGCCCACTGACGGGTCAGGGAGGGTTTCTATTGTTATCGCAGAAAATGAAAAATCACACGAATCAAACCTTGGGCCTGAAACTCCCATCCTGTTGTTCTGTTCTCTAATTTTCAGGAAAAACATAATGGGCCAAGTCCATTCACAATCTTAATTACAATGGCCCAAGATACCAAATCAGCCAAGTAGCCTCGCACCAAACTGTTACGGGCCTTGTCCGTTCTGGGCTTGACTCCACTTCTGGATGTTCCTTTACCGGTTCATTTATGAATTCCTTTGTAATTTCCTTTTCTCAGCTTCACTTGTTATCTCTTTCGTCAACTTATGCTATTCCTCGTTTAAAAGAAAAAGGTAGTGTTGTTTCGATGACTTCCATCAATGATTAGGAAGATGAACTCGAGGAATTTTGTTTAGGGGGCGCACGACACCATCTTCAAGCATTTAAGCTTTCTTCAATTCTTACCCCCTTTTTCACCCACGAAAAAAGTCTTATTATTCAACATGGCTTTCATCTATGATTGAGTAATCATAAATTTTTATCTCTAATTTTATAAAAAGAATTAAATAGATCGTTTATTTTTTTAAAAAAAAACTAATTAATTAATCTATTTTGTTCATTTCACGTTTTTTTTAATTTATTTTGTTTTTTATTTAAAAAAGGAAAAAAAAGAATAAATAAATAATATGGAAAAATGGATGATAAAAGAAATTTTTTTGCAATAGAATAATATTAAATTAAGTATGACCACTAATTAATTAGTTTTTAAAACTGAAAATATTATTTATTTTAAAAACTTAGAAGGACTAAGTTGTAATTTACTCATCATGTGGGCCTAATGTTTCATGCTAATTAAATTAACCGAAAAAACCTGGTCGGGACCAAGGCCGCGGCCTACTGACTGGCCGTAAAGAAAGAAAAATCACACGGATCGAACCTTAGGCCTGAAACTAGCAGCCTGTTGTTTAGTTGCTGATTTTCAAGCATAAAAAAATGATGGGCCACATCCATTCACAGTTTTAATCACAATGGCCCATGATACTAAACCAGCAAGTCCAGCTACCCAATTTCTCCACATTACACCATTCATCAACCTTGCTCTCTGGCTCTTAGCTCTTGCAGTCCTAATTTCAGTTTCCTTCACCTACATTCTGAAATGCATATTCTACTTTGAAGCTGTCAAGAGAGAGTATTTTCACCCTATCCGAGTTAACTTCTTCTTTGCTCCATGGGTTGTGTGTATGTTCCTAGCCATTAGTGTACCCCCCATGCTGGCACCTGAATGACCGATGGTTTTTTAATAAAAAAAAAACTAAAGAATTGTTTATATCTTTTTTTAAAAAATAAAGTTCAAAAGATGTAAAATTAAAAATTAAAAAACTAATTTTTAAATAATCTAAATTCGGAAGGGATTTGATCCATTTAGTTTTTTCTTTTTTCAACTTCAAATCTCACTTCTTATCTTTCTCGTCAACTCATACTATTTTTCATTTAAAGAAGAAAGTAATGTTATTTTGATGACTTGCATCAATGATTAGTACGATGGAAGAATTTTTTTAATCATTATGACTCCATATTCGAGTAAAATTCTCATAAATTATTTTCTAGAGATAACAAGTTAATTTTAAAAAGGAATTTAATTTCATAAAAATTGAAACAAAAATAATTTTTAACTATACAATAAATAAAACATTTAATTAGCTCGACTATTTAGACTGAATTACTCTATTATATTTTCTTTATTTTGTATTTGTCGCAATTATTTAAAAATATAGTATTTAACTATATATATATAGACTACACATTTGCTTTTGGGACTAGGACGGCTTCTTTTAATATTAAGAAATTACTGATGTATTTTGAAGTATTGAAGTTCGTTTAATAATTCAACATGATTGACCAGAGGATGTGACCAGACCCATTCCAATTAATTCTTCAATCCGATTGACTGGTCGTCTGAATAATATCGGATTTGCATCGACGTGTTTGACCCTATGGTTGACTGGCTGCCCTGCCTGTGTTTCTAGTAATCTCAAATCATCCATGTTTTCATTTTCCTTTCTTACTATTATTATCTTTCCATACCAAGGTGTTTTTTCCATATTTTTTATTCTTTGATATTCTAAAATGTTTGTCAACACACACTATAAAATGTTTAGGTTTTTTTTTTCCTTCAATACATCACTTATTAAAACTATATTTATTAATTATTATATTTCTTAATTTTTTAAAAAAGTAAAAAAAAAAAGGATAATATTAGAAAGTTAAAACAAATTGAGATGATGTGACACCATATTATTGGTTTCTTAATATTTGTAAAAAAAAAAAAATTAAAGGAGACAAATAATTGAAACGGAGAGAATATATATATATATATATATTCAAGTCAGAAGGCTCTTAAATTCAACAAATCCGGCTATATTTTTAATTTTTTCAAACAAGATTATTTATCGCCTTCGAAAAATTGTTTCTATACCTCATCCTACTACACTTCTAATTTAGGATTGATCAATTTTTCAATAAAAAATCTCAAATTTTTATGTGCTCGATCGATTTTGTCTTGAAAGCAGTTGAGGAGAGGAATGGAAAGGCAGCTCTTTTTTTTTTTTTTTTTTTTTTGGAATAATAACAAAAGTAGGTCTCACCTGCAACATTTGTAAAGTTCCAAAAATTTTATTCTCGTGCTTACATCTTCCAATCAATGGAACTAGAAGACGGATGATTTGGTAAAGAAATAAAAGTAGTGGCAGCACTCACGTAGTTGTCGTCCATGATACAGTCCATGTCTTTACTGCTCAAACGCTTCCTCCTGCATTTATCTTGGTATGGTCTATAGACTGAGTCAAGTTGAAAACCCTAAAAAACTCCCCCATTTCTAATGGCAATATCATGACAATATTTAAGAATTTCGAAATCCCGTGATGTACGAATGATTTACGTGTTATGTCTGTTTCTTGTGTTTTGAACCACCATTGCCCTTTTTGTCGCCCACATCAGGAAAAATGGAAAATTAATCAAGAGAAAATTACAAATTTCATTTTACTCCTTCGCAATTTAAAAGCAGGCTTGAGTAGTATAAAATTTCTCCTTGAGCAGGATGTTTTGTCCATATCCAGTCCTTGAAATTCCATGTTAATTTAGAAGAGCCAATGGGCATGCTAAAAAATCTCATATATTTTTAATTACATTTTATTTATTTTTGAAAGTACTTAAAATGTCAAATCTATTCTTTCGATAAAATAAAAAAATTAACTGAAATACACTTGATTGAAATGTAGAAATAAAATAAAACTTTAAAACTTTAAAAATAGAACAAGTAAGTCACGTGACTTGAAGAGATTTTTTTTTTTTCATTTTAGTAAAGTAAAAAAAAAAAAAGATCTTTGGTTAGAAAATTTGATGGGATAGACATTGAACATTTCAAATCTTTTCAAAAATAGATATAATGTAATTAAAAATTTAGAAACAAATGAAAGACTTTCGGTATTACATAAAAACATATTAATACATTTAAATATTTAAAAATTAAGATTTGAATTCATAATCTCTTATAATCCCCAAAAACTTACTACTATATATTAGAACAAAAGCTTATTAATACATGCTAATTAATTCATCAATTTTTTTCTTGTGCATGTATTTATGAAAAAATATTTCATAAAATAAGTGGATATATATATATCCTTGGCTGCCACTTGTGAAATAAATATTATCATCAATTAGACTGACGTAAGATAGTGTTTTATTTAACGATCAGACGTCTCACCAATCTCAGTGCTGCCATTTTCCAAACACACTACATGTACCTATACTCCACAATTAAAAAAAAAAAAAACATATTGGCCTGCATACATATTTGTGTATATATTATCAAAAAATTTTATTGCTGATGCTAATTTAAAAAGGTCAAGGTTTTTTGAACCACGCTACTTGCATTCCAAGAGATTAATTATGCCGTTCGAGTTTAAAGCTAGCACAAGTAATTCATGTTTTATTATTTCTTTGTGGTAGAATAAGTTCAGAGCTCCTGCCATTGAGCAACTTCTTATGGTTTATATTTCATTATATCTACGATTAATTACTTGTAGCATAATTTCATTATAAGCACGGTTGTGACTAATGATTAGCTTCTCAACTGTGCTCAGCTCTCTAACGTACCAAATTAATTAGGCAGCTGATGATTCCCAAAACTTATTGGGTTCTATGAAATTTATAATTTTGAATCACCTGGGATTCTGTCATATATGAGATGTTGACTGTGTGGTGACATAAAGGTGATGTGTTTTCCATTAGTTATGGCCAATACTTCAAGAAAAAGTATAAACTACAAAAATACACAGTTTATTGTTCATCATATATGTGTTCATCTAGGAAGCTTCCCACACCTTTCCTCTGCAATATGTTAAATGCAAGCTCAATTATAATAGACATAGACTGGATCATTATATCAAAAGACTATACATCTAGTTTTGTCATTCTTGCATTGGTAAAAAATTAACCTTTTGCATACAGTGTCATGCTTGCCTTCAGCGACAATATATTTTGAGACCAGCAAAACAATATGTACACTCAATTAATGATTGATATTCTTTAATGGTATATTAGATGTAGACTGATTTGATTGAAAGAAAGAATTTACTAATCGATTAAAATCTAAATATGTTTTGATATTTAATTAATTCAAAAAATAATAAACCTAGTTTTGATTAATAAACTAAAAATATTTCATCATTTATAAATATATATGAAAAAACCCACACACACAAGTAATGGTTGACCGCAATGAAGTAAACATCTTAAATAGGATTCTTGAAATTCTAGAGAATGTGTTTCGCCCGTTTTAGTCAAACCATTCAATATGGAATTAGCTTGATTACTTTCACTAGTGAGCGCCAGAAATCTCCTTCAATTTCGCTCATTGGTGCTAGTCACTTAGCAATTCATTTTATATATCTTGACCTAATTAATAAAATTCGATTGGCCATCGTTTGTGAATTTCGGCTACTTGAATTTTGTGGGAAGAAGTAGGATGCAAGAAATTAACTGAAGTGAGTATATATCCAAAAGAAAATAATTGGTAATGTAACCTTTATGCTAGGTATCAATCAAAAGAAATGGTTTATATTGAAAATTCCAAAACCATTTTCTTTGATGTTTGATTTATTCAAGAAATGAATTAAGCTTTAAGCTTTCCTTCATTAGATAGGTAGCATATCATATGTGACAAATTGGCTTTGATGGTCGGCAGGCCCCGATGTGAATAGGTTAACCAAGGGTTAGAAAAATGTACAGTGGTGCAAATATTTGAGTAATATAATATGCTATATATGTCCAGAAATGACAAAATTAAAGCCGCGTAAAGAAAGGCAACATGGATGAAAGCTACAACAGCTGCAGTAAGGGGACAAATCAAGGAGAATTATCGTAAAAAACTAACTGTGTCTCTGTAGAAGATGGATCCACTAACTGCTGCCGGCTAACAGAAACGATCTCCTAGCAAAAATCTAAGGCTTTTCTCTCTCAAAATTAATAGTTTCACAAGAATTCATCACTTAGACAATGCCTATGTCCTTTATTTGTCTCTTGTCTCTCGCTCCCTAAACCTTTCCCTCTCTATAATATACCACCACCTCCACTTTGTCTTCCTTGCTCACTAAGCATTATCCCACTATTTCAAGTGAGATTTTTCAAAGTTCTCTATCATGGAATCAAACCAACATGATGAAGACTCGAAGAGCTCAAGCGATGAAGAAGTTACCGATCGATCAGATCAAGATACGGGCACCGGCCGGTCCTATGAGTGTGTTTTTTGCAAGAGAGGCTTTACTACAGCACAGGCTTTGGGAGGACATATGAATATTCATAGGAAAGATAGAGCCAAGACAAGGCCTAGCTCAGTTCCTTCGCTTTCAAGCAAAGTTGATGAGGATTATGCCACTTTTCGAAGCTATCCTCCAATTCAAAGCTACCCACCTCACTATCCTACACCTCACGAAGTACATATAAATTACCACACATTTTTTCCGCCATCCACAACGTGGGGTATAGGATCCCCGTATGCACAGCAACACAATGGTGATTTCTATGTGCAAAGTCCACAACATTTGTATCCATTCGGAGACGATATTTGTAGAAGAAGTCTAAGCCTGCAAATCGGTCCATCGCATGTAGATGACAATACCAAAGAGAAAATAGAAGACGACAGTGAAGCAGATGACGAATTGGATTTGGAGCTTAGACTTGGTCATGATCCATAAATGAGGTATTTCAACTTAATTACCTATATAGCTGTATTTAATTTACTGTACAGCTGTGGATTTTTCGATGTTTAATTTTCAAGTGATGAGTGCAAAAAAATTTATGGTGTTTAATTAGTTTGCTTTAGTAATTACTAGATTTATGGAAGACGTGTTTGTGGCAATTGATGTACCGAGAAGACATGGTATAGCTAGGGAGAAGGAATTAATTAACGTTTTTCTTCTCTGGTGCCTCAAAGAAGGACGAGGGGGAGTGCTATTTCATTCTAAGATCATCAATTGCTGGTTACTGATGTTGAAGGTGGTTTTGTTTCTCCCTCACTCAGTATCCAATGACCCCAGATTCATTTAGGGTTTTGTGAGATTTCTTTGCTTTACATGTGTAATCAATTTAAGATGTAATCCCTGTTTATTTAAACAGTATTTAATAAAATTTCGCATTGTTTCATGTTTCATGAATCTTAATTCCTTATTATCCTACAATGAACGTCCATTAGATGTCAGTTTTCATGCGAAGAGTGAACATATATATAACAAGTTAAACTTGCTAGAAACCCTAATTCCTTTCGTTAAAGGTGGAAGAAATGCTGGAAATCTAGGAGGATAACCCATCTGACGAAGAAGTACTATCCTTCTAACACTCTTTGTTCTTAATTTCCCCCATAATAATAGTCATTTATACAGTATATCCTAGCTACTTTATTGATTACAAAAAGAGTTACTCACCCAAAAATGCTGTGGATATATATATTGCGACGTTGCTTTTAATCTTAAACAAGGTAGAATGAAATCTTGACAGATTGTTGCTGAAAACTAATTCTAAATTAGAAGCACCCGGTTTGAAATATCTCGAAGAAATTATGGGGCTAGCTTTAATAGTACTATAAGATTTTGTAGAGAACTTAATTATCTATGCAAGGACTACACAGATAGATTCCTAGGTATTGTATGAACTAGAGCAGAAACTCTTCAAGATGTTTTGATAGTCATTTATACAGTATATTCCTAGGTATTGACAACAGTGCTCATGCGTTAATCTCAATCTTAAGGAAATTTCTTTGCGGTTATGTGCAAGTTTTCTTGTCTCTGAGTAATAAGTAATCCCAGGTGTTTTCTCTCTAGATTCCCAAATTTCTTTCCTGTTGTTTGGCTTGTGTAAACTTTGTTGAAATTATGACTAAAATTATTATCTAGTACAGTGATGATATATATATATCTCCTAAGTTGATGATAATTTGAGTTCTATTTACATAAAATTCTGTTTAATTAAGGAGTTTGGACATAAATTTTAATCTAGTTTGCTTTATTTTATGATGCACATAAGCTTCTAGTTCCTTAAATCCTTAGTAAGGCAAAAGAGAACGCATTGCGTGCAGAAATGATGCATATATGTATGTTTAAGCAAGGTACTAGGACTTGTCTAAATAATTAGTTCTTGTTACTCTTTATAAATTTTTATTTTCTTTGAATTTCTTGTATAATTAATTAACTAAACACACTACTATATATACTGATAACTAATATTTTGTTTGCAATTGGTTTTGTTTCAAACTAGCTACTTGTTTGTGTGAATTTCAGACTTTTCCATCAAAGTGAAGTTTCTTTATATGCAATTTAAATCACAATTTTATTTCTTAATCACGAATTCTCAATCTAAATGCATAATACAAAAGTCACGAAATTACAGTCGGATTGAGGTCAGGAATTTTTATTAGTTGGGTGTGTATATATATATATAGCAGGACTGTCTTGTTTGTTTGGACCTAGCTAGCTAGCTATACCAGATTAATTTTGGAATTATTGTGGTCATCAGGCAGCTGTTATGTGATGTCTAAGAATTTAAATTTATAAACAAATTAGGCAATATAAAATTTTTTGAGGAAACAAACTGGCATGCATCATAAAGATCATGACAGGAACTGATAATTTATGTCCTTTTCTTTAATTTTTCTTACCTTTATTGTCAGAAAATAATATATATATATATATATAATACCTGCTCTTAAAAGAAAAATAAGCAATATTCTCTGGCAATAACAACAATATATTGCAATCGAATCCCTCTGAATGAGTTGGCAATATTTAATTGAAGTAGCATTCTCTCCAAATTGAGGGTTTTAAGCAAACTTCCACCTCAAAAGTAATTCCTTAATTTTACATGGGTGGCTATATATATAATTATGTAATTGGCAAAATGCATTAATGACAAACAAAGTGATCAAGTTATAATTACTTAATTAGTTCTGTTTCATTCTCTTTTCTCCTACAATTTGTTAATTAATTAGGTCATTTTTTTTATGTTTTCCATTGACCTTGAAAACAAGATTAAAAAAAAAAAAAAACGTTCGAATACCATGATATCTGAATACATAGCTAGGTTAGCATGCAATATTATTAAATTCTGGGGCTACCAGTACGTGCTGTACTTTTTACATTTATTGAAAATGCTGGCTACGTTTAACTAAAAAATTAACACTTTATCTTTTATTTTATTTTATTTTTTGGCTTCAGATAAAACCCCGCATACAATCCAGCATCATAAAGTTAACGTTACTAGTTAATAGTTAGCGAGTTAAAAGAAGAGAATAATATTACCACACAGCCGATTAAATTAACTATCACTAGAAATAGATTACAAATGGATAACATAGTAATAAAAATGGAATGGCAATAGCAATAATATAAGCTCTAATTAAGACTAAATGTGGCAAAAGCCATATGGAACGCAAAACAAATAATTACATTGCTACAGCCAGAATATAATTTTTTTCGAGCAAATAACTTGCAGTGTATGGACTTGGTCTTCAAGAAGCTAGCTGCTTAGAAATGAACATTTGTCATGCCTTGCTAGGCGTACGATGTGGGTATATGTGACTCTTTCAGCTTCTCAAACTGCAGGCTAATGCATGAATATTACACTAGCTCGCTAGCTATTTATAGCTGGTCATCTTGGACTAAATGAAATTAATTTCTGGTTTTAGGCTATCAGTAACTTCTAGACGTGCATAATATTAAAAAACAATATTGGATCACCCCAATGTTAACGTGTTACTTACAAATTGACTCCATCTTGTCGGTTAATAAACTGACTTTAAATAGCTCGTAAGATTTTTGAATGATTATATAATGATATATAATTTTTTTTTTAAATAAAAGTTTTGTAATTTGAAATTCATACAAGTTTTTTAATTTAAATAGAGAAAATAAGGACGAATGATATTAGAATTTGTGATAATTTGATCATCAATAGTCTTATTCTATGTTAAATAGTTATTTTAATTCAAAATAATTTTATATTGTCTTCTAATACAATCACGTGCTAATTTTAGATAATACATATAAACATAATTACAGGACACATATAAGATGATCAATATTATAGAGATATCAAATATGCCTTCAATTGATGGGGGAAAAGAATGAAAAGAAGTAGGTGATTAATTATTTGTTTGCATATTTTCCAGAATCGTAAGGTAAAATCCATGCATTTATTTCTAAGGCTTAAGTGGGGATAATTTTTATAAAAGGCTTAATAGTATTTTAATAAGAATATTTATTAACAAGCACCAGTGGTCTAGTGGTAGAATAGTACCCTGCCACGGTACAGACCCGGGTTCGATTCCCGGCTGGTGCATTCAGTAATTGTTTTCTTCCTTCTTGCAAATTTTACATAGCATTGAATTTAATCAATGAAACGTCGTGAATAAGACGACGACGACGATGATGTATGAGGAAGAAGACTGGACTAACAAATGAAGGCCTATAAAATAGGCGATAATCATTGCGGATTTGTTGGGAGCCATTACTTGATATACATCCACCTGGTTTTAAGACGGAAGGAAGACAAATCCTCTTCTTTCTTTTATCTTTGGCATTGATATCTTATTGATTATGACATTGTGAATTATTTAAAAAAATAAACGCCGAGGGACAAAAACCAGACTCCAAATTTACAGACCTCACAAGTCCAACTAACCTCTCAATCACGCTATGAAGGGATGCAGCTGCCATGGGCTGTACATGTACAGCTGTTTCGATGCCGCTCTCGAGTCGTGATGTTGCCATTTTCAGCTTCAGTGAAAGCTACTAGTTGGATTGATACCCATGCTGCGAGGATGCTTAGATATAGGATTCAAGTGTTTGCTAATCAATATTCGGTGCCTGATGGCTTTGCACGCTGAAAAAATCAGGGGTCAGATGCAGGTATGGCATGCCTAATCATTGTGGATTAGTTAGGAGCTATTGCTTGACATAAATCCACCTGGTTTTATGACGGAAGGAAAGACAAATCCTCTTCTTTCTTTTATCTCCGGCATCCATATCTTGGTTGATTATGACATTGTGATTTATTTCAAAAATAATGCACTGGGACAAAGACCAGACTCCAAATTTACACACCTCACAAGTTCAACTAACCTCTTCATTACACTATGGAGCGATGCAGCTGCCATGGATTGTACATGTACAGCTGTTTTGATGCAGCTCACTGAGTCATGATGTTGCCATTTTTGCTGCTGGTTGGATTGATACCCATGCTGCGCGGGTGCTTGGATAGAGGATTCAAGTGTTTTCTAATCGATATTCAGGGCCTGATGGCTTTGCATGTTGGAAAAGATCTGGGATCAAATGCAGGCATGGCATGCCTAAACAATGCCGAAGCTAAAAAAAGGTTGACAGCAGGATATGGGAGAAGTTCAGAAAGGCACCATCAGATTAAAAAGCTGCTTTGATTACACCAAGACAAGTCCAATAAACATAATTGGTTCAGTTATATGAGCTGCCCTAAGTCAAAAGGAGCCAATCGTTGCAGTAATTGGTTCGATTAAGCTTTGAATGCACTTTGCAGCCAAGTATTTACCTCAGAAGATTAAGCCACTGACTGATATTCATGCAATTGAAACCAAAACATGAGGCGCAAAGACTTTTTTACATCCATTCCATTCATTTAACAAAGGTTTAAGACATGGAAACATCTTTACACAAAGCATGCCCAATTGAGTATATCAAAAGCAGAAACATTGATTACAGTAAACATTTAAAATGGGGTATTCCCAGTTCTAACATAAGGCCAGCGGCTGTATCAAATCCATCATAGGAATATTACCTAGTGAGATAGTATACGATTAGGAATATGACCACAAATGACGCCACGAGTGTAAACATTCTACGGCTTGATTTGGTTTCAAATACCTAAGTAAAACAAACTAACCATCAGTCACATGGCCATTAAAAGAAAGGTGTTAAGCATGAAACATTTATAAGAAAGATAACCAAACGAGTAGAATCTACAATTACTATGAGAAGCAAAAGTGGGAAAATATCATCTAATCTACATACCGTCTTAAAGCGATCCATGGTTCCTGACAGCACTCCCCTGGAAGAATCCATATCATTGCCCTAAATGCAAACAATATGATAATATTATAACAGCAAAAACAGTATAGAAAAGTAAGCTCAAGGCTGCAGCATATATACCATTCTGTCCAGCATAAGGTTATGATTGTCCACCTCTTCATTTATATCACCGGACAGCTGCATAATTAACATACATTAAATATGTTGGGATACTTAATTTACCAAAGCAAAAAATGAAATTCATGCACGGATGAATTTATATGAATTCTCCCAGCATGACATTATTTCCAGCTTAAACTTTAATTCCAGATACTGAGTAAAGCTTTTAAAACCTAGCCATTTGAAATTTGAACTGAATAAAAAGCTCATCATATACATAGAAAGGCTAATTATGCCTAATATCAAATTTAATAAGCATTACCATCTCATCTTTAACAATATTCCTGAAAATTGCTGAATTCAGATTGCTGAGAAACCAGAGAAAACAAGAATTGAGGAATAATCTAAGAAGCTTTGCAACTACAGGGACTGGTGAGACAAAGCTTTCACTCATTTTCCCTCTCATGTTTTTAGGTCTCAACATCAAGAAAGCAGCATAAATTAGCCAGATAACAATATGACCATACTCTTGTCAACTGATTCGCAACCTACTTTATTAGCAGGGAAAACTCACTCTCTTCAGCAGACTGACTCTATCCTGCAATCCTTCCAAAGCTCTTTCATTATCTTGCTCATCGATTTCATGAGAGGAGTAAGAGGCCGAGGCTCTGATGCCACCCTCCTCGATGCCATCAAAAAGAACAGCTCTATTGTTACGGATGTCCCTGTGCAGAAAAGGATTCTAGTCATACTGCAAAGGCACAAATAGTACTTAACTAAATAAATATGGGCAGCATCCACCAACATTAGGAGTGACTCAACTAAACTAAGAGGGCAGTTGATAGATGAAGTTAAGTTTCAGCCCCGCATTCAAGTTACAAAGAAATTGTATCATATTTAACTAGTAACAAGTGTCCTCACTTACAGAGGAACCACAAGAAATGCATAGCTTATTCAAGATTGACAAAGATATTAGAACAATGACTTGCATCACAATGCAAAATCACAAGGAGATTTTATTTTTGGTAAGCAAAAGGGTGGAACAAATAATTTATGACTGGAATTCCAGTGTATATTTCATCATGTTTTCGTGTGTGTGTGTGATGGGGCACATAACGAAAGCCCATAACCAAAACGAATATATGTCAGCATAACCACTTAATGGAAATTCAAGTTATGTAAAGCCATGTCATGCCAAGACATATTTTCCATGGCATAAGTTTCAACAAAGTTCAATCCAAGAAGGCTTTCATCACTACCAAAAACAAAATCGATGAATTATGTAGAACTAAAATTTTTATGAATCAGACAGCACTGGAGGCTTTTTTTGTAATAGCACACCTAGTGGCATTACGAGCAGGAATAAATTAGTTTTACAAAGCAAACCCTGAATGAAAGAGATGGCCAGTGCCTTGTTACCAATAACGAGGATAACCATAGAGAGAGATGTAAACTTTATATTGCCAAGTGACCAGAGTTTGTGATAATATACATTATTGTGAGAGTTTAAAGGACTTTCCTAACCTAGAATAATCACTTGAATAAATAAAGCATCAATGTTACATTTCTAGCTGTTGAACAATTAGAGACCAAACAAACTAAAATACCAGTTCCATCTTCAAGAATTCACAAGAAAAGATTTTGCTGCTGGCCCCATCCTAGATCAGATACCATGGAGAATATTCAGAGTGCTGTTTGTGGGGTTATTTTCTCTTGTTCTAACAATCAAGACAGTAAGTATTTCATGGCAGCTAAGCTCTTCCAGTGATTTTACTGTGAAATCTTTATGGGGTCACATATCAGGGAGAAGCAAGTACGAGTAGACTTGAATAAGTTGATATTGGGATAATTTGCATATACTAAGGCATAGCTTCAGATTAGAACAGGAAGGAGTGTGCCATTATCAACGAGGTATGGAGGAATATTTTACTGTTATGTGGTATTGACAGGCCCGTCAATTGGGGTATTGAACAGAGAAATCTGCAGGAAAGATGCTTTCCTGCCACTGTCCTAAGGCTGGCTTGGCGCTACTATATTTATGTTATTTGGCAGGAGAGAAATAAGAGAATCCATGAGGCAAAAAGTTCAACTATCAATGCATTAACGGGGTCGATCATTCAATCAGCTCATTACAGACTTGCTGGTACAAAAATTCTGCGGAAGGCTAAAGCAAGTAGTGAATTCCTACAATTCTGTGAAAAAATTGAATTTCTAAGCTTTCTTTCAGCTTTGCTTACAGCTGTTTTTCATGTAATTACTACTTTCCCATATTGCTTTGTGATGCGGCACGCCCACTTCATTTTCATAAATGAAAACCCATTCATTCATCAAGGTAGATAAATAAGCACACCCCCATAAATCAAACCTGTAAATCAACAATACATTTACAATTTTATCTGCTACCCTTTCTTTCTTAATTTACTCCAATTTTCTTCAAGACAACAATTTATCTAACAAATCAAACTCCACAATAAATAATACATTATCGGTATAAGTATCAGGTACGTAGCAAAATCGCATCAATTTGAGAGGAAAAAGGAAAAAAAAATTAAATAAAAAATTAGAATTGGAATATAACTAACCTCCTCGAATTCATGGCTTGAAGATCACAGTACCTGTGCCTTCTCCGCTTCTCTTACAGCAAGAATCTCACTCGGCTTTTGAAAATGCTGAAATTCAATTAGTCAAAAAATGACGGCACTGAGAGTGGAAATAGTAGATCTAAATATGAAAGTTACAGATTAAAAGTTGAATTGCAGCTGGGATTCATAGAGTTAGGATAGATAGAGAGTCCAGATCTGATATTGAACCAATAACACGGAAGACAGGAGATGGCGAAGAGAGTAAAAACAACAGGAAACTTACCTTCGGAGGGAAACTGGAATTTACGTTGCGCTAGTGATTGGAAAAGAAAGGAAAGGCAGAGGATTGAAAGATCGAACAGTGCGGTGGGGTGATGAGTGGGTCCCGCAGGTTTGCGTGAGCTGGGTAAAAATAAAATGTGAATGAGAAGGGAAGGGAAGCTCAATCCAACCGTGCGATAGGCAGAAGGGGGAGGAGAAGAGTGATTGAGACCTGGGATGATGTCATCAATTTTGGTCGTTTAATCAGAATGGATAATGTAATCTATTTTTATGCTTTTCTCTTTAGAAAAAAGAAATGTTGGGATTGGTTTGGACCTGACTTGCAAAACGTGGTCCTTTTATGGAGCCTGTAAATTTTTCAGGGCTTTGATCGGGCAAGAGACGTGCATTAAGTTAATATTTGTTACTTACACACTTAAGAATTCTAACAAAATTAATATATTAAAATTTGAATCTATAATTTTTTATTCAAAAAAACCACTATTACTAAACTATAAATTTTTTGAAGTTAGTATGTGTGAAAATTAGCCACAAAAAAGAAAAAATTAGGTTCCATCAAATTTGAAAAAAAAAATACATCCATGTAATGAAAGTCTAGATGCTAACATTTTCGAGAGAAAAAAATAACTATAAAAAAAATGTCAAATATATTAAGCATCGATAATGATCATTTTTTTTTTTGTGCAAGTATTGAAGAATTTTGTCATTTTTCTAATTAAAATTTAACTTTCATCCGGATAAATTAGATTAAGTGAAAATATAATCAAGTCAAATACATATAATAATTAAGAACATAAATAAATCAACTATAGGATCATAACTACAAAATTGCTAATTTTACGTGAAAAACTCTCTCTATTGTAGAAAAAAATATCAATTGAATAATTTCAAAATAATTTTTTTCTATCTAATTCCATCTCAAGACAAAAATCTTAAATCTGTAAAATTTCTATATTTCTATAAAATCTTATACTATTTGAAATCATCACCTTAAATGTTGCAATTCTTAGTTATTATAGTATCTAAATTTATTAATTTTTGTGTTTCAATTATTTAACACATGACTTTATGTGGTTTTTAATAACTAACTTTTCCACGAAGGGAAAAAAAGAGAGAAATAAACTGAAATTGGGTTTAGGCATCATGTAGGGTGGATATAGTTTTTCACTTAATCCTATCAGAAACATAGATGGATGATGACTGAGAATATTTTTTATCCAACGCATCTACATAAAGAAAAAGAATGAGAAATCTATCATTATACACTTATATACTGCATTGTTCATCAATTATACTTTTCTAAAAAGAAAAAAAATCAATCAATTATAACTTTTAATTCTTCATATTTTATGCTCCTTTATCAACTATTTTTAAAAAACTAACGGTCATGCGTCCAACATGTAATAGCTTCGGTATGGATTTGTGAAAAATAAATATCCCTTCAAATAAAAAATAATGTAGCGTAGGTGATAGTTTCAATATGCAATAGAGCTTGTTCAAGTTGGACTCCCTACACCTACGTATGTTTTTTTTATTATTGATTTAAGAAAAATATTTTTATGAATTCATATTAAAATCACTCATGTGCTATGCACGTGATCGTCGATTTAAGCGAAATGAACATTACAAAGGGGTATATATATCACATAATAAGAATAAATTAAACGTTGCAATTGATTGTTTCTTCAATTAAACGGTATGATTGATAAATGGTGTAATGTAAAGGGTATATCTATGAAGATATCATTGGTATCCTAAGAGTCACCGCTCTGTATTTCCTCTACTTAAATCAAGCTACATGATTGATATTCGTTTGTTAAATCTGATATGATTTTTATTTTCATATTAATATATATATATTTTTTGCTTGCCTAAAACACTTAAATGATATTAGTTTAATACGATTTTCAATAAATACTTAATGGCTTAATTTAATTAGATAAAGTGATACTTCAAAGATATTTGTCTATATTTATAGTTTTTTAAATGAAAATAAAAGGGTAAAACCTTCTTAAACTTTAGTTCATTTGAAAATTAATTTCTGAATTTCTAATTTATGTTATAACCTTTCCATTTTTTTAAAAAAAATTTAGCCTATCTTATTATTTTCAGTTATCATTCTTTTTTTTTTTAATTTAAAAAATTCAATTTTTGATATTTTTAAATAAAGTTTTGCACATTCGATGAAAAAAAATCTAATCTATTTTCTGAAAAATATTTAAACATTGAAAAATATATTTGCTTATTTTTTAACATTAAAAATATAAAAAATTATAAAAAGTAGAAAATAATTCAAAGAGTCCTAGATAAACATTACTGAATAATTTACATCATGAGGCTATTTATGTAGTTATTATGTTTTAGGATAAATAACAAAAAACTAAAAGATGAACTAAATTTTTTTAAAAAAATTAAGGGAGTCAAATATGAAATTAGAAGTTCATGGCCTAATTTCCAAATAAACTAAATTTCAGATTTCATCATTTTAGGGAAAAAAAAAAAAACCCCATCTATTGCCATTCCTAAATCCGAACTAAAACCCTACATTTTTCAGTCTATTCATCGTTGGGTCCATGATCAATACACTCGATCCCAGCTAGTTATATGTGTATATATATATATATATATATAACCCTATATTTTTTTAATCTGAAATCACAAAAACATAAATTGAAATTCTAATTTTTCGCTTCGATTTCCTCTGCTTTCTGCATTTATTTTCCCATAAGGTCTAAACACAATAAATAAATTTCCCTTTCTTCTGTTTACTTTTTTATGTTATTCACTTTGATCTCCCTTGATTATATTAGAAATTAAATTACTTATTAGTTATGAGTGCTTGCCTTTTTATATATGATCCAAGAAGGGAAAAAGAAACTAAAAGGGCTTTGCCCTAAGCCCCTAGTTATAATGGCCCAAGTAACATACGATACAAGATAGAATAAAATGAAAAGGAGAGGGGAAAAGAAATAAAAAATCCGAGCACTGTATTCTTACGAGTTTGCAAAAGAAGCAGCAGCAGATTCTTGTAATTCTGCGTGGCTTGGTGGTGCCATAGCAACAAAAACAACTCCAGAGCAGCCTTTTTAGCACCACCGCCATCTCATGGGTTCCTTGGAGACAACCACCCCAACAGCATCCCGGTCCAACATGGAGCAATTTCTCTGCGATCGGTTGCTCGACCAGACCCAGCCCATCCACGAGCGCTTTCGAGCTCTCTTCTCTCTCCGTAACCTCAAAGGCCCTGGGCCCCGCAACGCTCTCATTCACGGTTCCTTTCTCCTTCCTCTTGTTTTCATTTATTTTACTTTCGTTTCGGATTTTGATGCTTAGTTAGCCAGAGAAAACTGTCTAACGAGTCGCTTGATTGGGCTTTCTGGAAGCAAATTTTGTTGATTTGAAAGTTTTTTTTGGGCTACGCTTGCTGATTTATGTTAGAAGAAAAAATCTGATTACGGAATTTGAGTTTTTGGAGCCTGTGATTGTTTAGTTGGCATTGTTTTGCTCAACAATTGATCGTCGAAAGAAAGTCACTGTCTTCGATTTTTTTTAGTTGGACTTTATGTTTGTAATTTTTTTTTTTTAATTACAGATTATGCATAAGTTGGTTCTCTCCTATTACATGACGATGTATGAGTGATGGGATACATAAATCATGGGGAACAAGAGTTTACTTGCTGATGAATTTTCTATCTAAATCTGAAGTTTTTCAATTTTTTAAGTAGAAGCTTTGATTTTTAAGTTAAATTTGTAAATTAAGTGGTTTTCCTTCTTTTTTTCCCCCTTACATCTTCAGCAACAAGAGATTCTTCAAATTTGCTGGCTCATGAGGCTGCATTTGCGTTGGGTCAAATGCAAGATTCTGAAGCTATCCCTGCTCTGGAAGCAGTTCTGAATGATCTTTCTTTGCATCCTATTGTTCGCCATGAGGTGCGTTAACAACAATTTGTAGCATTGTTTTTTTCTTTGTTATATTTTTTATGATACTGGTTTTTTCCAATGTTGTTTACCCTTTTTTATTTCAGGCTGCTGAAGCTCTTGGTGCAATTGGTTTAGAGAGTAATGTTCCTCTGTTGAAGAATAGTTTGACTAATGATCCAGCTCAGGAGGTTAGAGAAACTTGTGAACTGGCTCTCAAGCGGATCGAGGAAACGAATGCAACAAGCTCTGTTGATGGATCATCTGTGGCAGAAAAATCACCCTTTATGTCTGTTGACCCAGCTGCACCAGCTGCTTCTTGCTCTTCTGTTGATGAGCTGAGGTATTTTGTTTATATCCATGAACCTTTTCCATACGTAGATTTGGTTAGATTGCTGACCATACTAAATTGACTTTAAGGGGAGTTCTTCTGGATGAAAAAAGAGGCATGTATGAGCGCTATGGTGCTCTTTTTGCTCTTCGTAATCATGGTGGAGATGAAGCTGTTTCTGCTATAGTTGATTCTTTGGCTGCAAACAGTGCACTGCTTAAGCATGAGGTTTGTTGAGCTTCCTTAATCCTAGTTATGTTTATGCTAATTGTGGCTTGTCCTACGTCATCCTTTAGGCTGGATATGCATATGACATAATTATGATATATTCTAGAGGAGATTCAGATTGTCTTATATTTGGTGAGAGCTCTACTCTGGTAAATAGTAATAGTGTGTAATGAGAAGCACTAATTAGTTCTTCCTTTCTGAATCTACTTGGAATTATAATGTCGCTTTTTTTTCTTTGCAAGGAGCTTCTGCGTCTTTTCTGAATACTTTTCTGTAATTTTCAGGTTGCTTACGTTTTGGGCCAATTGCAAAACAAAGTTGCTTCAGCTGCACTTTGTAGAGTACTTAGAGATGCAAATGAGCATCCAATGGTCAGACATGAGGCTGCAGAAGCTCTTGGTTCCATTGCAGGTACATCATTTGATCTTATTTATGTTGTGTTCTTGTGATTCTTCTTATAATGATCATGATAACCAAAATGGATAGAAAGTTCTTAGTTGAAAATCTCTGAAATGGTTGTAGAAGATATAAAAAAGCATGGAATACATTGTTGTTTGATAATGATGCTCTGATATAACACCCTTGTAGAAACACTGTCTTAAGTAGTGTTTGAGGTTGGAGAGAAATGGGAGAATCATATGATGGTTCTCACGAAAGCAACTCCTTGCAATTATGTGTGGGTGATGTAAGCTGGTCATTTCGCATAAACATGAGATCATGCGCAATGTAGATTTTATATTAAAGAGAAGGAAATAAAAAAAGGCAGCTATATTCTTATGTGTTAAATATGTGAAGATTCTGTACTTCCCTTTCAGTCAATATACTATGTGATTATCATTCAACCTCTTTTCCCTGTATGTGTGCGGTACATGATCTATGAAGCTAAACTATATTCAGTCTGGCTACTCTAATTAGGTTTTTATTTTTGACCTCTCGTAGATGAGCAAAGTGTTGCACTTCTTGAGGAATACGTCAAAGGATCCTGAGCTTCTTGTTGGACAAAGCTGTGAAGTTGCTCTGAGCATTCTAGAATTTGAAAGATCGGGAAAATCATTTGAGGTATGCATTTGAAAATTGAACATCAGAAATTCATTATATTTGCTAGTTAGCATATTTTAAGGAGAAATGACTATAATTCTCTTCTTTGCAGTACCTCTTCATGCAAGACCCTCTAGTACAAGCTTAAATTAATTGCACCTCTTCATGCAAAATCCACTACTCATACACAGTATTAGTTTTGTTTTTTGTTTTTTTCTCTCGTTAAGGAGGCAGTCTTTGTGGGACTGTAAGTTGGGAAGAGTGTCATGAATCGTACGAAGAAGTATGAGTTGATCGTACTAATGAGATTGCCTATTTTACTCCATCTGCATCCTGCATCCTGTGTGTGCTTTCTCCTGTATTTGTCAATAATATAAGAGAGAACACTATGTTGAAAAGTGGTGTCGTGTTACAGCCATACGATTTTAACTAATACCTATTCTTTTATTGTAAAACTACTAAATAACGAAATTTTAATTTAACCTGAAATCTCCTTATACAGATAAGATCAGAATAAATACTTTTTTTTTTTTCAAGAAAAGCATAGTATCATTCATGAGTGCATGCGTGCATATGGCTTATAAATGTCGAAACACACTGTTATTTGCTGCAGTTGGCAACATTGCAACTTAATGTTTGGTAACTTGGGTGTTTCTTTTCTTTTTTTTTTTTTTTTTAAGTTATCCTATGAGAAAAGAAAAATGGGGGCTAATGAAGTAACGTATTGGGTAAAGTCGGCTAGAAAACATGCATAATGAAGAAGCTTAACGGGACTTAATGTTGAAACACTAAAGGTAAGAAAAATTATTTGATCTGGAAGAATGAATTTCCCTCGTTCTGTTCAGAGGCCGAAGTTTTGCCCTAATCGGGAACAATAAAGTACGATCTCTAGAGAATTAGAGATATGAACCATGAAATACTGTTTTCAATGCCCAAAACTTCGGCGATCTCATTTTATTCCGACATTTATTTTGCATAAAACATTTTAAAAACGTAAAATATTTCACATGATTTTTTTTTGATTGATAAGTAATGATTTGAAAAATATAAAGACAATGATAATGTGTTGTAGCGGAGGTGGAGGAGTTTGTGGTGGTGGTGGTAGAGTAATGGCGGTGGTGACAATAACGGTAATGAAGTGATGGTGGATCTCACGGCAGTGAGATTGTAGCAGTGATGGTTGAAATAATCGAATAATATTGCAAATGGATTGATATACATAAAGATATTTTAAAAACTTCATGATGAAATTATTTTTCAACAAAGAATTGATTTTTTCGTTGATCAATTTTTTTGTGAAATATTTCATAAAAAATATAAGAAAATGAGGAAAATATTTTTTTCTTTGTAGAATATTTTATAGAAAGCATAGGAAAATCAGGAATTATTTTACAGAAAACATTTTACAAGAAATAAATATAAAAAAATCAGAAAAACATTTTCTTGCAAAATATTTTATGCAAAATAAATGCCTTCTTGGAAACTCCTAAGACTCCTCAACAAGCTCAAGCTGTATCGTTTCTTGGTGGAGCTAAGTTCAATAAATTTCTTGTGACGTAGCTAAGGTAAGTAGGACAAAATCCATCAAAAAAATACAAGTCAAGCTCTGGTTATTGTCCTAACTTGATTCCTCGATAAGCGACAGGCAGGCTTCTTGTCGAGGAAGCTGAAACAAGGTTGACTTCCGACTAATGTTGTCAAACTGTTCGATAATAAAATAATAATGTATTTTGCAGAGTATGTTATAAAAAGAATTTTATAATAAATAAAATTTAAATTTCAACCTAGTTTTATATTTATATATTTTTTGTATTTAAATTTTTTTATTTTTTAAAATATTATATTTGTTATAAAAATATTATTTTTTAATTTCGAGTAAGATTATTATCGATTAAATTAAGGTAGATCAACATCTAATTCATTTAATAAACAGTTTAATGAATTCGAATTGTATTTTGATTTAAGTCAAAAAAAATTATTTATTAGATCCCTTTAATTACTTCATATTCGAGTTAAAATGTAATTCATTTACAATCTTATCATCAAATTGTAGAAAAATAAAATACTACTAATGTCTTCATGGAATATCTTATGGGAACTGGCATACCAATTACCAAGTTATAATCCCAAAATACCTTTTTTTATACCCGGAGTAAATTCACGGTAGCATCTTAGAAAAAAAAATTCATAACTTGCCCTACAGTGGGGTTCGTGCTATTGTTGTAACGCTCGTAAACAAAGGAAGATGTCCTTAATAACCAAAATAGTTGATCAAGTGACCATACAAAGGACAATCGAAATTACAAATTTACAATTTAACTAGAAAAATGTTAAAAAAATCATGCCAAAAAATATATTATTCATTTCCTTACAAGTTAAAATTATTTTAATTTTCTATTTTTTTTTAATCTCATGCAATATGCGTCCTGCTGCGTCACTCTACTCATATCGTGGGATTTTTTTTTTTGGTAATAAATTTTGCATTATTTAGTACAATCAGTACTTGATTGAATATGGTCTGAAATGGGAACCGAAGCAATTTGGAGCAGCTGTGGAGCTCCGTGTAAGAATCTGAGAAAGTCAAGTAATATCTTGATCACCTCCAGCTGCAGTCCCAAACGAAACAAATTAAATTTCAAGCAGAAAGCTTACGAGAAACGCCATCTTCTGAAAGATTCCTTCCTCTTGCCACTGATTTTTTTTTTATTTCTGTTCTACCAAACTCATACTCGCAACACAAATATCCATTTATAAATATGGGATACAGTCACCGACGGAATGTAGGTGCCAATTCTGATACACACAAAAAATACAGTGCGAGAAAGCAATGGCTAATTTTCCAAAGCCATGGAAGGTGGAGTACGCCAAGTCGGCTCGATCGTCCTGCAAGATTTGCCAGAAAATCATCGCCAAAGAGGTACTCAGGCTCGGCAAAATGGTCCCAGCCACTCGATTGACGGTTTCATGCCTGTACTGTTTTGTTTATTTAAACTCCACACTTTACCCTTTTCTCTCTGCAATTTTATTCATTAGCCAAACCACCTCAAATATAACCCCCAACTTATTGAGGCAGTATCAATTTGCCAAAATGATTTGGACTTCTCAATTAGGTCCTTTTACTAGAACTTTTAATAGAAAACATTAACTTTCCTACAAAACGACGTCTTTTCACAAAACAAAATTAATCGTGATCAAATACGGATGGAAAGATCAATTAAGAATTTCTGAAACCTGGAGGATAAAATTGATATAAAAAAGTTTTTGAGGACAAAATTGAGACTATCTGTACAGTTCAGGGTCATTTTTTAGGTTTTCCTTATTCATTTATTAAGCTTTTTTTTTTTAAAAAAAAATCTGATATAAATAATAAATGCAACTGTTTTGTTTTCTGAGCAGAGGTGGAACCATGCGGCTTGCATTTTGAAGAAACCAAATCGGATAACATTGTAAGTATAATAATAATAATATATATATATATATATATATTTTTGTAATTTATTTGCCAGAGCTAATGATGATCAACTTGTGTACTGTATATTAGCATTGATGATGTTGAAGGTGTAGAGTCGCTCCGATGGGAAGATCAGCAGAAACTTAGGAAATATGTGGAGAGTTGTGATGGCGGTCCCCCTGGAAAAAAGGCCGCCAAAGTGGAATATGGTATTGAACTCTCACAAACTTCACGTGCTCCTTGCAAGGGCTGCAAACAAAGGATTAAGATTGGAGAGGTGATTGTGTGCTCTTGTTTTGGCTTTTTTTTTTAAAAAAAATTATATATATATATATATTTCTGTGCTTTGTGATGACGAAATTAATAAACTAATTCACATGTTATATGGAACTGTCTGTCCTGTAAGATTTTCCTCTCTATTGCTTCAGTTGGACTGTGGTCACCATACAATGATGACTAGTTCTGTCACAGAGCATTTCGTCTTCGGCTTCTTTCCTTTTAATAATTATTTTTAAATCCTGCTTACATGTTCATTAAAATTATAAAAACAATTTAGGTTCGTATATCCACCGGAGCTAAAGTATTGGCATGGCATGGCATCACATCAATTGTTTTATGGATTTGTACCCGTCTATCGAAGTAGAGAAGTTGTCTGGATGGGAAAGTCTCTCAGCTTCTGACCAGGAAGCAGTTCAATCACTAGTCAAGAAGGTTCCTTCTACTGCAGAGACTGGTATGATATAGGAACTAATAATGCAATGCTGTAGTGATTACTATATTATTACTTAGGAATTATATTTGTCTCTGGTTACTGTCTCTGTCTCATTGTTGTCGTCTTCTTGGGCATTAAAGATGAGGGAAAAGAAGAGGAAGAACTGCCACAATCAACTGTCAAAGCTGGTGGAAAACGTAGAAATGATGTTGGCAGGGATCAGAAGTCAAAATTTGCCAAGGGTAAAGGAGATATGTCGACTAGCAGGGCTGCATTGACTAAGAAAGATTGTGATTTCGACAGTAAACTTGAGGCACAATCCAAAGAATTGTGGGCTTTAAAGGATGACCTCAAAAAGCATGTGACGGCATTAGAGTTGCGTGCAATGCTCGAAGCCAATGGCCAAAATTCTACTGGATCAGAACTTGATTTGCGTGACCGATGGTAATCTCTTTTCAAAACAACCTTTGGTATCTCTATACCTTATCAAGTTTTGCTTCCCTATCATGAATATTTTTGCAAATGATTTTTCATGCTTACTAAAACTGAAAAGGATAATTTTTTAATCTTTGAGATTATGATTGTTATTTTTGGGTAGGTATTATTGTTCTAGCTGGGGGTTTGAGCCTGGGACAGCTAGTGCTAAAATGAGTGTTGGCTCAATGGACGATAAAAATTATAGATTATTTTGTCAAAGCCATTGACCACAAGTTCTTCCCCTTGCATTGGATTTTGATGCAACCCTTACAGCCAATTATTCTTATCTAGTGCCGATGGGATGATGTTCGGAGCACTTCATTGCTGCCCAATTTGTTCTGGTTCTCTTTGTTATGCCGGAGGCATTTATAGGTGCCGTGGGTACTTGTCTGAATGGAGCAAATGCTCATATTCAACTTGTGAACCAAAACGTCTTAAAGGGAAGTGGAAAATCCCATAAGAAACAGATAATCAATATCTTAGCAAGGTATACAATTGTATCTTAACTCATGCATTAAGTTGTGCTAATTCTAATTTGATCTATTGCATGCTTTTCAGTGGTTTAAATCACAAAAGAGTAGTAAACCAGTTAGGATTCTTCCTCCAACATCTGACAACCCGTTTGGAAGCCAAGAAACTAACACCAAGCCTCCTTCAGAGAGTGAGAGTTTGGGAGATTTAAAAGTCGCTGTTGATGAGTGCCAATTGGAATATGTGGTATGGTCAATATGTTCTAATTTCTATATTTTGGTGAAATTTTATGTAATTTTTTTTCACAGTTGACTTGATAATTTTGCTGATTTTATATGTACTAATTCTCAAGGAAGAATGGAAGGGAAAAATCGATGGAGTGGGTGGACAGTCTGATGCCAAGATCAAGAAAGGTATTAGTTCCATGGATTTGGTTTTGAGTTGAAAATTATTCTTGACATGGAGAAATTGATTCTTGTTTTTGATTTACACCTCATTTTAGTTATTCAGCTTAACGAGTTCCATTGCAGATACAAACTGCTTGGCTGTGAGTGGAGCAATGTTTGCTGATATTAGGAAAGCAAAGTAAAGCCCTTTTGTATCTGCTTCTCTTTACTATATTTCCTCTTTATTCAATCTTATTTTGATTTGGAATGGTTTGGTTGACAGGAGAACGAAATTACCAATCGTCAGGGAAGATTATTTGGTTGACTGTCTTAAAAGAAAAAAGAAGCTTCCATTTGATTCATACAAAGTTGAAGCTCTATGTGGCTCTAGTGTGGTTACTGTCAGAGTAAAAGGGCGAAGTGCAGTGCATGAATATTCTGGTATGCAAGAAACTGGTCACATCCTTGAGGATGGGAAAAGCATCTATAACACAACTTTGAACATGTCTGACCTATCAACTGGTGTTAACAGGTGATCTAAATGATCATATCTGTCTTGTTTGTGCTCTGCGGATATCTGTAGGTTTGCTTGGTTTGGAACCAGACTGTTCCATGATTGGTTGTTTCGGCTGACATCTGTATTACTCAATGTGTGATCTAATCTATCATATGCCTTATGTTGATGTCCTTTTGGGACTGAGGAAAGAAGATTTAAATGGAACTATAGGTACATGTAATTGCAATGAGACATTAGAATCTTTCTCAGTCCTCTTCTTGACTAGGGCTTGGAGTCATAGTTTGTCATGTCTGCATCACTTAAATATAAGGTTACGAGTAAAGCACTAGTGTCTCCTTGAACACCAGAAGTGCCTTTTCACAGGAGTTGGTGAAAAGTTATCTTATGGTTTCATCCATTTGCATGTAAGATGTCTCTTATGTTTCTTGTTACTTTTGTCTGTTTGCTATGTAAAGCTACTATATCCTCCAAATAATACAAGATGACAGACGGTCAGATTGTTATGTGTTCCGTAAATGGGGTCGTTTGGGAAATGAGGAGATTGGAGGAGACAAACTGCAAATATTTCCCATTGGACATTGTAATGTTATTTGTTTTCTATTTTTCTTCTCTTCTGAATGCTCCTTTCTTAGTTAGTGAATGCTTATTTCTCTTAGTTGTTTCAATGTCCGAATTTTTAGGATTATGGAGTACCCAAACAGGTGACCAGAAAAAGCAGAAACCGAACTGACAGCAAGCTTGCTCCTCCTGTAATTAAATTGATGAAGATGCTCTTTAATGTTGAAAGATACAGGTATAAACAATCTCCCTCATGTTTCTCATCTTTGTTCTTTGGGCAATGTTATGTTTGAAAGACCAGATTCTTGTGTCTTGCAGAGCTGCAATGATGGAATTTGAGATTAACATGTCAGAAATGCCACTTGGAAAGCTGAGCAAAAGCAATATTCAGAATGGTAGTTACCATTTAAAAATCTCATCCATTTCCTTTCAGTGCTGCAGATGTCTAATTTTTTTTTTTTTTTTTTTTGAAACGGGGCTCTCAAAGTTGATTCATATTCGTTTTGCTAAGTCAGTGTCCTGATGTTGTTGCGATTGATTAATATACCATTAATTTTCCACTTTTCCAGGTTTTGAGGCTTTGACAGAGATCCAGAATTTATTCAATAGTAATGCTCATGATCCTTCTGTCAAAGAGAGCTTGATAATTGATGCCAGCAATAAATTTTTCACTGTGATCCCTTCTATTCATCCACATGTTATAAGACATGAAGATAATTTTAAGTCAAAGGTACAGGATGCTATATGTGGTTGCCCCTTCTGTTCATTCACATGTCTTTTGTGCCTCACTTGTGCTGAATATCATTATTGGCTGGTTTGCTAATTGACACAGTAATCTTTAATCGAATTCTTTGTGACTGACAAACTAGTGGCACAGTGCTTCTTGATTTATGCCTGGCTGATGGTGATCACATTTGTTTTACACAAACACATTCACTGCTAATGCATCTCTTTTCTCAAACTTTACTTTTGAGCTCCCTTATAAAGTTACTGCCCCCCAAAGTTAGAGGGGTTGGTAACTTCTACCAAATCTCATCAATGTATTGTATGAAGAAGGTTGAAATTTGGATTTAAAGATACTTAAAGACGTTGTTGTCTCATCCAATGAGCATTGACCTGTTTTGGTTGGTACATGCCCTTGTGTACCATGCCAATACGAGGAATAATATAGTTCACTGTTTTGTTTCTATTGTAGGTGAAAATGTTAGAAGCTCTCCAGGATATTGAGATAGCTTCAAGACTAGTTGGTTTCGATGCCAATAGTGATGAATCCCTTGATGATAAGTATAAGAAGCTCCATTGTGGTATATCCCCTCTTCCTCATGACAGCGAGGACTATCAGTTGATTGAGAAGTATCTCCTGACTACTCATGCCCCTACTCATACGGTAGGTTAACCTTCTTGATACTCCCAACCTTGAGCACTGACTGTGATGCTGATGATCTCTTGTTCCTTCTTAACAAATACATTTTGGATGATACTGTCAGGATTGGAGGCTTGAACTGGAGGAAGTTTTTTCATTGGAGAGAGAAGGGGAATTGGATAGGTTTGCTCCCTGTCGAGAAAAACTCAAGAAAAAAATGCTACTGTGGCATGGTGAGTTGCAATTCTAAGCAATTATATATAGTTTCTTGCAATCTGCTCTAAAACAAGGCTCATGGGAACTCATTGGAGGCTCAGCAGTGTAATATGATTACTAGAATCAAACATGATAGTGAAGCAGAAAAGGTTACTTCTCTGCAGGTTCTCGGTTGACAAACTTCGTGGGAATACTTAGCCAAGGACTTAGAATAGCTCTTCCTGAAGCTCCACCAACTGGCTATATGGTTTCTCTCTCTCTCTACCCCTCTGTTATCATTTTTTTTTTTTTGTTCTGATGTCTGTGCATGCATGTATGTACATGTGTGGATTCATGGATGCAGATATACATCTACCTATTCTTATGCAAGGCTGATGATTGAATGCTTTGTGTTACAGTTTGGCAAAGGGATTTACTTTGCTGACCTTGTCAGTAAGAGTGCTCAGTATTGTTATACTGCTGACAAAAATCCTGTGGGACTAATGCTTCTTAGTGAAGTTGCCTTAGGGGAGGTCTGCGAGCTGAAGAAGGCAATGGTGAGTTCACTTACCATGATGCAATAAATCTGCATTCAGTGCATGCTTTTCCTAGTGCTTGTGCTTGGTTTGAATTGGCAACTTTACAATGTGCACTCATGTTGCATGTCAAAGAAAGCCTATTATCCAGTTATAGGCAATAAAGCAAGGCTCTGGCGATACTTACCCGGTACTGTTTTTGCGTAAAGTAGATATCCTTAAGACTCAAAACATTCTGTTTAGTGGTTTCAAGTCCAAATGTTTTACCATTGTACCCAGCATTGGCCCCTTGTTCAAGCTGCTGCAGGTGTTTGGAATTTAGCGGGCATAATAGCAGTTTTTTCTCACAGATTTTTCCGTAATGGAAATGCTTTACCCTCACAATACTATCAGAGCTAGTGGGTGAAATTTGACCCATCAAGTCTCCCTCGTGACTTTGTTCTTTTCTTTTCTTCTCTCATAAGAAGTGCAAATTTTAACCCATTGTTGCAGTATATGGAAAGCCTTTCTGAGGGAAAGCACTCTACAAAAGGACTTGGAAAGAAAGTGCCCCGGGAGTCAGAATTTGTGAAGTGGAGGAATGACGTCATTGTTCCTTGCGGCAAACCAGTGGGTTCAAATGTCAGGGCTTCTGAGCTGATGTACAATGAGTATAATGTCTATAATACGGATCAAGTGAGTTCTTCCTTGGTCATCCTAGTTCTCATGGCCTCTGCATGGGAATCTAGCAATTTATAATAACTGTTTGCTTATCCATAGTCATTGCGTTTTCAAATTTGGACTTAATTTTCAACACCCAATTGATTAAATGATAAAAGCAGAGATTTTTAGACATAAGCTTGAAATATTTTGAAATTCTGTGAAAAAAAAAACGGAAGATAGGACTATGGCATCGTCACAAAAATGATTGAGTTAGCTGTCTTTAGCTGTGTATGAAAGTGGTTATGTGAACGCTGCCCAGTAATTGAAATCTATAATGCCTAAGGTAGACTTTTTATGATGAATGATATTCTTAATTACTTGATGATTTTCACATGATTATGCTTACATCATGCAGTAAATAATGAAGTGGTTTTCTTTTTGGACAGGTTAAATTGCAGTTCTTGTTGAAGGTGAGGTTTCATCGCAAGAGAAGATGGCGAAGCTGAAGGTACGTTTTCCAAATGGTTTTTTGAAGGACGTGGAGGGCTGGTCCTTGCACCATTTGCATGCCCCTCTGCATCTCTCTAGTTAGCCCTGTTTGGAAGCAATTTCATTGATTTGAAATTGAATTTTTTTTTTTTTAATTTATGCTGGCAAAAGTTCTTACATGTTAAGTGTTGGCTTTGTCTTGTTATAGAATTGGTGGTTTGTGAGAAACTCTCGTTGATGTATTTTAGTTGAAATTCAAGTTTAAGAATATTTGGTAATTAAATAATCTGTACCGTTGAAGTTTGTTTCTCTCCTGTTACATGATAATGTGGGCGTTGTGGAGTGGGTAAAAATATGTCGAGAAAAGTCCATTAAGTTTGAGGGATAATGCAGAATGGTACTTCAGCCCGTTAACAGTTTTTATTTTTTATTTTTAAAAGAAAACTAAAACAGAAAGTTGGTTTACTATTCATTGATACTGTTCTAAATATTATTTATTATTGTTATTTTTATTATGCAGTTATATTTTTGTAGTTTTTAAATTTTTAAAAATATTTATTATTAAAGTTTTCTTGACATTACATTTTAATTTGTAATTTTTTTTATTTTCTTTTGATCTCTCTCTCTTTTTTTTTTTTTTTTTCATTTTGGTTTGCTCCTTACTTTTTTTTTAATTAAAATTTTTAAGGCAAAAAATATTTAGAAAAAAAATTACAAAACAAGTTTTTAGATGAAAATCTAATGAGTTTGACATTTTTTTTCTATATTATTATAAATTTTTAGTTAAGAATGTGAATAGAAATAAATAAAAAAATTTTAATAAAAAATTTATGAAAAATATAAAAAATAATAAGTTAAATATAAAATTTTAATTAAAAAATATAAAATAAAATGAATGTTTATTCATTTTTGACCTGATATATTTTAGTAGGTGCAAAGTATAACATAAGTAATCATTTATTTTTTGAAAAATCTCAATAAGGTCTTTCTCTTAATGGTCATTAACGTTTTTGTTGATTTTTTTTTTTTTGAAATTCCTTCAAAGTGGCATAGTTTTGCTGATAAAATATGTACACTAGGCAGAAAATTGTTAATTTTTTTAAAAATTTTGTATCAAATTTTATTTAAATTGATACTATTTTTTAATCAACGGATTAAATTGATTAATAATTGTAAGCGGATAGCTAATCCTCATTTTGTTTCTGAGACATGATCAATTTTGCATCCAAATTTTTTATATTAATTTTACAATTAAATCATTTTAATTTTTCAATTAAGAATTTATGTTAAATTACTTAACAGAAAATATGAAGTCTTCCTTAAAAAAAAATGGAAAGATAAACGGAAAACCTTAAAAACATATTAAAATTTTTAATTGAAAATTTAAGAATAAAAATGGTATCAGGATTTTTTGGTGGTAATATTTGAAACGACCCGTCATACGTTTGATGATCTTGGGCCTTTCAGGGTAATAAATAAATAGTAAATAATTTTTTTTTTTTTTAAAAAAAAGGTTAGTAAAGTAAGGTAGGTGCTGTACAGTACAGTAAAACCCCAAAATCAAAACCAAGCGTACGAAGAACGCCATATCCAAAGGTTCATCCATCACATATTTCCCTCCCAGAAAACGCCCTGTACTATTTCTATTTCTATTTCCACCAAACACATACCTATAAATATACACATAACACAGTCACAGTCTGACACACACTCACACACACGCACTCTCTCACTCCATAGAAAGAAAGAGAGCAATGGCGAATCCTCCGAAGGCATGGAAGGCGGAGTACGCCAAGTCGGCTCGTTCTTCCTGCAAGACCTGCAAAAGTGTCATCGATAAAGAGATACTCAGGCTCGGCAAAATGGTCCAGGCCAAACAATTCGACGGTTTCATGCCTGTATTTTTTCTCCCCCTTTTCTCTTCAATTTCACCCCATTTTCTCATCGTCTTCTTCTTACTTCTTGTTTTTTTTTTTTTTTTTTAATCAACTCTTCTTTTGCATGTCCTTTTTCTTTTAGCAGTGAGGGATTTTTTGAATCTTTTTTAACGTCTTCTGACAAATTTCTTCTTTAAAAAAGCATAATCATTTAATCAGAATCAAGTTAGCAATTAATGGGCAAAAAAAATTTGGAAAAATTGTCAATTTAATTGTCAAGCTTGCTTTGGTCTTCATCTCATTGTCGATGCTAGGGGTCCATAGCAATGCTTAGTTACTGTTGGGACTGACTCTATTCATTTACAATTTGATAGCTTGATTTACTGTTTTCACTTTTTTTTATGCCTTAAAATGCATGTGATTCACTGAATTGAACTAAGGTGTGTTGTTCAGATTCTTGAGAATATTTCTATTTCAGAAATTGTCTACTTTTTTTTTTTCCAATTCAATCAAAGAAAGATTAACACATAGCTTGAGTGTGCTAATTGAACTGTCTCTTAAGTTTATTACTACTTCCTTTATGCTAGGACTCCTATAATTGTTGATATTTGCATTTTCTTAAATGTCAGTAAGTTATTTCTATTTTTTCTTTTCTGAGTCAACCCCTTTGAAGTATACCCTCTTTCCTGTCCTTTTTTTTTCTCAAAACATTGGGAAAGAAAAAAATTCCAAAAAGAATGAAGTCTGATATGCATCTGTTTATCTGAATAGATGTGGAACCATGCCAGTTGCGTATTGAAGAAGGCAAATCAGATAAAAACGTAAGCTTTTTTTGTTGCTGCTTGTTGTCATTTCCACAGACAATCTGGATGGATGCAGTGATTAACTCTGTATATTTCCTTGCTATTAGCGTTGATGATGTTGAAGGTATAGAATCGCTTCGATGGGAAGATCAGCAGAAGGTTAGAAAATATGTTGAGGGTGGTGGATCTGGTAGTGTTGGTGATGGTGGTGGTAGTGGTAGTGGTACTTCAAGTGCAAAGGCTGCCAAAGCTATAGAATATGGTATTGAACTTTCACAAACTTCACGTGCTACTTGCAAGCATTGCAGCCAAAAGATTATGAAAGGAGAGGTAGCTTTAAATGTTTCCTGCTTTTGGTAAACTATTTTTTCAATTTTGCTTTGATTATAACAAGATTGATAAAGTAATCCACTTGTTTAAAAAAAATTCTTATTACCTGAAATTCTGATATTATATTTTGGTACAACAAGATATGATTGGAATGCATGCCCATTTATTCAGTGATCTTCAAATACAAGGCTGCAAATTAGCAATGGGAGAAATTTGCTTTAGGATGGTTTTCAGAGCTTTCCCTTACTATTTACACCAGGGGTCAGTGGGAAGTACATTGTATTTTGCAAGTCCAACTTTAGTATATGTTTTTTTTTGGCTGGCTGATTTGCATGCATTTGCCTCCATTAGTTCTCATGAGTATGCATGGCGATACCTTTTACTTGTTTAATGGGTGGTGTTTGATTTCCACTTTTGAGGCCTTCATGTTGCTTTTATTGGCTAAAAAGATAAAAGCAAAAAGTCTTGCTGGATTACTCTCTCTCCGTTCCTTGTTCACAGCTCCTGGTTAAGAAGTTAGCTAGCGTCTGGTCTCTTGGTTAAAGTAAGTTAAGGTTAGAGCCAAGTATTGGATCCATTAATTAAAACAGCTGTGTGTTGGGAAGCTTCTATCTTAATTTTTACAAAATGAGGGGACATTTCAACTGTTGTGTGGGTCTATGGGATATAAATTTACCTTCGTTCTGCCATCTTTCCTCCTAGAATATTTTTTATAAGGATATTGTCCAACTATGAGAGCTAGAATTAACAAAAGCGTGACTGATATAAGAGCATGCAAGTCGCCACTACATTAGGAAGTTATAACTATTAACAGGACAAATTCTTGATGTTAGAATAATATCTTACAAAACCATGAAGTCCGTAAGATTTTCCTGTGTATTTCTTCACTTTGATTGTGTTGATTTTATCCCTATGTAGCGGCAACCTCAATTCTGTACAGACTATTTGGTCTTTTCAATCTTTGTTTTAGTAATTTAATCATGCTAATATACCTATTAATTAAGCTGCTTACATGCTCATTTAAAAATATAAAATGAATTTAGGTTCGTATTTCCTCCAAGCCTGATGGACAAGGAGCTAGAGGAATGGCGTGGCATCATGCCAATTGTTTCATGCATTTGTACCCATCAATCCAAGTAGAGAAGTTGTCAGGATGGGAAAGTCTTCCAGCTTCTGATCAGGCGGTGGTTTGTTCTCTGGTTAAGAAGGTTCCTTCTACTGCAAAGACTGGTATAATATTGAACTAATTTTGCAATTCTGTAGTCACTGCTGTGCATTTATATAGATATATATGTCCCTGGATGCAGTCTCTTTCTCATTGTTGTTGTCTTCTTAGGCATAAAAAATAAGGCAAAAGAGGATGAAGAACTTCAACAATCATCTGCCAAAGCTGGAGCAAAACGTAGAAAAGATACAGGTTTTGATCAGAAGTCAAAAGTTGCTAGAACTGAAGGAGATATATCAACTAGCAGGCCTGCATCTGCAAGTAATGATAGTGAATTGGATAGAAAGCTCGAGTCCCAATCCAAAGAATTGTGGGCCCTAAAGGATGACCTTAAAAAGCACGTGACAACAGCAGAGTTGCGTGCAATGCTTGAATTGAATGGCCAGATTTCTACTGGATCAGAACTTGATTTGCGAGACCATTGGTAATCTCTTTTCACAACAATCTGAGGCATGCGTGTTATGATTGTGTGACCATCTGTATAAGTTGTCAATTTTGCTGTTTTATCATGACTGCTAATGCACAGGATTTTCCATGCTTACTAAAACTAAAATGGGATGACTTTTTAATGTTTTGAGATAATTAATATCATTTTTTGGATAGGTGTTATTGGTGTTGCTGGGGTTTGAACCTGGCAAACCTACTGCTGAAATGAGTGGTAGTTCAACAGATGGTGAAAGGTCATAGACTTTTTGTCCTAAGCCAGTTTGTAGTTTGTTGCAATGCACTGATCTTGTCAATGTTTCTCCCACCAGTAATGATCATGGAATTATCATTGCCCTGATAAATAAGCTTGGATTTAAATACACACGGAAGTACTTGTTCTTGATATGGTAACTGTGATTATGAATTTACTTGATGCATACATTCAGTAAATTTATGAGCTATTGATGAGTTTATAATTGTCACTGTGACGTTACTTCACCACAGATTCCCCTTGCATGGAATTTTGATGTTACTGCCATAATTCCTTTACAGTGCTGATGGGATGATTTTTGGAGTGCTTGGTTGCTGCCCACTGTGTTCTGGTTCTCTTCGTTATTCTGGAGGCATGTATCGGTGCGATGGGTACCTGTCGGAATGGAGCAAATGTTCATATTCAACTTGTGAACCAACACGTCTTAAAGGAAAGTGGAAAATTCCTGAAGAAACAGATAATCAATACCTTATCGAGGTATACAATTTTTTACCTGTTTCATGCATTTATTATCCTAATGGTAAATTGATGTACTGTTCTATTATGCAGTGGTTTAAATCACAAAAGAGTAAGAAACCAATTAGGATACTTCCGCCACCTTCATCTAACAACCTTTCTGGAAGTCAAGTTACTAGCAGCCAGTCTCAGTCTTCAAAGAGTGAAAGTCTGGGGGATTTAAAAGTTGCTATTTCTGGGTTACCAAAGGAATCCCTGGTATGGCATATATTCTATAGTTCGGTGAAATTATTTTTCAACCAACGTCGTAGCTGACTCACTAATTTTGATCATTTTATATGGTGGACGAATCCTTCAGAAAGAATGGAAGGGCAAAATTGAGGCAGCAGGTGGGCAGTTTCACACCAAGATCAAGAAAGGTATTTGCTCCATGGTCATGGTTTTGAATTGAAAAATTATTGCTACTATAGAGAAATGATCTCTTGCTGTTGATTTAAGACATCTCTCGTTAGTCATTTTGCTTAATGAGTTACATTGCAGATACAAACTGCTTCGTTGTGAGTGGTGAATTGTCTTCTGAAGATGCTGAGATGAGGAAAGCAAGGTAAAGTCGCTTTCTATTCTCTGATCTTACTATATGTCTTGTTTATTCATCATAAGTTGACTTGGAACGGTTTGGCCGACAGGAGGATGAAATTACCAATAGTCAGGGAGGATTACCTGGTTGACTGTTTTAAAAGGCAGAAGAAGCTTCAATTTGACTCTTACAAAGTTGAAGCTTTGGGTGAGGGCTCTAGTATGGTCACTGTCAAGGTGAAAGGGCATAGTGCTGTGCATGAAGCTTCTGGTATGCAGGAAACTGGACACATCCTTGAGGATGGAAAAAGCATCTACAACACCACTTTGAACATGTCTGACTTATCAACTGGTGTTAACAGGTTATCTATAATATCTTGTTGTGTTATAACCTTCTTTTCAGCTGATATATGTAGATTTGCTTGGTTTTGAGCGATATTGCTCCATTGAATTTTTCTTTTTCTTTTTTTTGGTTGAAATTTTCCGACATTTATTGCTTAATACCCGATGATGAGCTGACCTTGAAGGGTCATTATACTCTGTGTTGGAAAAGAATTGTGGGAATATGACCTGCGCTCATTTAGCTGGGACTATGGCTAACTTTACTTTTGAAGTTTGAGTTGAACAGCTAATGCAATAGTCAATTTAGATTCACAGCTTTGTTCCTGAGAATTTTTTCCTCCCTTCTAACATTGATCTGTTTCCTGTGTAAAGCTACTACATCCTTCAGATAATACAAGATGACAAAGGGTTAGAGTGTTATGTGTTCCGTAAATGGGGCCGAGTCGGAAATGAGAAAATTGGAGGAATGAAACTGGATGAGATGTTGAAATCAGATGCCATCTGTGAATTTAAGCGTTTATTCCTGGAGAAGACTGGTAACCCGTGGGAAGCGTGGGAACAGAAAAAGAATTTTCAGAAGAAACCTGGCAAATTCTTCCCATTGGATATTGTACTTGCTTGTTTTGTTTTCCATTTTCTTACTCTTCTGGATGCTCCTTGCTTATTTAGTTTATGGTCATTTCTTAGCTGTTATTGATGTCTAAATTTGTAGGATTATGGAGTAAACAAACAGGTGACAAAGAAAGCTAGGAGTGATGCAGACAGCAAACTAGCTCCTCCTCTGGTGGAATTGATGAAGATGCTCTTCAATGTTGAAACATACAGGTATAAACTTCCTTCCTTGCAGCTTTCTATTTTTTTTTTCTTTGGGCAATTGTATGTGTGAAAGACCAGGTCTTGTGTTTTGCAGAGCTGCAATGATGGAGTTTGAGATTAATATGTCAGAAATGCCTCTTGGAAAACTGAGCAAAAATAATATCCAAAAAGGTAGTCATCTGTAAAAATCCTTTTCATTTCCTTTCTGACACTAAAGCTGTTCTATTTCTGCTGCTGTAAAAATAAAAAGACCATGACGTTCTCATTTTTTTTTTGCAAAGAGCACTGTAAGAATTCTGATTGATTAATTTACCATTCTTTTTTACTTTTCCAGGTTTTGAGGCATTGACAGATATCCAGAATTTATTAAATAGCAGTGCTCATGCTCCTTCTATCAAAGAAAGCTTGATTGTTGATGCCAGCAATAGATTTTTCACTGTGATCCCTTCTATGCATCCACATGTTATTAGAGATGAATATGATTTTAAGTCAAAGGTACAGGAGGATATGTGCGATAACACCATTGATGTTTTTGGACATCCTATACTCAGCTATTTTTTTGTGCCTTGCTTATGGTGAACATTTTATTTGTTGGTATTCTCATAGACATAGTAATTGCCAACTCTTTTCTTTGTGACTCGCAAATTGGCTTCTTATTTGTGCATGTCAACTAGCAGGTGGATATAATAAAAACTGTTCTGCCCAATCACAATTACTTAACATCCATCTCGCATCTCAACTTTCTTTTTGAGCCCTCTCGGGAAGCGAAGTTATTTCCTCCCCTAACTTAGAGGAAGTTGTTAAAAATTGCCACCTCATATTAATGCATTGAATAAAGAAGGTTGAAAATTGAATTTAAAGTTACTGAAATTTTTTACCTTAGGGACACTCCAATGACCATTGATTAACTGAACTCTTATGGTGACTATATCTACGTTGTGTACCATGCCAATACGAGGAATAATATAGTTCACTGTTTTGTTTCTATTGTAGGTGAAAATGTTAGAAGCTCTTCAGGATATTGAGATAGCTTCAAGATTAGTTGGCTTTGATGAGGATGGTGATGATTCACTTGACGATAAGTACATGAAGCTCCAATGTGATATATCTCCCCTTCCTCATGATAGTGAGGACTACCAGTTGATTGAGAAGTATCTCCTCACTACTCATGCACCAACTCATACGGTTGGTTAACCCTTCTTTATAGCTCCAGCCCTCAGCATTGACTTTGCTGGTGATAAGTTATTGTTCTTTATTTTTTCTTCCTTCCCTGCCATTTTAACAAATAAATTACTGGTGTTGGATGTAATTATCAGGATTGGAGTCTTCAACTGGAAGAAGTATTTTCACTGGAGAGGAAAGGCGAATTTGATAGGTTTGCCCCCCATAGAGAAAAGCTCAAGAACAGAATGCTGCTTTGGCACGGTGAGTATCTCTTAACCTATTATATCTTCATACAACCTTCTCTAGGTCAAGGTTGGGAACCTGCAGCTTCAGCAGTAATGCAATAGGATTACAGAATAAGATATGCAAGTGAAACAAAAAGCTGTTCCTCTCCAGGTTCTCGGTTGACGAACTTTGTGGGCATACTTAGCCAAGGGCTCAGAATAGCTCCTCCTGAAGCTCCAACAACTGGCTATATGGTTCTCTTTCTCTCTCTTCGTTGTTTGTTGTGTGCATATGCATGGATGTTTGTACATATTTCTATTCATACACAGCAGATTTACATTTGTGACTTTTACATGCATGCCTACTGTATCTTCTTCCCTCCTGCAAAGCTAATGATTGAACACTTCTGCATTACAGTTTGGTAAAGGGGTTTACTTTGCAGACCTGGTCAGTAAGAGCGCTCAGTATTGCTTTACCGATAAGAAAAATCCAGTGGGACTAATGCTTCTCAGTGAAGTTGCTCTAGGGGAGGTCTATGAGCTGAAGAAGTCGACGGTGAGTTCACATACCATGATTTATGTGTTAGTGTGTTCTGTGCATGCACATGTGCTAGTCCACATGCTTGGTTTGAGTTGGTAACTAACATTGTGCATGCGCTCATTCAACATGCTAAAAAAAGGCCATTATCCTGTTATGGACATGAAGCTGGGGTTCTAGTGATACTTGCCTCAAGCTTTGTTGCATGAAGCACCTACTTTCAAGACTCAAAACATGCTACCTTGTGCTTGCAAGTTTGGCACAATTTCCCTCATTCATCTTGCTGTATGGTTTCTCATTTAGTCAGCATAATGATTGCTTTTCCTCACTGGATTTTCTGTAGCAGTGAACTTGCTTTACTCACCCAACATTCTCAAATGTGGCTAGTGGGAAAATTTTGACCCATGCAGTCTTCCTTTTGAATTTGTTCTTTTTTCCTTCTTTTCTGAATAAGAACCACAACTTTATTTATTGTCACAGTATATGGAAAAACCACCTGAGGGAAAGCACTCTACAAAAGGACTTGGCAAGAAAGTACCTCAGGAGTCAGAATTTGCAAAGTGGAGGAATGATGTCATTGTACCTTGTGGCAAACCAGTGGATTCAAAAGTCAAGGCCTCTGAGCTGATGTACAATGAGTACATTGTTTATAATACGGCTCAAGTAAGTTCCATGTAGCTCATCTTAGTCCTCATGACTTCTGCTTGGCAAACTAGCAATTTTTTAAAAACCCTCTGCTGATCCTTTGCCGTTTCCATTTCAAGTTTCAACTCAATTTTCAATACCTAATTAATGAAATGATAATAGTTTTTTTTTTTTTCTTTTTATGGAAGTTTGATATAGATTAAAATTCTAAGATTTGATTGGCTATTGTGGGACTTCATTTTGACTACTGTTAGAACTTGATCAAAATGATTGAGTCTCTGTCTTTTACTGCTGTATCAGAGTGGTTATAGGGGCACTGCCAAGTAATTGAAATCAGTAATGCTTAAGGCAGACATTTTATGATGAATGATCTTTACAATTTCTTGATTATTTTCATATGATTATGCCTTTTGATGCCTACATATTGAGCAGTCCATAAAAAAGTGGTTTTCTTGGACAGGTTAAAATGCAGTTCTTGTTGAAGGTGAGGTTTCATCACAAGAGAAGATGAGGAAGGTAAAGGGATGTTTCCATGTCTGTCTTTTGAAATCCATTTTGGATACCATGAGAGGGTTTTTGATGAGATCTCTTTTTGGGGTTTGCTGGAGATCTATCAACTTGGGTGTTTTGCTTGTGTAAATGGTGTTCCCAAGCATGGATTATGAATATGTCTAATCGTTTAAATACTACATATTATGGGAATTGGTATTATATATTCACAGCATTATGTGCTGCCCTCTTTTGCAATCCATGAGTTTATCCCTCATTGCATGAAGTTTTTTGAATTACCATGCTGGGACGGAAGCAAACGAGCACCTGGGTCGCAAGTACAGAACTATAGGTAGTGATGTTTATAATTTAGTGCTACGATTGCACTCGTGGATGTAAATTTTTTAGAAGCATGCGAGTCTTCTGAACGCAGTTGTGTGCATGTGGTCTGTGGTCTGTGGTCCTTAAGAGGCTTAGACCCGAAGTTAAATGGAAGGGGATAAGGTAAAACAGCCGATCTTTTTTTGGTTCTCTATAAGCGCCTACCAAGGAGTGAAGGAAAGCTTTAATGCAGAGGTACATGACCAGCCACATTAAGAGGGAGAAGCAGAACTATAAATTTGGAAAGCTCACACCATAATGCGATATCATCCATATCTACGAAGCAGAGGAGGTATAAGTATCCCAATCTATCCTGTAAACATAAAAGAAAAGAAAACGGTTTTTAATATTGGCTAATAATCTGCAAAATCTAATTTTAGAACTTTTGAAATTATAATATATATGCACGATTGACTTCATTGAACGTCAACATGTTTTGAGCTCAACTTGAATCTCCATTTCAGAAAAATCCCCTGTTAAAAAATAACAAAGGGAAGGAAAAAGTTGGGAAATTTCTGCAGTTGGAATGGAGGACGGTGTGTTGTTTAAGCTTTTAAAGCTTGCATGTGTTCCACGTGCAAGGATGATGTGATAAATGGAATCCAAAATGAACGATGATTATGTCGTCGTTAAGAGGCTAGAAGCAGGAAAGATTTGTCATGTTAATTCCCGAACTGTGTGAAATGGGCTTGGCAAGGAAGTTGTGACGCAGTGACAAAGCTGAGGTAAGAAACATGAGATTGGCAAGCACTTTTCGATGGAAAGTGCCATTTTCCTTTGTTAGGGTGACGAATCCTTCATGCCGTTCAAGCTGCCCCTTTGCTTCACATGATGGCCAAAACCTTAATTTTATGTTGTTTAGAGGGACGTGGCTGGCTGGTCCTAGCACCATTTCCATGTCCTTCCCCCCATCTTTCTCCAGCTGGTTCATTGTTGTAAGCATGTGTTACTTACGTTGGACAAATTTGTTAAATGTTCGACTTTTTGGAATGAAGTTCTTTCACGTGTGCTGATGCAAGGGCAATAATACTTTGCATATTCTCTATGCAACAAACTCCGTCTTGTTCAATAACTTTAGCTGTGAATCATTGTCAAAAACATGCTTGGCTTCCATTATGCAATTAAGGACGACCACCAAGTTAACAATGGCAAAGATAAATCACAAAAGATTGCCAAGACGATATATTTCAAAATATGACACGAACCATTAATGCTTTATGGACGGATAAAGAGGCAATCCATTTCTTAAAAATTTGGTTGGAAGCAAATTTAATTAATGTTTTCATGTGGCAATACATCATGAACTGCTATAGTATTTAGAACAAGCCTTTTTTTTAAATCTTTCTTTCTGGATGCGATAGGATAAGATCTTTTAGATATATATATATAGATTTTTTTCTAAATACGGTGACAATAAGATCTTTTCAAATACGCGATGATGATAAGATTTTTTGAATATACGTAGATAGTCTATTTATATTTATAAATTTATTATTATTTTTTTTCATTTAAAATCCACTTCTTTACAAAAAAAAAATGTAAAAAATAAAAAAACCGATCATAAAATCCTTGAACAAAGACATCAAAGGATCAATTTCGCTTTGAAGGTAGGCGGTATGCTTTAAGCAAATGATGGGCTCACTCCCAAGTAGCTTCTGTTGCCTCTTTAGAGTTGTTTGTCTCTTGTGATAAATAGAAGCATCACACACGAGGGTAACACACACTACTTACACTTTACTTTTCTAGAACTGAACACTCTTTAGGCAGGGAAGCACTAATTCCATGACAGGTCACAACAGGAATACTCAAGTTTCCATAGGCACAAAAAGTCAGCTTTGCTTCTCTAGGGCAACCAAGGGATTATTAAACAAATGAGCATATGATGTAAATAAATTAAACTTCAATGTCCAATTATCCATAGCTAGTCATCATCTTCTATTAAACTACAAAAAAAACTTTCGAACTGAGAAACTTACAAGTAATCAGAAATTTGTCCCTTTAAACATACATTAGTCTTTAATTAACCACTCAAGATGTCTTAAATTATTAGATTAGTGTCGGTAAACAAGCACCGGCTGGTGGAGGTTTAAGTTAACACAGCCACAAAGCGACAAACAGCGGCAGTTCCCAGGTGCGGCGTTCGGCGGAAAAAATAAAAAACTTATTAATCAAACCTCCAAAAATCAAACTTGAAAAAGTAGCAGTAGGAAATTTCAAAAGCAAACTCCTAAAATTAATAGATATTTAATTAATCGAATGATCATAAAATAGTACAATAGTAAAGTAGTAATAGTCTATAAATCATGTTAATTGAGTTGCTATATGCCAATTTGAAAGAGCAAAAAAAAAAAAAACCCTCATATTGCATAGACCCATTAACAAATGTTCCCTCAAAACCCTACATGATGGCCTTCGATGTCTCCCATCCACTCCTCTTATAAGAGACCCTTTATGTCCCTTAATCCTGAAGCCCCACCACATTTGATCCCCTAGCCAACTATACCACACACATTAGCCTCATTTTTTTGCACCATTTCCTAGTGTGCTCGTGTGCTTTTAAAAAAAAGTTCGAAGATTCTCTGCTCTCTTTGTTTCTTTCTTTTGTTTCTCCCATCATGGCATCATCAGGGACTGGCACTGGCTCTCCTTGTGGCGCATGCAAGTTTCTCCGGAGGAAATGTGCTTCCGATTGTGTTTTTGCGCCTTACTTTTGCTCCGAACAAGGACCTGCTCGATTTGCAGCCATTCATAAGGTGTTTGGTGCTAGTAATGTGTCCAAGTTGTTGTTGCATGTCCCGGTTGCTGATCGTTGTGAGGCGGTTGTCACTATCGCCTACGAAGCTCAAGCAAGGATCAGAGACCCCGTTTATGGATGTGTTGCCCATATTTTTGCCTTGCAACAACAGGTTTGTGAAATTCTATATATGTAGCATACATATTCACAATTCATATGGATGGATATAATTTTTCTTCTTTATTAATATTTTTCTCAAACATGCCCAAGGATCATTGATAGTGCAAAATTTTCCCATCTTGACTGTGTTTTATTTTTTGTTGGAAAACGGATCGTTGAATTCTAGTTATTCCTTGCTACAAGGATCTATGATTTTCTTTGAAAATTAATGCATTATATATATAGTGTTTCTTATAGGATTTTATTTATTTATTATTGTTGATATTATTTTGAATTGAATGCTGCCTGATTGTTCAACTCTTTCCTGTAAGCCAGGGAGCTTTTTATTTCAAAATTCCTTCCAAAACCCATCAAGTTTTTTGTATTTTTTTTTACTCTGTTGATGATGGGCTGGGGGGTGTGGGTCTTGCTTGTGAGCCCTCAGTCCTCAAATCATGTAGCTAGTTATCTCTAAAGAAGCATTAGTGTACAAATTAAGGAATTTCTAACTTTTGGTAACTTTTTTTGTTTTGTACATAGGTGGCATGTTTGCAAGCACAGTTGATGCAAGTGAAGGCTCAACTAGCACAAAATCTAATCGATTCACCACGCATTAATGTAGAGAATATTCATCACCAGTGGCAAGGAAATAACGTTTCTGGGGTGCCATCATTTCCAACTTGCATCAATCCAATCTCCCCACAAAGCTCACTCGATTCACTTGACCTTAACAACAACAGTATGGATCATGGGATGATGAGTATGCAAGACATACAAAGCAGAGAGGAATTTGCATTCCAATCCTGTGCCAAGGTCAAAAGACCATACAATAGTGACTTGGGTGAGCTTCAAGCACTGGCACTTAGAATGATGAGAAACTAATAAATGGCCTTGCAATTCATCATGAATATTTTCATGTTTCTTTAATTTCTGTGCTAGCCCATCAAATGAAAAAAAAAAAAAATCATGTATATATACTAAGACCCTCTAAAGATACTTCAGTTTTGATCATCATAAGCATAATAGAGGCATTTCCCTTCTGTTCGACCACATTGTAACAGCCATGGAAATGAAACTCTACTCTATCTATCTATCTATCTCGATCCCTCCCTCTCTCTCAAAAGCTACTGCCAATATCTAATTTACTCATCTTGTGTTTTATGTTCTTGTAGGACAACTTCATTTCATTTTACTAGGTAGAGTGGTTAACTAATTGCTTTTCGAAGATAATTTAGTTTTTACGGAACGACGACAATAATGGGGATACTTACTTTTTAATTGTCTTACTTTTTTAAAAAAACTTATCGATGTAAGCAAATGTTCTATATTCTTCACCTATCAAGTTGTAGGATAAATTAACTAAGGTGTATAGATACAAATTTGAACCTTCATTTGTCTTTTGCCAAAAAAACACAACCACAACTACTATCGGTGTCCTAGATGACAATCTTAGATGAGTTTGTAGTTGGAATCCCAAGGTTAACCTATCTTTCTTCCTCTTAGTCGAGATTATTGGTCCCGACTGTCACTTCCAATTATGACTTGGAAATTTTCATCTTCCCGAATGGGGATCCGGTAAGTAGAGAGGAGGCTAGTGAATGCTATGATTATAGTTAAGGGCATAGGCAAGCATGTACCCTTTAATGGACCTACTTGCCTAGGGTTTATATGTCCTAATAAGTGGGTTCACCTAACATAATATTCTATTATGATTTTAATACATAGAATCTATGACCTTGTACCCATATATGTGGACAAAGTGTTTCCTTGATTGAATGCACTAGGCTACATCATGAGTAAGTAGCCGACTTTGACAATTTTAACGTAGAAATTGTTCTTCTTTTAATTCTAAAGTAATGTTAAGACCAAACAAAAGAAAAAAAAAAAAAGAAACCAAGCCATTATCAAAAAAGGGAGAAAGCTAGGCCTTATATGGGAGAGAAACTTTTCTTTAGCAATTTCGTCGTCGATCGAAGGAAAAAGAAGAAAAAGAAGAAGTTTACTGCATCTCACTTGAAAGTAACTTGTATCTATTTTTAAGGAAATTTCATTTATTAACTCTGTCTATTAAAAAGAAAAAAAGAAATGGTTCATCTCATGTTTGTTTTCTTGACGCTTTCTTTCTCCTGTTCCCAATTTCTTTTTGCATTGCATGTTCTTTTATCTCTTTCAATCAAGATGATTTTTCGTATCACTACAAAAAAAAAAAATGATTTAACGATGGTTTACGGACAGATCCAACACCATCACTAAAAAACTTCTCTATAATTTATTAGCAATGGTTTAAGGATCCGTTGTTAATTTAGAGAAAATTTATTCGTTGCTAAAAAATTAAAAATTCATCGCTAAAAAACAGAAAAAAAAGTCATCGGACCGATCGAATTTAACGATGGTTTTTAAAAACAATTTTGAAATTTAGCTTGTATTTAATGATGATTTATCGAAACTATCGCTAATTTTGATCAAATTTAACTAGGAGCAATGTAACAATACCCTCCAGCTTTGTTATCCTTTTTCATGTCTAGCATTGTTGGCCTCCATTTTCTTTCGATGCTCTTCAATATCGATATGGAGCTGCGATGTGATCGAACTAGAAAATGAATTGACATTAGAGTAATAATGAGAGACATGTGACCCAAGTCTATACATTCTTTTCCTCTTACTTGTCTCCTTCTTCTCCTTTAACCCTCTTAAATATCTCGTTCATGTAGATGTTTGGTGTTGAAGTACCCTCCGTCCCCCGGCTAGCAACGTCCTCCTCGTATATTTTAGCGATGTTGTCCTACATAATTGCACAAATTTTATTATTAAATAGTAATCTAAAAAAGTTATACAAAAATGATATACGTATAAAATAAATTTATAAATTACTTATCTTGAGATTTTTTTCTATTGATCGATGAATACGTACTTATCATCAATCTCATTTCCATGAGTCTTCAAGAGCACCTCGTGAGCATCGGGTTCATGATCCAACTCCTTACCTTTAAACAAATATACTTAAATGTATATTGATGTTACAATAATGAAAAATAATAAATTATATATATAATAGGATTTACCATGCGTATTGCGTGTTTTCCGTGTGTGATCAAACCCTCGATATGTCTAGATGGACCAACCTCGGGGCCACTTGTCTCTTTCATACGGTTTCGAACCGCCCGCTCGGATCGAGCCTAAGACTTAAGTTTTGCTCATTCCTACTGTCATGCATTCAATATCTTCTATGAGATATATGTTGGTTTAGGGTGTGTTTTCACATGACAAAGGAAGTTGGAATATTGCTTTCGTCTCTAAGAACATAAAAAGTGTTCATTAGTACATTTAAATAAACATTAAGCAACTTAATTGAAATGTACTATCACATAATTAATTAAGCTACATATTACCTTAAAATCCTCCCAATAAAAGTCTTTAGTTTGGTCGATAATTGACTTCTAATTCGCTCCAAATAGGTCGATTTGCTCGTGGAATATCTTAGAGATCTAACGAGAGCACTCATTGGATGAATACAATCCGTCAAACGATACAATTAACGAGTTAAATGAACGCATTAATATAATAATATGCCATAAAAAATATAATGAAAAAAATACATAATAGGTACTCCTTGCCATCCATGAGAGTAATCGAAATGCAATGATCATACGTAGAACCAATAGGTGCAAAAGACATACCAAAAAGGATGTATGGCGATAGACTATGTACAGGTACCTAACGGTCGTCTTGTTAGGGCATGGACTTTAATAACGACAAAGGCTCAAAAGTGTCAGCCCATGGTCCAAATTGATGGGGCTTAGAGCACGTCAAACAATGATGGGTATGACAAAAGGGTTATGGGAAGGAATGCACATATTTCGAAATGAGCGACCGGACAACCTAGAATATAAGTAGAACTACTTTCACATCCACAACCACAACCACTATTAGTGTCGGTACCACAACCCTCACCATCTAATATGGTCAACTACATACAAGAATGTCCCCTATCATGAGATATAACCTACATATTATCAAATTATATAGTTAATCAAACACAATAATTATAAAACATCTTTATTGCCACAAATAAGTTAAAATATATTTAATATGCGATCGATAAATACTTTTATAATTAAATTAAAACATGTACACATATATGTTACCTTAACAATTTCAATTAAATTGGGAGGGACAATCCAACCTCACCGCTAATCACTATCATGGTCATCATTATCATAATTTTCATCTAAGTCTTCCTCTATCTCTCGTTTCAAATTCAACATCATCATCTTCATTAATTTCATATCCTTCTAAATCTATTAGCGATCTAGTTGGATTAGTTAATGATTGACCCTCATTTCTTCAATTTGGATGACATTATGTTGGATTTTTATATTGTTCTCTTGAAATGATTTCGTAATTTTTGGATCGTAACAAATGATTCTAACACATCCAAGCATCTTTCTTGGTTTTACCTTACATATAGCCAACCAATCATACTCGTTGCACTTCGAGATATGATATGTAGCATAATACACCTAATGCGTTTGTATTGTCATAATAAAAGGATCAAATCTATTCAACCTCCTGTAACTATACACTGCTACTAGTCCGTACTCATCATGAACTCTTGTACCAACTTTAGGTGAACTATCATACCAATTGTATTTGAACAATATGATTCTCTTGATTGATAATGCAAGATACTTAAGTTTCGGTATATTAGTCAACCTATTGTAGTAGTCATTTTTCTTAATACTATAAGTAACTCTTTTTTACACACACTTCATTACATATTGTTGTTTTATCCGAATCATGACCTTTTATGTGAAACTTCTATTCATTTATAATACATCTCGAATATGAATTTGCTCGTTTATAAGAGTCCTTCTACGATATCGTTAATGTAATGGTTGGTGCTTGAGTTGGGTTATGCATTACTTACTCGTAAAATCAAAATCCATTCCTTATTATTAGAATAACATTAATCATTGCATCTTAATAAACAAAAAATAAATTCAAAATTGATGGTACTCACATATCGATGAAATCATGATGCAAAATCATTTTCAAGCCAAGCATCAATTTTATGCTTCGATATATGGAGATTACTTTGATGAAGTTAGCTAGCGAAATAGCTATAGAAGGAATAATAATTTTTATATTTTTAATGTCTTTATTATAAATCATTGATAATTAATAAGTTGAGTAGGAAAAATTTTGCTAATTGTAACACTTACTTAGTTTAAGGTGTCACCTCATCACAGTTTAATAAAATATAGGTATGAGACGTAAGCTTTTTTTCGTCCGTCAAGCATATATGATTTTACTCGACCTAGAGATTATCCTTTCGGTTTGACTATAGCAAGAATCCTTTTAATATCGTCACTTGATTCTTGAGCACACGCAAAGTTACGTGATACTTTTTGATGTCTAGTATGCATATGAGACTTGAAATAATATGAATAGAACGTTGATGCTTCTTCCATTAAATATATATTGCATGTTAATGCTTCAACTCTCACTTTGTTCTTTATATTATTTTTTATTTTTCAAAGATATCTACATTACGTTCCTAGGTTAGTTAGCAAATATTTTTTAAAAAATTAATCAAGGATTCAAAGTCAATATCAAACGGATACATCCATCGATATTGCACTAGTCTCGTTAATTTTGCTTCATATGTCAAGTGGACTCGGAAGATGTTCCATTGAGTTATAGAAACTCGATAAAAATATACACTAAAGTTTGCATAAATTTACCATCTCAAGACTTCTCATATCTTCAATCCTAATAATAGTAAAAGTTAATTTCTTGAAGAATAAACTCAACTTAGTAAGTGTTTGTCGAATATTTCTTAGTAATAGATCATAGAATACGACATGTATTAATATTTATAT